TTTGAAATTTCTGGTAATTTCTGAAGGATTTTATAAGAAGAAAAATAAGAGAAAGAATGACAGAAATAATAGAAGAAAGGAATGTTATAAAAATTAGGTCTGTTTTGTAAAGTTCTATTTTATTTTTAGACAAGAGTCTTATCAAATGATGTAAGTAGCAATGTTCTGCAAAATTCCTGCTGATTATCTTGTGGATCAGGTAGATTTTGAAATTAAACAGGCTAACTGGTTCCAATTTTTCTTTTCTGGGAATTAAATAATCCAGAGCTGCATTTTCAACTGTTTATAAGAGAAGAAAATAAGCTGCCAAGACACAGTTAATAATATTACATATGTTTGAATTTGCCATGAAGGAACTTTTAACAAACCCTCATGTAACATCATGTTTTTTAATTACTCCAAGCCAACTCCACTCAAGTTTCTTCTTCTTATTATTTATAAGTACAAGTTATAGCAAAATGAAAGCATTCGTTGGAAAGCGTTGCTTCAGTAGAACTGAATAACTTCAAGTGTTTTTGTTTACTTGCTCATTGAAATGACCCACGATAATCTAACCTGGTTTTTTTTTTTTCTGCTTAAGAAGCTATAGGTATTTCAGTTTACCAAAATGAGTTTATATAAAAATTTCACTAGGAACATTTTTGGGATATTATACAGGAAAATAGACCCTGAAAGGAGAGACACAAATTAAGGCATGAAAAAGCATAAGAGGGGCGTTCCTACCCTTATGCAACCCTGAACTTGCTATTTTTGCAGAAGTTGATATGCACAGAAAGGGTACACACTGACACTTTTATCCTTTGGTTATTGACAAGTGATCATAGTCCTCCTCTTTAAGGATAAGTAAACATAGGACTCCAAGTGCTGTTCCCAATTCATCCAAGTTAAGCTAAAATGCTAAATGAGAGCATCAGTAGAGAATACCATTGCCATCTTTGTGGTAAAATATGTTCTGGACTTCAATTTTTTTCATTAATTATTTCTGTGGCCTTTCTTTCTGCTTCAATTGTTGTTTACTGCTTTACAGGTAAACCCTACAGCCACAGGCAGAAGTAGGAGCAGCAGTGGAAATAGAAGGTAGGGGATGAAGTATTTGCCTTCAGTGACAGAAGCTTGGAGGAAATAAGTAAGGACCAGTGCCAGAGTTATGTAAACTCTGAGTTGGTTAAATTGAAACATCCATTCCATACATAAGGCAACTATTTTTTCCTTTTTTTTTTGTCAGCCATGGGGATTGAAATCAGGGCCAGGGCCCAGTCCCCGAACTCTTTTTCTCAAGGCAAGCACTGTACCATTTTGAGCCACAGCTCCACTTGCGGTTCTTTGGTGGTTAATTGGAGTTAAGTGTCTTATGAACTTCCCTTCTGAGATCCTCAGATCTCAGCCTCCTGAGTAGGTAGGATTACAGCCACATGGTATCTGGTATAAGGCCACTATTCTTTCAGGATACCTCCTGAGCGGAGCTACGGTTAACAATTCTCTGGACATCCCTTTTCTATAGGAACTGAACAGAATACACAAAGGAGAGGAATTTGCTATCCTCTTGAGCTAAATTCTAGGAGCTTCAGTTTATTCACTGGGTAGGGCCACAGGATGAACTAGGTAGGCTGTGCTTTCTCACCGGCTATGGTTTAATGTGGTGTATTTCCTCTCAAACTGTTTAATCCTCACTGTGAGACAAGAAGTAAGTAGAGGCAGTAACTTAAGAGGTAATCAGTGTTCTGCTTCATGAATAAATTTATTCATTTATGGGATGAATGCATTTAATGGACTACTGGACTCCTCAAGTGTGGGTCTGCTACAAAAGCCAGTTAAGGTGGCTCTTTCTTGCCCTCTCTTTTACCCACTGCCATAGGAGAATTCTTCTAACGACAAAAATGAACATCCTTAGATGTTGCCCTCTGGCCTTAGACCAGAAACATGAGCCAACACAAGTCTCTTTTGATTTGACTTTATACAGTAAGTGGTATCATTAGCAGCAGAAAATAGACTAAAACAACATATGAAAGTCTAAAAATAGTCATGTAATAGCAATGTAAATCTTCTTTGGTGCTCCAGCACCAGATCAAGCAAGCATGACAAGCAATGGTTGCCTAATAAATAGAATAGGGTAAAGGATAGAGACAGAGATCCATAACAGCAGAAGTACTACATACATGGGGCTGGTAAAGCCAAAACTGGGGCATATCCCCATGAACACAATGACCACTACTTCCTTCTTGAAAGAGATCCTGGTCTTTCCAACAGTCCACTTTTACCCAAAGATCTACATCAACATCCAAGCCTCCTGAGTCTCAATGTATTGGCTATAGAACCAAGAAGTCTGGGAAGCTGTTGATTCCATATCACAACTGTCATGGGAGAACATGGGAGAATCTGTCCAACATAGTGAACAAAGCTACCAGACTTTCTGAGTATAATTGTGGCCTTATGGCAGTACTTGAAGGAAGTTTTCCTTGTCACCCATGGTGGCAGCAGCTTCTATGGGATTTCTGATAATGGCCCAATGCAGAAGAGATCTTCAATTGCAAGAGGTAGATGGGAGTCTGTCTCAATAGCAATCAGTGGCTTTGTGCAAACACATTATGGAAAATGATTCCCTTCAGCTCTTTCTCTAGGCAGCATGATGCAATTGACTTCCTCCTGGGTTGTGTTGCAGTGCAAGTTGGGAAGGACTTCTGGATTATTTGTGTGCAAATAATCTTGCTTGTGATCATATGAAGCATTTGTATGGCACAGATGCTTCCTAGCTTGGTTTCGCTGACAGTCATCTGAGCAAGGAAGACTTTCTTTGCAGGAAACTGCATGACTAGTTCATGATAGGCTATCATGATCCCTTGTTAACCTCCAGAATCTTCTCAAACCTCCACATTCACTGCCTTATAAATCTCCATTTTGCTAATTATTTTCCCTCAAGGCCTCCTTCTAGAGGGTTTTGTCACCAAAGTAATGCAAAGAGTGAAAAGATTTTACTTTATATGCTCAGTCAATCTCTTTTGTCAATGCAGAGTTTAACCTGTATCTAATGGGAAGAGTCATGTGGTCTCTTAGTTTTCAGTATGTAATACCTTTTCTATGTTTGCCACAAACTCCTAAGTTCTGCCAGTTTCATTCTCCCAGTAAGTTCTCACCACATAGAAACAGCCAAATTTTCATTCTACACCAGAGTTACAACATTCCAAAGGAAGGAGGTGCTTGGAAATAACTCCAAAGAAAGAATCTTCCCTCACCTGTTTTAATTTTGGTGGTTGTAATTCTTTTCACAGCTGAATATACTTAAAAAAATGCCTTTCAATTTATATCCTTTGGATTTATTCTTTTCTTTTTGCTGTTATTCAATCAGCATACATCATTTTCTACCTTAAAGCCTTTCTTTCCTTCTGGCTTTAAACTAATTTGTTATGTTAAAACTGCTACCCCACCCCACTTTTATTTTGATTCACCTCCTTTCTGGTATACTTTTTGGTTACAGATTTATGTAACAAATATAGGAACTACGTACTCTTTAAATACAAAAGACATGATTTAAACTAAGTTGTTTTCTTAGATTTAACCCATCTACTTCCATTACAATCTTGCTATATTAGCCATTAAATCTAACATCTTTCTCTATTACTATAGCTAATCTGTGTTTCTTCTGATGGTTTAAAAGTTGTAATTTTTTGGTAATACTTACTTTTAACCTACACTTCATAATCAAGTGTATTTATTCTGATGCCTTAAAATTGTTTCACATAGTGAAACTATTAGCAAACTTTCCTTTATCTTTGGCCTTTCTATTTCCTAACCTTCTGGGATCATGTCAACATGATTGGATGGAGAAACTTCTAAGAGTAGAAAAGCATACTTGTGCATGTCCATAAAGGTGTCCCCAGAGGTTAACTAAGAGATCTCACCCAAATGTAGATGGGATTAAACACAGACATTTGCTTTTGCTTCCTGGCCAACATGAAGTAAAATGTTGTTCCATCTTGCTCTCATTGCTATGTTGGATAGAAACTTCTTAAATTCCAGGCCAATAATTTCTTTTTCCCTTGTTTCTTTCAGGTACTTATAGCAAGAGAAACTCTCTTCCTGTCTTCTTCCTACTTTCATCCAGCAAACTTACACATGGTGATGGGTTTTGAAGGTGTGGTAAATATCTATGGAGGTGATGTTCTGATTGCTGGATTTGACACCAAGGGTTGGAGAAAACTGGGGCTAAAGAATTGAAATATACATAGCTGTAACTACTGACTCTGGAAACAAAAAGTGTAAGAGAGAATATTAATACTTAAGCTATAGGCAGAAGAAAAAAAAAGACTGTAAATGAAACGAATCTACAGGTTGACCCATTGTAACAATGAGATGTACAAGACGAGATGTACAAGACACTATGTTGAAAACGAACTTTACAACTTTGGCGGGGGGGGGGGGTTAGTTGTGGAGGTGGGAGGGAAGGTAAGGGTAAAACAAAGGAGGCAACAATGCCAACAATGCTGGATAGGAAATGTACATATTACCTTGCTCATGTAATTGTACTCTGTACAGTATTTTTACAATAAAACAGTACAAAAAAAGAGACTAATCCACTGAAGGAAATAGTAATAATGGTTTAACATTCTAAAAATGAAGGTACTCCCACTGCCAGGAATTAATTTTATAGATGTCTCTACTGGACCCAAACCTGATTTTGCTAAGTGTAGCTACTTTGATTCTGTTTGGAAAGATAAGTTAACTGGCCTGCCAGGACCCATCAAAAACAGTACCCTGCTTAGAGGACTGGTTATAGTTACAAAACAGAGTTATTTCTAACTTGGTTAGAAATTCCTGTCCTAAGAAGTAGCTCTCACTCTACTGTCTGCCACTTTACTCAATTCTGAGATGTTATAAAGATCTACTTATCATTCATACTGATCAGTTGACTTTCTCAGTAACAAAAACCAAAGCCACGAGAGGAAATTTGTTTTTAAAAAAGTGGTTTCTGACCATAGAAGTCTTCAAGAAAAGGCAAACTACAGTGATTTTTGAAGGTTGTTTTATTCAAAGCAGAAACATGAAGGCATCAGGTTCTTTTAGAACATAAATGCTATGTAATGCAATGACAGTAAATGCAATGACAGTAAGTGTTTAAAAAAAGTGAGCTACAAAGAATGTGAGTTTGCCTGAGATCTAGCCTTGAGAAAATCGAACATTTCTTATGCTACCTTTGTGATGAGACTATATAGCAAGGCAGTACAATTTTAAAGTTCTTTAGTGTTTATGTATTTACTTTTAACTTAATCCTAAATACATTTTATGTATGTATGTACAACCATTAATATTTGACCTCTAATCATTTGTTTGCTATGATTATTCCTGTTTGTATACATATAAATCAAATCATATGCATCAAATGTATAGATTTTAAGTTCATATTTATGTTAACAATGAACATTACTATGAGCTAGAACCTGCTCAAAGCACTTATGTAAAGTATATTAATGCATAAGATAAATATATTAAAGATTTTCCCCAAACTTGTAGATGAGAAAATTGAGTACAGGTTAACAATGTACCATATCTTCTAAACAGAGGTGACATTCTGGATTTGAATTCGAGTACATGCAGAATTTAAACCTTAATTAAGTCCTAAGTTTGAATTAACTGTTTCATTTTCTTAGTGTAGTTTTAATCATTAAGTTTAAAATTTATCACTGCCAGAGTCTAACTTATATTACGCCTTTGTTGGATTACTGCTAATAATTTATGTGCTGGTTTCTTTCTTTGTGGAGGTGGAAATCACTTTTTTTACTCTCTTTCCTCCCCCTCCCCTTATTTTAGGACTAAAAGGCAAATTAGGTTAAGATTTTAAAAACGTATCAATTTAATATTGAGTAGTTAGACATATGGTACACACAGACATCATAATACAACAAAATGCATACAATTTTAAGCCACTCTACGAACCCTTAACACAGATGGCTGACAGCTTCCAATACATAAAACTTTTGACTCCATTATCAGATATTGGGGAAAGGGTCATTTTAAATACCATTTAATCATGCGGTTAGCTTTTGTGTAGAAAAATAAATATGACAAATATATGGATTTCTGATGTTTAAATTGACATAGAAATCTAAAGTATCAATATTTTCATTAAAGCATTTTAAAGAAACATTCCATAACATGAAATTGAGAGCTCAAATTATATACAATGAAAAGGCATGAGGTTTTATTAGAATAGTATAATTCACACACTGAATATTTACATTAATAATGAACATAAAACTACAAAACAACCATTTATTCTAAGTCAGTAACTTTAGAAAATTATTCAATGATATCTGGGCATAGAGGTACATGTCTTTAGTTTCCCAAAAGAACATACTTACTGGAATAACCACAAACTTCCAAATTCTAGTGTTAATAAGGAATATAAACATACAAAGTAATTCAAGAATTTAATTCTACCTTTGGAGAAGTAGTGAAGGAGTAACATCACTCCTAGGGGATTGTCAAAGCTTTACTAGAACTCCTGGAGAGTAGATTTTTGAAAACAATGAGAATGAAACTCTATCCACTTACCAGCACAAACCTGCAATATATTTTCTTCTCTAAATTTAATGTTCATAGTTCAGAACCATGAGTTAGTGAGCAAAGCTTGAATGTCCCCATACCTATCTCTTCAAAATGTCAGAGGAAAAAAAAATCCATTACCTTCTCTCATCTAGCTATTTTTTGTAGATAATAAAATATTACACATAGTAAACGTGACTGAACTCAACCTTTAAGAAATAAATACTAGTTCTCAGAACACAATTCCTAAGTGGAACTTAAACCAAATGTTAATTAGGTTATATTACAAATTTCAAAAGTTTATCTATTGTTATTACTAGGTAATAGTAATATACTTTCCATCATTTAAATCATTTACTTAAACTTATTAAAGTATTACCCAAGCTTTTATTAGTATCTTCGCTACTAAAAAGATTTCCTTTTACTTTACTAAACTGATCTCCATGTGAAATTATAGCTTTAGAGATCACTCTGGAGACTTTTCCTCAAGATATATGGACAAAACATAAGAATAACATAGTTTTCAAGTCATAGTATATGAGGTATTCTTCACCTTAAATCTGAAATCACAAAGTTATAATCTATGAACTGGAATTAGATATTGCTTTGATGTTTAACAGAATCTCCTGGGTTGAGAATTAATACCCAGTGGTATCAGTGCATGCTTTAAACTACCTTAGAAAAGAAAAAAAAAAATCTATGCCAGATCCTGTGGGAACCTAATAAGGGTGGGACTTTAGTGCAGACTGTTTCTTGTGACCTATTTATAGAACATTTCTTAAAAAAATTACAGGAATATGCTTTCTCAGACTACATAATTAGAAAGGAATTATCTCAAAGGAACTAAAAAAATAGTTTTTGAAGCTCTACATAATTATAAATTAGTTACTAACCCAGAATGATACCTTGAGCTTTAACATTTAAAATTAAAACCAAATTTATTAGATGCTATGGTATAAAGCTCATTGAAAATGTACTTTAAGGAAAAAACGAGATTTTAAAATAGTAAGACTTTGCATCTACTTGTAGTCTAAGATATTTTTTATGTTTAAAATTGCCATAACCACAGGACAGATTAACCCTATATTAGGTTAGTAATCTTTATAACTTGACAGCAGGCCAAAACAATCCAATTTTGCTTAAGCTACAATATATGCACAAATAGGAAAATATCCTAGAATTAAAATAGCTTTAAAATTTTTATTAATGTTCAGTAGTCAAAGTTAAGTATTTACTAAAAATATCCACCACAAGATATCAAGAATTTAGTGTTTAAATATAAACTTTTATAATGTTCTTTCTCAGTTAAACAGTACTGAATATAGTAGGTTACTTATATCAGAATGGTTAAAATGTGACTTTGGAAAAAAAAATTTAAATAAGACCAGATAGAGTAACATGATTTCTTTTCTCAACAGTTTTTTTTTTTTGATAGGTCATGGGGCCTTGAACTCTGTGCCTGGGTGCTATCCCTCAGCTCTTTAGCTCAAGGTGAGCGCTCTACCACTTGAGCCACAGTGCCACTTCCATGATTTCTTACTTCTTAGTAAGAAACAGAAGTTTGGGGAGTGAAAGCTTCAAAGAATAGTCATGAATATGTACCTTAACTTGTGATACTCTCAATGCAAAAAAGAAAGACAATATTTGTGAGCACCATTAGAAACGTGTGTGTGTATAAAACTTTACCTGCTTAAAATTTGCATTTCTGAGTAAAGATATGTATGGAATTATGAAAAATACATTCTTAAGCTAACATGTCATGATTATTTTAAAATGTCTTATCCAGCATCCTCTCTACAAAGCTTCCGAAGAACACACTATAAAGAAATTAATATTCCTTCATAGTGCAAAATTTCTTCATTTTTCCAGAAGAATTACTAAGGAAAAAAAGAATGCATTCAATAAGTATGTTCAAACCATCACCGGTATTCAAGAGGTAAAGGAAAAATGAAGTTGGCTAATGGATTTACAGAATAAGCCAATATGTTAGATATGTCTTCAAGAGATCACCACTCAGCCCTCAAATTATTTAATTTGGAGTAGTAAATAGGCTGCAAGGAAAAAACAATCCTCCCTTTCATAATAAAAGTTTCAAAATTATCACCTTAATTTAGTATTTCTGCAATATTCATACATCCAAATGCAAATCCTTTGCTCTGTCTTATATAATAGGTATCCTCAGTTGAGACAGTTCTTTAACGAAATCTTATTTAGATCCTATGAAGAGGCAGCTTACAAGACTGCTATATGTCCTTGACGCTTCTGAAAGATCCCTGCAATCACATGACATAGACAGAAGTTCTCTGATGCCATTGTCATATGAGGAAAGAATGATGTTATTCTCCATTTAAAATACGTTCAATTTCTTCTAGTCTTTTTAAAGCAGCAACTCTTTTCTTCTCAATTTCTTTGATGTCTTTTGTTGTTTTGTGGGGGACCTCTTTGTCTGAATTTTTTGCTAATTGTTTGTTAGATTTAGAGTGACTTTTATTATCACTTGTTTTTATTATCTGTGCTGGTGTAGATTCACTTTTGATTTCTTTCTCATGTTCAACTGGAATTTTGTCTGTCTCTTCTTCTGATGTCTTTTCATCTGGGAATCCTGGCTGTTCTACAAAACCAGATGAGGCAATTTTATCCCTGACAATACTCAAGTGACGCTGAATATATTCCTCATGTGGCGCTAACGCCAATGTTTCAACCAGGCATTTTTCAGCTTTTAGTAAGTCCTTTTCCTCAAAATAAACAACACAAAGATTGTGTTTTCCTTGTACGTTGTTTGGATCCATCTCCAAAATCTTTTCAAAACATTTTTTTGCTCCAAGTATATCTTTTTTTTGATTCATCAGAATGTCTCCTTTTAAAATAAGTCCCTTGATATGATCAGGGTAGTATCTGAGTAATTCTTCTAAAATTGGCAGTGCCTTCAATTCCTTTGCAGTTTGGGAATACAAAAGAGCAAGATTAAACAAAGCACTTCTGAAATCAGCTTGCAATTTTATGGCTTTCTTCATCCAAATCTCTGCCTCACTGTCTTTTTTGTCATCCATGGCAAGCATTCCCAAGTTGAAATATCCATTAGCATCTTGGGGCTCTTCATTTATATAGTGTAGAAGACGTTTTCTAGCTTCAGGTCTAAGTTTAACTTCACCTAAGAATATTTTTTAAAGAAAAATACTGTGAAATGAATTAAGCTGGATGATCCATTTTTAAGTATTTACTTAGATTATAAAATGTAGCATTAAACAACTAATTCTCATACATCAATAAAAAAATTTAAAGCCAAAGCCTAAGTTCATATAGAAAACAATGTGTGTCAACACTGAAGTGAGATATCACATCCTTTCCCAAGCACTAGTGTTTCAGAAACTAAGAAATCTCTTTATCATTCACAATCAAACATAGAAAATAAAGAGAAAGAAGCAAAGGATCCTCAAAACATATATTCAATCAATGTTGGTTCTGTTACCATTATAACTTTATACATTAAGTTATTAAACTTCTCTAGGTTAACTTCTGTGTTAACTCTCTGAATTTTCTAGAATTACACGAGTTATGTATGTAAAAGGTTTAGCAAATTATATCATTAAATAAAAAGTATTAGAATTACAAAATCTGATTTTCTGGTGTGTCAGATCAAATTTTTAAGAAAGTGTCAATGATATTAGCTATATAATTACGATTTGAAAAATAAAATATTTAGACAAGTTCTATTGCAAATAAAAACTTTTCAAATACTATAGCTAGATACCATGTGCTGTAATATTATGTTGGATAATGAGCTGTTTTGTAAGGTTGGAAAAAATCTTACAAAAGTATGTTTTTCTATAAATTTATATAAACGTAAGGAAAAAAGGTTATTTATTTTTATAAAATGTCTCCTCTTCATCTAAACTGGTCCTGAATGCACAGCTTTCCTGTGTCTGCCAATGCTGGCAGTATGGGTGTGTGCCACCATACCTGGCTCAGTGTTATTCTTTCAACTGACAGTATCATCAAAGAAAAAATTCTTTTGCTGTTAAGAATTGCTTACAAACTGAAATATCTGATTCACCACACCATAAAATCTTATTTATGAAAAACTAAAAGAAAAATTGAAAATAAGTTATTGGGCTTCACATCTTACCATGAACTAGCTACTAAAGTAACTTTATGAATTTGAGGTAGTTGTTACACTTTGAACCCCATTTTCTAACCCATTAAAATAGAAGATCAATGAAAGTAAATTCAATGGTCCTTTTGAAGTTCTAAAATTCTGTAATTTTTTGATACTTTCATCCTTTTTGTATGTATTAAGAACTATAAGAAATAATCAAAGTTGTAAATAAAGGGATTTCTTTCCAACATAAATATCATAACTCATGTAGGCAATTTTATGAATGCAAACTAAAATTCTTATATAAAATTAAGTACACATTTACTCTGATTAATACTTGTTTTGTCTTGTACATTTAATATATAAATGTTTATAAATATAATAGATGGGATATTTCTTATTACCTGAAGCATCATTTTTAATACATACCAGAAGAAAGAACAAGTACTGTTACATATGCTTGCACTTACTACTTGAAAAGAGTTTACTTCAAGTGTTTTAAATATTCATTCTTAAGTCATTAATGCCCAGATCTGTTCATGTTTGCTGTAGGTAATGGCACTTCAGGTTTTACTATACTTCCAAACTGCCATTTAGTTAAATATAGAAAAAAAGTGATAAACTATACCTGATTCTTGCATTAATATAGCAGAATTGAATAGTGCTAGCTTATGCTTTGGATTTAGTTCCAATGCATGATTAAAGTTCTTTAGAGCTTCATTTGGTTCTTTAAGTTCAATATAGACAATTGCCAAGTTATACCAAAGATCTGCATTATTTCTGTCTAGCTCCAGTGCTTTAAGATAGGCTTCCTTTGCTTTGAGAGGCTTATTCATCTTTAAAAGCAATTCTCCCCTGTCGAAAAATCAAATAAAAAGTTTACTTAGAAAATTACATGTCAGTTTATACCCACAATTCTTCACAAGTTTTAAGCTTTTCTACATGCAATTTTTTTAGACTTACAAGTTCTCTCTGAAAAAGGCAATATTTGAAATCTGAACTCCTTAGTTCAGAAATGTAGTTTCATATATTATCAAATATTATTAAAGAAAGGGAATTACTTGACTTTTAAAGGTAAGAAAAGCAGACAGAAAAAAATCTATTTGTATCTTAAAAAGAGACAAAACAGGCATTATCCAACAAATAATAGCAAATATAGAGTGGAAAACCAATGAATTTATCAAGTGATAAAATTATACTACTTTAAGAAACATACACCCAAGTTAGAGGGAAACTCCAGTATTCAAATCTATGACAGTGTTATGTGTTTTTGTCTGTATCCCAGTGTATAAATAAGCTCCTTCACAATATCCTTACAAAATAAACATTCATGTAAAGGAAAAAAGAGAAAGGAAATTTCAAAAAGTTGAATGGGTGGGAAGGTACTAGTGCCACCTGCTGACAGTTTATAGGAACACATCTACAATTAAGGATTAGTTTGAAAACCACTGTTATGCAGTTGTTTTTTTTTTTTTTTTTTGAGAATTTTCAAAAGGAATTTGCTTTAACACATTTTTATAACATCCTTTCAACAGTAACTTCTAGGAATGACCATTTTTTAACTGCAAATATTGGTTTTTTAATTTTTTTTAGTTCCTGTCCCAGAGCTAGAACCCAAGTCCTGGGGACTATACCTGAGTGTTTATATCCAAGGCTGTCTATACATGGGCCACAGTGCCATTTCTAGCCTTTTGGTGGTCAATGGAAATAGGAGTCTCATGGACTTTCCTGCCCAGGTTGTCATTGAACCATGATCCTCAGATCTCAGCCTCCTGAGAAGCTAGGATTACAGGTATGAGCCATTGGCTCCTGACATGCTGAATAATTCTTAACGGATGAACATAACACAATGAGCACTGGGTAAAGCTATAAAAGGCAACTCCAATTTAAGAACAGATTTTTATTTCAAAAAGTTAAATTCAGGTGCATACTGCCTGTGTGGACCTGATCATAAAAATAATACTTACAAAATGAACTCTAGGAAATGGAAATGAGTTTTTTTTCGTTTGCTATTTTTGTTTTCTTTTCTTTTTGTCCTGTTTGTCTGGATGTCTCAGGGAATGTAAGGGGAGGCATGGAAATGGAGGGCCAAAGGATGAATGAAGAGTGAACAAATGCATCAGTGAACTCACTGGACACTACACTGAAAATAAGCTACACAACTTGAGGTGGGATGGGAGGGAAAAACTGTAGTGAGGGAAGGGGTTGGCATTATCCAAAAGGAAATGTACTCTTTGCCTGACTTATGTGTAACACCTCTGTTTTTAGCACTTTCAAAAAAAGTTAAATTCCTAATGTACTTTCCTTATAGTGTTGCAAATTATGACTAGGTTAACTGGGCAAGAAACAAAACTAAGCTTAACATACATTTTCCCTAAGTATAGCAAATAACTACAGTAGAACACAGATCATGTTCTAACATGTCATGTCAGAAAACATTTTTTTATTGTCAAGGTGATGTAGGAGGGGTGGGGGTTACAGTTACATAAGGTAATGAGCACATTTCTTGCTAAACTTATTACCCCTTCCCTCAATTTTCTCCTACTTTCTCTCTCTTCCAACCGCCCCCCAAAGTTGTACAGATCATTTCCAATGTATTGTCTTGTGCATATTGCTGTTGCATTGGTTCCCTCTTGTCCTTTGTCTCACCATTCTCTTGTTTTCCTTCCCTTCCTTAATTCAAATAAACATATATACAATACCAGGGTACCAAAATCAAATGTAGTGACAAGAGGGGATATACCTTTGGGGGCAGACCATACAAAAAAAAACAAAAAATCACAAAGGAACCAACCCAGATGCCCTTCAGTAGATGAATGGATCAAGACATTGTGGCACGCACGCACGCGCGCACGCACACGCACGCACACACACGCACGCACACACACAAACACACACACGGATTCTATGCTTCCATCAGAAAGAATGGCTCAAGAAAACAATTTTTAACTGCTGTTTTTTGGCACAGTCATCATTAATCAGTCAATTTTCAAACTATGGCTATCGGAAATTAGGAATCCTCTAGTCAATTAAATTTGTCAATCTAAAACAATCTATTAACTCCTATACACTTGGTTGTCAATTAGGGCAAGTAAAAGAAAAGCATGCCAAGTTAGTAAAAAAAAGTACATGAGGTATATCTTCAATTTTGTACAATGATATAGCTCTAAAGTAAAGTGTAATACCTGCTGATGTAAGCCTGCTTGAAGTCAGGCCTCATGCTTATTGCTTGTCGATATAGCTGATCTGCTTCTTCTAGACGGGATTCATTTGCTCGGATCAGGTTGGCCAGGTTGATATAAACATTTAAGTGGTTAGGTGCAATTCTGGCTGCATATTTTTTGCCAGGAATAATCTATTTAACACAAAAAGCATTTTCATATATTTGGCAAAAAGTATGTTTTCTTGATGTGTTATTTAAAATAACATAGAATATAAGATTAAAGTTTTACAAAACTAAAAAAATAAATGAAACTGAATGAACCTTTATTATTCAATAAACATAAATTCTATTTTTGGCACTGAAGGACATTTCTTATTTACATATATCTTTTTATGAAATCAGATATCAGAATCTATTTAGGTCAAGGTCTCTTTAAGTCTATCACAACAAAAACAGAATACTTCAGACTCCTATTATAGTCTAGTTGTACACACTGTTGTTAAATACCATGTTATCAGCAAAGTATTTCCCAGCTGTGAAAAATTATAGCTAGTTTCAGAGTTATACTAACAACTCAGTTGTTTAACATTGTGAAATAAAATGTTGTATTTACTATTCATGTTAAATATTATCCTATTTAATATGTACCCAAATTTTGAGCAAAAAACATTAATAACCTTAAAAATATAATTTATATCATTTTAGGACTGAAATGTTCCTTAGGATATCATATGGCTCAACTTTGCTTTAAGAAAAAATTTTAAGTTCAGTGTGAAATTATTCTAATTGAGAAATCTGCACATCAGGTTAAATGGTCTTTTCTGATGACACAAAGTTGATAAAGGGTAGAGTGAGATCTTCCATCTTTAAGACTGCATTATTATATCCAAAAAATATTGTCTCATTATAAAAACTGTTGAATACAATATGGCAGCAGAGATATAGACATTCTTTTTTCACCTGTATTAACAGTTGTAATGAATTTAGTATTTAAAGCACAAAATCTCTACTTAAAGTCATTTCACTCAGGAGGAGAATGAAGACCATCTAATATTTATAATCTAATATTAAGTATTTACAAATAAACTATAACAACCCCCCCAAAATCTTTAAAGAAAACAAATGCACATATGTAGGGACACTTGATTCATTTGAAACTTTGTCAAACTGAAGAAAATAATTTCCCATCTAGCTAATTCTATTAATATGGACACATAGTAGACATGGTACAATAAATTACTAAAACTTACTTGAGGCATTAATGATTTAGCCATCATGTAAGATTCTTCAGCTTCTCTGGTTTTATTTAAATTTTTGTAAGTTCTTCCTACATTCATGTGGGCACCAATATCATCTAAAATTTAATGAAAGTTATAATTTTTAAAATATATTAAACAGTATTTAATGTAAACCTCTATGAAATGCTTTATAAACACACGTGGCAAAAAATGCAAAAGCAGACAACTTCTAGTTTTCTCTTTGAAGTTTATTTAACACAAATTGATACAAGTTAGGACCAATGGTAACTATAAAATTACTTAAAGCACTGTAAAGTGAGGAAATGTACACACATGAAAAAATTATTCGAATGTATCTTTTCAGGGTTAACATATAGAGAAATAGAGAGCTAATGATGACATTTACATAATTTGTCCCTGTATTTTTACTACACTACTAAGACTTGTTTTTATTTCTTTAATCTCATCATTTTGGCCTTCACAGAAAGTATGGCTCAACTCTACAAGTGAAAACATACATCATGTCTCTTCGAATTTAAGTATCATAAATGTTATGTATCACCGTGGGATAACAGCAAAGAAACTGAAAAAACTATGATTTGGTATTTTTTGTGAATATAAATGTAATGAGAATATAATGGAGTATTAGGATCATAGCAGTAAGGTGCTATGGTCCTTTTCTTTAAATGACCTATTTCTGTAGAAAAACTATGAAAATGTACTTACAGAAAAAAAAAATACAATTTAAGAAATATATGATGACTCAATCATACTAGTTTTTTTGTAAATACACACTCCCAGTAAGTATTTCAAAGGCTGGGAATAAACTTGAATATCTAATTAAACATGGTTATCTAAATAAACATGAATATCTAACAGATATGAAAAGGTTTCAAATTACGATTAATTGCCTTCAATACTGATGATTTTGCAAGTGTGGAAGAGTAGTTCTGACTGTAACTCCCAGGACATACAGGTGCCAAGCACCTTGGGCATTTCCTTGGGAGGAGTGCAATAGTCCTGAGATTTTGCTATGCTATTTTCCAAAATAGCAATTGAGTGTAGATGTGTAATAAGTTCAGAATATGAAGGATGAGAAAATTTATTTTTTTCATTTTAGATATATAGCTGAGTCAAAAGGGGGCCAAATATGACACAAAGTTTGTGTTAGTCATATCCAGTCCTGGTTGTAAATCAGAATATCAGTAGTTATTAAAATAAAAAATTCAGATGTTACTCAGCTCTAACAAAACATATTCTCTTCAGAAATAGAATTTGCATTTGAAAGTTTTAAATGCAAGTCTAATGGTAGACTAGGCTGAAAAATCACTGCATTCCCAAGTATAGATAAACATATAGAATAGGGAATCTATTTTTTATCAGCTAAATTCGTATTTGTTATAGAGATTAGAAAGCTATTTGGAGAAAATGAAGAGTATATTAAGACCTAAAAATTATGCAGTAAAAATTTAAAAACAGGTGGGAAAATTTGAGTAAAGTATAATTAGATTAGTATTTAAAACACTGCTATTATTAGCCTGAACTAACTTTAGAAGAGAGATATCTACCTAGCTACATCAGGCTTTAGAATTACGGTAAGAAGACAATGCCATCAATATAGATTTCAGGTATAGCTCTACTTTCCAAAAAACAAGGATAGTGATTAGCTATCCTTTAGCATTTGAAAGGATTTCTCAATATAACTAATAACATGAGACATATTTTCTAAGCAATTTTAAAATAAATTAACAAAGTTAAAATAATCCAGACTGGATTGTTTAATGGTAAACTTAAATTTGAAAAAAACATTAAGAAAATGCAAGATTAAAATAAATTCAGATAACTAAAAAGCTAAAAAGTTTTTGTTGTTGTTTTGTCTGTTGTAGGCAAAGAACACAGGGCCTGGACACTGTCTATGAACCTGTTTGTGCTCAAGGCTAGCACTCATTACCACTTGAGCCACTGAGTTACCTCCAGTTTTTGAGTGGTTAATTAGAGATAGGAATCTCATGGGGACTTTCTACTCAAGCTGGCCTTGAACCACAATCCTGAGATCGCAGCCTCATGAGAAGCTAGGACTGCAGGCATAAGCCACTGGCACCAGCTCTAAAAAGTTTTAAAGAACAAATTTGCTGTTATGAATGAGGAAATTATTTGAATCTATAGAAGTAGGCTGCCTTTAATGTGATAAAAATGAGGATCTCACAGATCTTAAATGTACTCTTTGATTATTACATTCCCTTCTCTACTGAAACGTCTAATATTATCTTATTTTTTATCATGGGAAGGAGATCAGAAGGGAACTCAATGTCTCATCATTAAATCTATCAACAAATTTAGTGGTATGAATATGCGTATGTGTTTACAATATTATCACATACCCTGTATAAAAATGGTCAATCTTTTTGTTTTTTTTTTTTTTTTTTTTTTTTTTTTGGGTCCGGTCGTGGTGCATGAACTCTGGGCCTGGATGCTGTCCCTAAGCTCTTCAGCTCAAGGCTAGCGCTCTACCACTTGAGCCACAGCGCCACTTCTGGCTTTTTTTTTGCTTATGTGGTGCTGAGGAATTGAACCCAGGGCCTCAGGCATACAAGGCGAGCGCTCTACCACTGAGCCACCTTCCCAGCCCCTCTTTTTGTCTTTTCTACTATTAAAAATTATCTTCACTGAAATATATTTTGCAGGGAAGGTCTTTATCTCACTTTGTATTTTGTCTCTTTCAAATGATAATTTCTTAAAGAGTCATTCTCTGATCTCTATTTCTAATCATTACTCTTATTTTTTATCTCTTTAATATTTTTTGTATGCATGTTTACATGAAAGACCCTATGTGTGTGTATCTATGTATATATATATATGTTATATTGTATATTTTTGGTGTGTAGCTATGTGTATTCACTTTCCACTGACAGAGATCAAATGACTCAAATGGTTTTCTTTGAAATATTTCGAGTTAGTAAATTGGAACAATGGTTCTAAAAATCTCTTATAAAATTTCTTCTGTTTTTATAAGTAAAGAGTAGATACAGATTAGAGGCTTTTCTATTTTATATCCAACCTTTGTCTAGGAACGGTCTTTCCAAAGAAGAGGAAATTAAACTGGAGGTATGACATTTGGCCTAGAGTTTCTTGGGTGGTTGCTACCTGTGAGACATTTTGATTAACTTCTGTTCACTGTTTCTAACTGAAACTTGGTTATGTCTTGGGGTTCTGTCTATGGTGTACATTATGCAAGTGGTGATTGAGTTCTTTTTCATATCCTTTGCAATACTGAGCTTAAAAGAAGAGTTCATGTGCTTCATCCCTGTTTTCAGAAAATTCCCATTCCTCTTTAAAATTAAACTGTATACTTCACTATTCTCTTGTTGAAGTTACCAATCTATTATGGATCTTTGGATCTTGATTCTCTGCTGTGCTTTCAAACATCCCTCAGCCAAAATTCTTCTGATTTCAAAATCTACACTGTGGCCTTGATACTCTTTTATTTTTCTAGTGATTTTTACTACCATCGTACTTTAGTTAGTTCAATAGACACAGTTTTTTTTCAGCTAGAGAATAAAAAAAAGTAATCACCAGCCTGCATCTTTCCACCTAGATTTTGTGTATCATGATTTTATTTGGTTATCATGAGTAGAAAGTAATATTGACATTTGGTAAATGGGAATTACATGTGGTACATATCCTGAAATATAGTTTATACTCTTGAAATTCTAATTCCATTTTCTCTACTGAAAATTTCTGCTGCTTTAGCTACACCCTACTCAAACACTAGTTCTTCGTATTTGTTGATCCAGTCATTTTTCCTATATCAGTTACCCTCTCTTCAGATCCTTTCTGAATCAACTTATGTTATCTTACATTAATCTCTCCCTTAGCCTATGTTTCTTGGTAAAATTCACTTGACAAAAACCCTAATCTTAATGACTCAGTAATTCATGCTTAGAACGTGACTACTACTATAGCTGGAAAGCAGCTACATCAACTGATTTAATTTTAAGTTATTACTAACATTAAGTGGGGTGTTGTTAGAATGACCTGTCATTATATTTTTCTAGTCTACGTATTTTCTTAGCTTCCTAGAGCCTAGTTTCTCCAGTGTGATATATGGGGCTTATCAGAAAGACAGAATGCAGGGTTTACTTACATTTTTCTACACCAAAATATATAATATACTAAGATGTCCAAGCTTTATGTGCATACTGACATTTGTGAAGCACTTAGATAACCACTTTATATACTCTTCTATTCTTACAATATCTTCCCTTTACTCTGTATTAATTATTTTATTCTCTATTTCATTGAAAGAAAAAGAAAAATAGAAGACAATTTAAGAAACTTATTCCATATCCTGTATTTATCTGTCTCTATCCATATCCATACACTGTGTCTTCCCTGTTCCCACATTTAGCTCTTAATACGTTTGAATAAGTTCTTCAACTTGTGCATCAGATCTTTTCTCTCTCCACTCATCTTTACAAGAACATCAATCTAGTAAATCCATCTTTCCACCTGACATTTTCCTTAGTGTTACTGGATTTCCTCTAACATGCTTTGTTCCTCCCACTTTAAAATAAAAAATTAAAACAAAAGACCCTCATCTACCACATTTTTATGCTCCCATATCCTTCCAATAACCTCAAAGTTTCTACACAATTCTCTTTGAGCATTCTTCCTTTATTATTTTAAACTCACTCCAATTCAGCTTTTGCACCTATCATTCCCGTCATTTATAACATCCACCACTGTAATTTACATAAAAACGACCTAAGTATCTGGTATCAGTAGTTCGTTTCCTAAATGGTATTTATTTTTTATTTTTTTTGGTAAGACATGGGCTTGAACTCTGGGCCTGGGCGCTGTCCCTCAGCTCTTCAGCTCAAGGCAAGTGCTCTATCATTTGAGCCACAGTGCCACTTTCGGTTTTTTGGTATTTAATTGGAGATAAGAGTCTGATCAACGTTTCTGCCTGGGCTGGCTTTGAACTGTGATCCTCAGGTCTCAGCTCCTGAGTAGCTAGGATTACAGGTGTGAGCCACTGGTGCCCGGCTTCATAGTTTTTAAAGGAAGTAAACTATTCATAAATTAAATAATTAATAATGCTTACCTGGCTGAACATGGGTAGCCTGTAAGAAGTATTTCAGAGCTCTTTCGAAGTTCTTTTCATTTTCCAGAGCATGACCCACATTATTCCACAATTTAGCGTTATTTTTATTTACCTTAAGTACATGCAAAAATAGAAATAAGTTATAAAAAGAGAAATTCCAGTTCATACAGATATGTTTTGGTATACTATTTTGATTAGAATATTTTATGGAGATTCCTTGGGGTGGGAGGGCCAATTAAGACACCACTTTGCCATATTACTCTCCTTTCCTTCTAATATTAATGTACTAAAATCACACCAGTTTTATTCATGTATTTTATGAGTTAGAATTTCATTACATTTTTTAATTGACAAAACCATAGTGCTCTGTAAAAACTGCTGTTCTACTATTTGTACTCTTTTTAGTTGCTCTTTTTTTCCCCCTTTTTTAGGAGCATTAGAGGCTACAGTTTAAGCCTTGTACTGATTCATTTTTTTGTTTGTTTTAGGCCTGGCTATTATGGTAACAAGAACCCTGTGCTTGAAGTTCCATATCAATTTGTATATTCAGAATTCAGAGATGGGTATAGTTTTCTTACAAGCACAGAATGATATTCAGTGAAGGTACTAGCTGCAGTGTTTCAGATTTCATGTTTTAGTGTCCTAGGACAAGCAAGTTCCTAAAAAATTCTGAAGCACCATAATCATCCCAGAAGTGTGACTGAGTAAGGAGGTTTTGCTTCAATACGGAGCTGAGATCAAAGTGGAGTTACTTTATTGGTAAGAAGTGTGTTATCTGATCTTAAAGAGGTGTCAAATAATCAATTATTAGACTACTGGAAAAAGACAAAAATGGGTAGGCAACAGAGTAAATAGTCACAAATTTGGAGATTTGAAGAGAGGGAGAGAGCTTGGAAAAAGTCTTTACTGATACTCTTTATAGAAAACAAATTTATGATTGGTAAAAGAACTTTCTCAGCTTCATTTGTTGGTTGTGGGGCTTGAACCCATCAGCTCAAGGCAAACACTCTACCACTTGAGCCACAGGGCTACTTATGGTTTTCTGGTGGTTAATTGGAGATAAGTCTCATGGACCTTCCTGCCTTGGCTGGCTTTGAACTGTGATCCTCAGATCTCAGCCTGAGTAGCTAGGATTACAGGTACGAGCCACTGGTGTCTGGCCTTTCTCAGCTTTATGTTGTCTACTCTAGAAATGCTGTATCTCTCCTTTCTAATAGCTCTAATCTTTCCTACAGTATTGTAAACACTGATTATATTTCAAGTAGTGGAGTGATACTGTCTGTTGTGTATTTTCACTGAATATAAGATGCATCAATTATAGGAGTCATCATAATTTTATACATCATTAAAAGAGTCCACTAAATGTTGACTTTTTACTGTTAAGATCTAGTATGGCCATGAGACTCAATAAACCACCAAAAAACCTGAAGTGGCACTGTGGCTCAAGTGGTAGGGTGCTAGTCTTGAGCAGAAGAGCTGAGGGACAGCACCCAGGCCCAGAGTTCAAACCCCATGAATCACACACACACACAAAATTTATTCTGATTTCAGATACTGAAAGAAATTTGTGCCCTGAGAATCAATAAAATATACCATTCTATTTAAATATTTTATCATATAAATGTCTTCTAATTGCATAACATTAATGTTTTGGACATAGTTAAGTAGGTTTTAGATGAGTTAGTATATAAGGAATATATTGTTTTCAGTAATATTTTGGAAAAATATATAAGAATACATTATTTAAGGATAGTATCATAGTTATATAGATATGATTAAAAGTAAACTTAAAACAGCTTAGAAGTGCTGATGAGAAATAACTGATGGCATACTTTCTTGTCATTCATAACAATACTTTACCTTTAAGGCTGACATAAACAAAGTATATTCAGATTCCCAGTCCCAATTCCTGTGGAGTGTTTTTAATGAATGAGTTAGTATCACAAGGGATAAACAAATCCAGGACAGCTTTTTAAATACACTGTTTAAAAGACAAAAAAAATTTACATTTTAGAAGAGAGGCAAATAATACGTTAAATGTTCCCATGTTTGAACTCATTTGAATGACTGTTCAAATTTAGAGAAAATGACACTAAACAAATTTAAAGTAATTTGAGTCTTCAATTTTCAGTCATTCCTTGATATGCTTATGATGCTTCCAGACTCTCCAGGATATCAAAGTCCAAGGCAATGCAAGTCCCTAATATAAAATAGTGTAGTATTTGCATATAATCTACTCATATCTTCTTGTATACTTAAAATGAACTCTAGAATGTAAAAGACCTGTTCAGTAAAAGTGTAATTGGTGGTTGGTTGAGTCTACAATGGAAAACCCATGGATACAGAGGGCTAACAGTATATTCTAATATTTGCCTGCATTTTAAAAATGTGTTTGGATCAGATTACAAAAACTAACAAAACTATTTTTTAATTGTGAATTTTTATACTTAGAGCTCCTTGTGCTATTATCTATACAACTTGAGTATTCTTGAGTATTTCAAAGAGTAAGGTTAAGAAGAATGTTAAGAGAAACAAAACATTGTGGGAATAAGTAGAGATGTTTTACATTTCTAGGCATATTAATGACAAAACATTCATATACAATGATATCTACTGCAATGATAAGTTTCTAAGCATATTTCTCCTTAACGTCTGTTTCGAGGCAATTAAAACATCCCATTATTATAAAAACAGTAATAGAAAGTTATGAATATTCACTGTATTCATTTTTTCATACATTGACAATAATATGGTTAAACCTTTTGACTTTAGTTTTGATAATATGTTTTCTATTTGGCTCTGACTCAAAGTTTGTTTTGTCTCAAGCTGTAAATTAAAATTACTTAAATATGCAAGAGACTACTAAATAAGTAGTTGCTACATGGCTTTTCTAACTTTAATTACAGAAAATGAAAAGATGATCAAGATGAAAAAAAGAGAAATCCAAAAGTATGTATGTAAAATGGAAAACGATATAGATTTAAGACATAATAAGGGCTGGGAAGGTGGCTCAGTGGTAGAATGCTTGCCTTGCATGCATGAAGCCCTAGGTTCGATTCCTTAGCACCACATAAACAAGAAAGCTGGAAGTGGCACCGTGGCTAAAGTGGTAGAGCACTAGCCTTGAACTGAAGAGCTGAGGGACAGCGCCCAGGCCCAAAGTTCAGACCCCATGACTGACAAAAAAATAAAAAGCAAAAACCAACCCCTCATCCAAAAAAACATAATAACATCATGTTTATTATTCCAGTTGCTCAGGAAACAGGGACAGAAAGATTATACCAGGCCAGCTAGGGCTAAGGTAAGTTAGCAAGAGACCTTATCTGAAAAACAAACTAAAATAAAGGTAAAGAACTGGGGTGAGATAGTGATGGGGGTAGCTCATATGATAAGAGTACTTGCCTAGCAAGCTGAGGACATCAACTCTCCAGTACCACCAACAAAAATTTACATATAATTCTACACTGAATAAACATTAACTGAACTAATTCACCTTTTGTTTGAAATTTTCTGCCATCCATGGGCTACCAAAATACAAAACCCCATGCTAGGAACATAAAGTACTCGCTCAGCGACAACAAATCCAACAGGGAAAAAAAGGTTCGAAGCAGGAATAAATGGTAATGCCATTAAACAAAGTGCCTAGAAGGAAAAAGACAGTTTATTAAATTAAAAATATATATGCATGCTTAACACTCTACTATCAAGAAATAATTAAGTAATATTGTCAAGAATAATTTATAATGTTTTCCAAGTCTTTCCCTAACAAATGGGGTGGGTGTCACTCTTTCTGATGGAGGCATAGAATTCCATTACACACACACACACACACACACACACACACACACACACACACACACACACACACACACACAGATACACACACACACGTATTTTCTTGATCCATTCATCTACTGAGGGGCATCTGGGCTGGTTCCATATCTTAGCTATGGTGAATAATGCTGCCATAAACATAGTTGTGCTGGTAACTTTAGTATGGCCTTATGTGTGATCTTTGGGTAAATGCCCAAAAGTGGGATTGCTGGATCACAGGGGAGCTCTATGTGGAGTCTTTTGAGGAGCCTCCATACTGCTTTCCAAAGTGATTGAACAAGTTTACATTCCCACCAACAATGCAGTAGGGGTCCCTTTTGTACACATCCCTTCCAGCATCTGCTGTTATTAGATTTCTTGATTGTAGCCATTCTAACTGAGGTGAGGTGGAATCTCAATGTTGTTTTGATTTGCATTTCTTTTATGGCTAGAGAAGTTGAGCATTTCTTCATGTGTCTATTGGCCATTCTTATTTCCTCTTCAGAGAAGTTTCTCTTTAAGTGAAGTAAGCCAGGCTCTTATTTGCAATAACTAGTATTAAGTATAAGACAAGCAGAAAAGGTCAAAATCTATGTAGATTATGACCATATAAGATGATGTTAAGTGAAATGAATCCCAAGATAGGAACACAACTTGGTTTTTCTTTCCTGCTGTTGTTTTTAACGTATCTAAAATATACTATGTGATTTTTTTTTTTTTTATTTCTCTTGCATGTTCTTCCCCCACGGTATAACCACTGTTTTCACTGTATTTGATGTCAGTGGCCTGCATCTTGCATATACATTTTTCCAATTTGGGGAGGGGAAGGGAAATAACAAAATGTTGAAATTAGGATCAGACTGACCCATTGTAATAATGATATACAAGACACTATGTTGAAAACAAACTTTAAAACTTGGGGGTGGGGGAGAGGGAGGAATTGAGGAGGTGGGGAGGAAAGGGGTGGTAGGGGAAAAACAAAGGAGGAGTTAACAATGCTAGATAGAAAATGTACTCATTACCTTATTCATGTAACTGTAACCTCTCTGTATTTTTACAATAAAAACATATAAAAAGAATAAATTATAATAGTACTATGAAAATAATACCATGAGTAATTTAAACATAAAAAATCAATTTGATCAAATTAAGAAAAATCTTGTATCCCAACTTATAATTTATAGATATTTATAGGCTGTAATTGAAAACAAGATGCCTACCTACATTTTGGAATGATTTCTTGAAATGCAAATCTAGACTTTTTAAATTTGAAAGAATATTTCACTTTTTTCCAACAATAAAAATTGTGGACAAAAGATCTGAATAATTTTATTTTACAAAAAAATATATAAATGGCCAAAAGTTATATGAAAAAAAACAAAGTCACTATTATTGAAGAAATGGACATCAAAATTACATTGAGATTCATCTAACTCTTGTTAGAATAACTGATTATCAGAAAGACAAAAGAAAACAAGTAGGGGCAAAGGGAATCTTTGTAAGTTTTCCAGTGAAAATACAAATTGGTAAACTCACTATAGGTAACAATATGGAAGTTCTTTAAAATATTAAGAATAGAAGTACTATATGATCCAACAATCTCGTTACTGCGTACTTATCCCATTAATATGCTTGGAAAGATTTCTGCATTCCTGTGGTTACCACAGTACTAGTCTCAAGAGCCAAGATATGAAGAACACTTATCAATGGATGAACAGATAAAGAAAGTTAAGTATAGGTATACAGGAATCCTACTCAATGTTTGCCATTTGCAATTTGGATGAATGTGGGTGACATGTTAAGTAAAATAAGCAAGGCACAGAAAAACAGCATCATATTACATAGATATGGATTATCACATGAAATATATAGAACATATAAATTGAGAATAGAAGATGGCCATTGGGGTCAGGAAATAAGTTTAGAAAAATGTTGGTTAAACAACACAAAATTTTATTTAGTTATAAAAATGTTCTTTTTTAAAAATATATAATTTGTTATTATTAAGGTAGTGTTGTGGAGAGGGGTTACTGTTTCATAAGCCACGTAATAAGAACAATTTTTGTTTTTGACAATGTCACTCTTCTTTGCTTTCCCCAAATGTTTAAAGGATTATAGTTTGAGGCTAATCCTAGACCAAAATGAGATATCCTACTAAAAAAATAACCAAAACAACAAAACAACAAAACTTTGCTCAAGAAATCATTATGATACTGGAAAATGAAGGAATAAAATAAACTATGGATCAGATGAGGCATCAGACTTCATGCTCTGTACTTTAGCACTAATGATAGGTCACATATATTTTACTAGAGGCTCAGTATATATATGTGTGTGTGCACACGCATGCACATGTGTGTAAAGATATACACACATATGTAAGACTTTTTAAGACCAATTTTTATTCTATTAAGCATTCCAGAATTTTAACATTTTATATTGAAAAGTAGCTCAGCTTTTTAGAAAAACAGGACATGTGTTTTATTGATTAGAAAGCTACAAATAACTAGCATCCAAAAACATCTGAGAAAAGATTTAAGTTTGATCACTATTGAAACACCTGTTTCTTTGGACATTTACTTCTACAATTTGTTACTTCTACAATTTGTTACTCAGTTTGGTTGTATAATATCTCATTGAATGCCTTAATCTTCTAATGAGGTTTGGAGAAAAGAATGTGTTTTTCTTATAGTTTAATTGATGAAATATAAATGTAGAGATGTATATACTTTGAGGAGTATATACATGAATGACCAATTCATAAGTCAGGTAATAAAAACAAATCTATTTGGACAATGTCATCCTTACTTTGCTTTCCCCAAGTGTTTTAAGGATCATACTCTGAGGCTGACACTAGAAAAATAAACAAGCAACCATATTACACTGGAAACTGACTTTTGGCTCTGTACCTTAGCACCACTGTGTAACATTCTGATGGGTCACATATATTTAACCTGTAATGAAGCAATACTAAATCTGAAAAAGCACTAATCAGAAAACAACAAACCATCAAACACTAACCACCAACATATGTCTCTGAAATTTCAGTGTTTTTAAAAAATCAAAACCACAAAAAATATGGATGTGTGTAGTTTAGTTTTCATTTTCATTTAGTTTTCATTTTGCTTGATCAAAAATATACCTATAAATCATGGCTGCCCTAAAGCAACTACATTAGCAAGAAACCACAAAGAACTGAAAAATCCCTATGTCCTCTTATTTTTATCCCAGTTTCAATTACTACCTCTATTAATAAAATTTTATATGCATATCAGAAATTTCCTATTCTAATTAATAAACCCTTTTGTGTAGCTCAGACATCTCTTACGAACTCCAGACACAAAGTACTGTTCAAAAAGTCTACTATGTTTGAAAGAAACTTTCAACTCAATGTATCTGAAGTTGAGAGTAAAAATTTTCCCACAAACTCTGTATGTAGTTTTTTAAATCTTCCCCTTAGCCACTGACTTCAAATTTCCCTAGAATGCAACTTCTCTTAAAATGGGGATCTCTACTTCCTTTTTAGGCACTACCAGGGCCTGAAATGATGCCAGGCCCTCAAGTTGTGATCATGAATTTCTTCTGAATAAATATATTTCTCTAGTGGTGTAAGGCAGAAATGACACACTTATGAGACATCAGATGTTTTATAGTGTATAATAAATGCTTGAGAAAATTGTGACTGTCTTCAATAATTTTGAAGAAAACTCTTTAAGAAGAACAAACTAAAAAAAAAAAATGCAAAGAAAGAGTTGACAAGAACAAAAACAACATCAACAAAAAGACATAAAATAACCATGGGCTTACGGACATAGTTATCTCAAGAAATAATGAAAATCTTGCTAATAAGAACTTAAGAACTACATTTTTTCCCAGATGTATTATTTTATATGACACTCTTCTCTATCCTGGGAAATAAGTATAGAATATAATCATTTTATCAAGTGTGTGTAATCTACTAAAGTTAAAAAAGATGCAAGAAAATAAATTTAAAATGAGTACTTCGTGATGTGAGAAAAATTCATGATTAGTTTTCATTTTATATTATTGAATGCATTTGTGAAAAGAAGCCTGAAAATTAAATTCTGCAGTTTTAGGATAATCTGAAATGAGATGATAAACAAAGAAAGACAATCTTTCTAAAAGAATTCTAAAAGAATGCTCTAAGTACAAGGTGCTCTTGTACTTAGCCTGAACACAGTACTGCTTAAAAAGTTAAGATAGGCCGGACTCTGGTGGCTCATGCCTGTAATCCTAGCTACTCAGGAGGCTGAATCTGAGGATAGAGGTTCAAAACCAACCTGGGCAGAAAAAGTCTGAGAGATTCTTATCTCCAATTAACCACCAGAAAACCGCAAGTGGCACTGTGGCTCAAGTGGTATCAACTTGAGCTCAGGGACAACACCTAAGCCCAGAGTTGAAACCCCACAACTGGGTGGGGAGGGAGGGGGGAAGGGGGGAAAGTAAAGATGGAGCTGGGTGCTGGTGGTTCAGGCCTGTAATCCTAGTTACTCAGGAGGCTGAACTGAACATCCTGATTCAAAGCCAGCCCAGGGAAGGAAAGGCCGTGAGACTCTTATCTCCCAATTAACCAGAACACCTGTTTCTTTCGACATTTGTTTCTACAGTTTGTTACTCAACTTTGTTGTATAGCGCCTCATTAGATAATTATTCTTTCAGCTTCAGAAATCTGTGGCTCAAACTGGAAGAACGTTAGCCTTGAACAGAAGAGCTCAGGGACAGAACACACAGCCCACGTTCAACCTTCACAACCGATTTAAAAAAAAATAATTAAGATTGCTTACCATTAGAACAGTCTTAGAAGAATCACCAGGGTATCGAAGACTAAATATTCCCAAAGCCCCAAGAAAGCAAAAGAAAGCAAAAGTCGCAAGATTTCGAATATCCAGAAACGATTCTATAAGTGGTATTGTTCCCATGGTCCAATCACAGCAGAGCTCTGAAGGATTTAATAAAAGCCAAGCATTCACTGGAAGAAGGTAGTTAAAAGTTAGCTGTCTGGTAGGAGTTGGGCTTACAGCAGCTGGGTTATCAAATCTGTATAAAGAACAACAAAAATATCTTATGTATAATCTAGTAAGAAAAATTTATTTTACAGGTCTATCAGAATCTTGTCTGAAATCATATTGAATAAAAAGTCTAGTTGAAGGTAGTATTTATGAAGAACTTTTGAAGCACAAGTACTACAATTCTTTCCAGCATTTATTAGAGTAGTTCAGAAAATGAAACCAATAATACTGACACGCTTAGAGGTTAAATTATCTTCTAATTAAAATTCTTAACAAAAACTGCCTAAGATTCATTTTTAAAATCTACATGGCTGTTTTTGTAAATACCTATGTTTTCCTATATGAGATATTTCTTTTAGAGTTAAATACTAATAAAAATTATGCTTCCTAGAAAAAATTCAGTTTTTTTTTTTCCTTCATGACAGATACAACTTATCAACTGTATCACTTAGAAGCTTCTTTTCCTTGCTTTGATTGCCAAGAAATTAAACATCAAATTTCTAGTATGGAGTACTTAATGATATTAAGCCCTATAAGTATTTTCTTTGTGGTCTCCCTTTTTTCCTGGTTTATATGAATATAAACAGATTTAGTTTATTTTTCTCCAATTCATGATAACATTAAATATTTTTCCTTAGCAAAATCTATTTACTAATACATTAAAATGTTTAAAGTGAACCATGTAACAAATTAGTAGTTTTAGATTTTTTAATCTATGTACTAAATTAAATGATATGAACATACAGTCATTTTAAAACAAATCAGTCAACTAAAAAATCAACCTCCATCATTTAATTGACCTGTTTCTCCTCAAACATATCAAATGGTTGAAAAAAGTAAATACCTTTTAACAAACTATCATAATAAAAAGAATTTTCATATTTAAATCTCTATATATATGAAAAATAATACACCTTGAAAACCATGAGTTGAATTTTCAAAATAACCAGTAAAAATAAATTAAAAGCTATGTCTTTCTTTTTCAGAGGAATCACTATTTGGGTTTTTAATTAACATCTTATTTATCTGATTTACAAAGTTAATATTCAACAAATCAAACCATATAATCAACTTCACAAGATAAATGTAATAAAAGCAAATTTATGTCTACATATTTATAAATGCTTCTGTTTGGATAATAATATAGTTGCATGTAACATATTCTAAGGATCTACTCATACATGTACACAAAAATACAATTCAAACATATAAATCGTATTTTCAGACTGTAGAGGTAGAAAATGATTAAAATTCCCCCAAAGGGTTGATATTGAGAAGAATAACACATGGAAAATAATTAAAATTCTTCGAAAGGGTTGAAAAATTGCAACACTAAGGGTTAAAGGAAACATAAAGTGCATGTTTACAGTTCAATTTTCAAACTGTAATGTATGAATGACTTCAGTTTAGCATGAGTAGACTCACAGTTAAAATTCAGGAAGTCGAAAAGTAATCAAAAGAAAAAAAATGTAGCAGGACAATCAATTACGTGCAATATTACAAAGTTTTTGGCTTCAAAATTATCTGAATAAGATTTATTCTAACTAGTGCCAGTAATATACTACCATGTGTAACAACATAGAAAAAAAATTTTTCTTCAACTCAGGGCTGAGGCACTATCCCTGAATTTCTTTATGCTCGAGGCAAGTACTCTACCACTTGAGCCATAAAACCAATTTCAGCCTTTTCTGAATAGTTTATTGGAGCTAAGAGTATCATGAACTTTCCTGCCCAGACTGGCTTTGAACTGTGATCCTCAGATTTCAGCTTCCTAAGTAGCTAGGCATGAGCCACCAGCAACTGGCTGACAAAAAATGTCTTGTGTTAAAAAAAAAAAATGCTGGGGGTGGGGGGGTGGGGAGGATTGAGTGGAGGGGTAGGGGGAGAATGGGAAGGGATAGGAAGGGGAAACAAAGGAGGAGGCTACAATGCTTGATAAGAAATGTACTCATTATCTTGCCCATGTAAGTGTAACCCCTCTGTACAGTATTTTCACAATAAAAAAAATGTTACATATAATGTCAGTACAATAAAATGGCATTAGGAACTAGTAAGTTTCACTTAAAATTTTAGCTGAATAAGGTAAAATGTGAATAAAGTTAGAGTAGGAAAACACGGTAGGTGCTTATAATTTTAATTCTAGCCTTAACTAATTTGTAAGAGATATAAACCAGTATTTGGGGGGGAGGCAGTACTCAGAACTTCCTGCTTTTGCCATGTCCTTCAGCCTAAGCCTTTTTGCTCTTGTTACTTTTTTCTTGGCCTGACCTAGTTCATGATCCTATTTATGCTTCCTTTTATAGCTGGAATGACAGACAAGAACCACCATACCAGCTTTTTCTGTTGAGAGAGGATTTTGTAAACTTTTTTTGCCTGGGTTGGCCTGGAGCTACCATCATGCTGATCTCAAACTCCTATGTGTGTGTGATGGCAGGTGCATGTCAACATATCCAGCTATTGGTTGAAATAAAGATCACACAAACTTTTTGCCTGGGGCTAGCCTCAAACTTCCATCCTGATCTCTTCCATCTCTATACCTCCTGAGAGGCCTGGCTCTCCCTCCTTCCCTTTCTCTCCTTATATATAAATATATACACACACATATACATATACAAATTTATAAAAGGAGAATCTAAGGATCAGGCAAAGAAAGATAGTGATAACTAAGAGAGGAAAGAAAACAAATGAGGGATGCCCTACCTGGAAAGAATTCAGTACTGGATAGAGCTTTTAGGTGGTAGAGCCCAGGCCAAGCCTAGCAGTACACTTGAGCTGAGAAAAGAGACAGGAGGCCGGGACTAGGGTTAGTGGGACAGCATACCAGAGAGAATAAAGCTGCTGAGTAAGTGAACTTGATGGTCACTATCCACTTTTCAGGTACTAATGAAGAATTCCTGTTAGCATATATGTGAAGGTCAATATAATGAGTTAAGTCATAGGTCCCCAAAATTTATGCCTACCTAGAGTTTTAGAATATGGTCTTAAAAACACAGCTTTATAAGTGTAACTTGTTAAGATAAGGTAGTACTAAGTTAAAGTGGGAAAAAACCTCAATGACTAGTAATATTTATAATAGAAAAAGAGAGGACAAACAGAGACACATGGGAAAGACGGCCATATAAAGATGGAGAAGATTGGAAAGCTATCTATAGTTACAAGTTAAGAAATGCTAGCAATCAACAAAAGTTGGGAAACATGCATAGGACAAATGCTTCCTCAAAGCCTCCAGAAGGAACCAACTATGCCAACATATTTATTTTAGATGTAAGACTGCCAAATTGTGAGGAAATGAATTTGGTGTTTTAAGTCACCTAATTTGTGGTCACTTGTTAATAGCAGTTTTCATTTTCAAAGGAAAATTATGTCAATAAAAGACATCCTGAAAAAATTAGGAGATAAAATCCCCTACTGTCAGACTGAAAAGGAAGTTCCTCAGCAGTCAGAGGAGAAATACTGGATATTCAATCCACTGGTAGAATAGTCAGAAATCTCCCATGAAATGAAATTAGCCCTATACTAAAGCCTGAGAAATAGTAAAGCAACAATCATAAAATTCTGAATGAAAAACAGTCAAGGTAGTATTCCCCACTCAAGAGAAATCATGTTTCAAAAATAAATGTAAAATAAAGGTATTTATACACACAAAAGTTGTTATTTCTAGTAGAGAAAGAAATGATAAAGTTATTCATAGACAAGGGAAAGTAGCAGAAGATGAAAATCTTGATCTAACAACAGAATAAAAGGAAACAATCACTGCATGGATTAATCCAACTGACATTGTCCTCTCAAAATACTACTATTTAATAAAAGTAGACATATATTACTAAGATATGGAAGACAATATTAACTTGAACACTTAACCAGTTGGGGGAAGGTAATTAGCTTTGTTGTGGTTTCTTGAGTTTATATTTATGACCAAAATAATCAATCTGTGCATTTTAAATATTATATTTTAAATATGATTACAGATCAAAAAAGTGCTAAAAATTCAATGTAAACCCAAGACTTAATGGAACATTTATGATGGTTTAGCAATCTTCCAGTCAATGTAATAGAGTACGGAAGAACAGAAACAACAACCAGAATTTCATACCTTGTAAACACTGGAAGTTGGGACTGAATAATCTGGACTCTAATCACAACAAGTAATAATGTACTGAACATCAAGACAATGAGCTTTATTAGAGTCTGCAGCATAGAAAATGGAATACTACTCTTTCCACGGAGAAACTGTCCAGCAGTAGTACCTAATAAGGGCAAAGTATACTGAAAAAGAGAAAAAAAATGTTTAAATTACAAATATCAAGATATATTTTCAACGTATTTTCCTCAATGTAAATTAAGGATAACAAAATAATGTGGTACAATTTGTAGAACTGATAATAATCTTATCTGATAATAAATTGTACTGTAATGGTATTATTGCATGCATTCCCAATTTGCCTGAAGATTCCATGATTGAAACTTCACAAGTAGTCCTTAACTGAAGTGTCCTAAAAAGTTAATTTGCAGAAGACAAAACATGCTTTTTCTTCTAACTTTTTGGTATCATTACTGGATTGGTATTATTGCTGGATTTATTTTATTTGTAATAATATATTCAGATAATAAAGTCATTTACATCTTATTTAGCTAGGATATTAGAAAATAAGAAAATTTTTTTTTCTTACCCCCTGCGCAACAAATACTTCATACACACAGCAAATTCCTACAACTGTGATTCCTTGTTCTTTACACAATGTTGCAACAGCCACTAAAAACACTGTCAATGCTATTGGTGACCACACTGAAATTTAAGAATAGGAAAAAAAAAACATATTAATACTTTTATGTGTTAAGATGTATTTTAATTATCTATGTAGCATTTGCTTCATATATTCAAAGAAAAACACCAACATGTATAAGTCCAAGTTAAAAAGAAATGTCTGTGGAAATGAAAATTAACTAATCCAAAATACTAACTTAAACCACTTAACTTAAAACACTAACTTTTAAATGGAGAGTGGTGAGATTAAAGTAATTTTATGGGTTGAATTCAATAATTCAAAAGCTACCAATCGAAAATGAAAACTAATCTGAGATGTTTATCTCCAATTAACCAGTAAAGCCAGAAGTAAAAGAGTGAGCAGAAGAGGTTTAGCAAGAATGTAAATCTTTGCATTCCAGCCCCAGAGCTAGTTCACAACAAAAGTAAAAACAAAACCTACTCATAAAAAAGCTTAAATAATAAGAGTCCCTGGCCTGCAAGCAGGAATTTATATCCCAATATATAACAATAACAACAACAGAAGAAACAAAAAAGCAAAATCACAAAAAAGAGAGGCTAAATAGCTCAGAGGTAAATGCTTTCCTAGTATTAGAAAAGCCATGGGTTTGATCCACACCACTATTAAAAAAACAAAGAAGCTAGTTTGACCATATCACTTCTTTCTTTTTTTTTTTTTGTCGGTCGTGGGGCTTGAACTCTGGGCCTGGGCGCTGTCCCTCAGCTCTTCAGCTCAAGGCGAGCGCTCTACCACTTGAGCTACAGCGCCACTTCCATATCACTTATTTCTTGAATCTTCATTTCCAAACATACATAATCAATATGTTAGAATTATAGTAAGACCCTCCACCCTCCCCATACACACAAGATTCAGGAAAAAAAAGATTAAACAATAGAGACTAAGACTTATTATATGAAGCCTTTTTCATGTCAACTATCCCATACTCTAAAAGAATTTTTAACTGTCTTGATCTTGTGTTCTACTAATGACAAATATCATTAGGATTAGTGAGCTAATGTACACAAATCACATTCAGGAGAAGGGTACATAACAAATAAATACTTGAACTATGGTAACCTATCACAAAAGCTAAACACTAGAAGTCTTTTGAAACAATATTATAGTCTTCTAGTTGTTCAAAACCAGACCATTGATATTTCTATCATTTGTTTTTTACAGATACAGAAAATGAAACTAAACAAACTCAAAACTATATATTATGGTTTTAAAATTTTGATCATATAGAATCTATTGGCCTACAATAAAATATAAACAGCACATCATTTTTAATATTGATTGACAATGTTAGAGTTAGGTAATTTCCATACCTGCTAAAGTAAAACACATAAAGATAAGCACCAAGTACCATTTTTAATGTGTAACAAGAGGTACCTGGAATTAATAAAGTGTATCTGATCAATTTTTTTAACTATAGGAAAGTAAATGTTAAGATATTTACCTATAGAATTATCTGGTCCTTTTGATTTGGTGTATGACAAAAATGCAGCAAGAAAAAAGATAGATGACAAAAGTTCTGCTCTTCCAACAACACCTGTTACCTAGAGAGAGAAAGAGGGAGGGTAGTTCATATTAATGGAGAATACTGTAACTTAATGAACTGAAGTCTGTAACTTAACAAGAGCATTCCTCTGTTTCTCAATATTTCAGTGCTCTCAGGTGGTGAATTGATAGAAATTTATCAGTGATACTTTGCTTTTATTATTATTTCAAACTTATTTTGAAATAAGTTTGTAGATTTAGAAGACATTGGAAGAGTAGAACAAAGAGGTTCTGTGTATTTGTTACCCAGGTTTACTTAATGATAACATTTAATATACTTACAGTATACTACTTAGAAGAGTTCTTTAAAAACCTAAACACTTTGCTAGGTACAAGTGGCTCATGCCTGTAATCCTACTTACTCAGGAAGCTGACATCTAAGGATTGCAGTTTAAAAGCAGCCCAGGCAAGAAAGTCACTGAGACTCTTATCTCCAATTAAGTACCAAAAAAGTCAGAAGTGGAGCAGAGGTTCAACTGATAAAATAGCTCAGGGACAACATTCAGACCCTTAGTTCAAATCCTAGGACCAGCACAAAAGAAAACAAACAAAAAATCTACCCTGTTTACCTTTTTCCTTAAAAGTAAGTTATTAAAATACGTAGGTATAAAAACATTACGTTTAAAATTCCAGGCTATCATTTTAAAGCATTTGAGCTCACTGTAAAATTTAAAACAAACTTTTATGAATGAATGGAAAAGTCTTTAGCCAGATGCCATAGTCAGTGGGAAATACACACTTTAGCTTACAAAGGAAAGCTTGTAACAAAAGTAACTTAACAGAGTACTTACCTCTTGCTGGGAGTTACCAAAATAGTGATAATAGTAATAGCATTAATAATAGTTTTAGAGAAAGGCTAAACACGTTGACAACAGCAAGTTCAGTTTCAAAATATATAACAAAAAATACAAAACTACTGATTACCATTATTTGTCAGAAAAGGTGTTCAAAATTGTATGCATTTTCGTATATTTTTATGGTTCGTTTAAACTGGTCTTATTTATTTTTTCCTATTACTGGGGCTTGAACTCAGGGTCTCATCCTTAATAAGCTTGCTTATTCAGCTGGTACTTCAACACTCTAGCCACTTCTCAAGTCCAGTTTCTTGCTAGACACTCTGGCTTTATACTGAGACCTCAGCCTTCTGAGTAATTACAGGCATGAGCCACAAGGGCCCAGAGTAAATTAATTGCCTTTATTGAGTATTTTCTAGTTTTGTTTTTGGTCCTGGGGCTTGAATTCAGGGCCTGGACATTCTCTAGGCCTCTGTACTCAAGATTAGTGCTTTACCCACTTGAGTCACAGCACCATTTGTAGCTTTTTTTGAGTAGTTTATTGGAGATAAGAGTTTCATGGACTTTTCTGCCCAGGCTGGCTTCCAACTGAGACTCACATCTCAGCCTCCTGGGTAGCTATGATTACAGGTGTGAACCATCAGTGCCGGGCAATTTTCTACCTTTTAATATTGACGAGGATGACAATATGTAAAATCTGTACTGACAAAAAACAATTAGCAGGAAGGGGGAAAACAAATCGTTTAAATAGGGATACAGGTGGACCCACTGCAACAATGAGATGTACAAGTCGTTATGTTGAAAATGAATTTTACAAGTTTCATGTTGGGGGGGGGCGGGGGGGAGGATGGGAAGGGATGGGAAGGGGAAACAAAGGAGGAGGTTACAATGCTTGATAAGAAATGTACTCATTATCTTACCCATGTAATTTTAACTCCTCTGTACAGTACATTCACAATAAAAAATAAAATAAAAAAAATTAGCAGAAAACTCTATTCGTTTAAATTTTATATTATTAAAGTTAGATTATACATGTTTTTAGGTGAGTTAATGTTAGCTTCAGAAACTATTTTAATTTTTTTTTTTCTGGTTGTGGGCTTGAACTCTGGACCTGGGTGCTGTCCCTCAGCATTTCAGCTCAAGGCAAGTGCTCTACCACTTGTCCACAGCGCCACTTTCAGTGTTCTGGTGGTTAACTGGAGATGTCTCATGGACTTTCCTGTCTACGCTAGCTTTGAACCATGATCCTCAGAACTCAGCCTCCTGAGTAGCTAGGACTACAGGCGCAAGCCACTAGCACCCAGCCAAATTTAAAATTTTTATGTAGTAGGAAAATTATATTTCCTATCTATGTGAGAATAAACACGTATTAATTTAGGAGAATTCAAATATCTGAATGAAAACCAGGCAACCTTTTCTTCTTACAGTAACTACTTAATGTTTGTTAAAATAAAAGTAATACATTTTACTTACTGCTTCTGTATGAATTGGGTGTACTGCAAAAAGCAAAGCAGCAATCACACTGCTTCTGTTGTCCAGGAAAAGTTTGCAGACTTTAAGAAATATCACACTGACTACAGCATGAAAAATTGTATTTAAAAGATGATATGACATTGGCTTTAGTTCACTAAAGAGATAATTCAAGCGAAATGTCAACACTGTTAAGGGTCGGTAAGACTTGTGGCTTCTTTCCTAAAAGGAAAAACAACCAGTGATTATTAAAGTACTTAGCTCTTTAGGCTGAAAAAAACTAGTTACTTCTTTTTTATTATTATTATTATTAACTTAATACCCCCAAAGTAATACATTCAAGAGAGATTATCATCTATTTTTCTATTTCTTATGTCCAAAATTCAGGTAACTTAATTTCCATGATACACAGTAATCAGAGAATAGTAGAGTTTGATATTAATTCCTTTAATATTCAGTTATTTCCAAAGCTTGCCTTCTTACCTAGTACCAATGCAAAAGTTTATATAACTGCTGGCTTCAGTTTAGCTGGAATACTGTTGTTTCAAAATGGTACTCTCAGTTGGGTGTAGTGACTCAAGCCATTTCTACAGAAGTTACCTTAAGGAACTTTAAATGAAGATACTTTATAGGCCAAATGTTATTAGAAAGCCCTGTGGTTCTCAGCCCAAGACTGTACCAGAAAACTACCTACACCACCCCAAAACAGCCTCAAAAAAACAACATTCAATATGAGCAAAACAATGCAAAAAAATATTGATCAAATCCATGTGGTGACAGACTAATGTAGAACCTTAGTAATGATTTTTTTTTTTTTTTTGCAAGTCCTGGGGCTTGGACTCAGGGCCTGGGTCCTGTCCCTGAGCTTCTTGTGCTCAAGGATAGTGCCCTACCACTTGGTTCTTTCTGTTTAGGTGATATGGAGAAATAAAACCCAGGATTTCATGCATGCTAGGCAGGCACTCTACCACTAAGCCACATTCCTAGCCCCAGTAATGATTAAAATGCTCCCAAAAGAAGTATTTTATTGTGTAGTCAGGACTGTGAAATACAAAGTAGTACATTATCTACAGAATGAGTCTACAAGAGATAATTTAAACACTTGAGAAGCCCATGGTAGTCCAAAGACTTCTAATGTGGCAGTACTCATATGGATAAAAAGAATGTCCTACACCCAAAAGTCCAAAATGGCTTTCCAAATTACTCTTATTTGGTAACATCAACTATTAGTTCTTAGAAGTACCAATTCCAGCATTTTGTGCAGGCTTATAGTAACTAAATAATACTAAAAATAATTTTTGTCTAGTTTCACATTTGCTACAAGGAGAGAATATGCCAATCAAAAAGGATCAGGAAGCTTGGTGTTGGTGGCTTTTGCCTGTAGTCCTAACTACTCAGGAGGATCTAAAAATGAAGCCAGACCATTCACAAAATTCGTAAGACACAACCTCCAAAATAACTAACAATAAGTTGGTTAGAGGAGTTGCTTAGGTGATAAGAGTGCCCACTGAACAAGTAAGGCAAGCAAGCATGATGTCCCGAGTTCAAACCACAGTACCAGTAAAAACAAGCAAACAAACTAGCTGTAAAAAACTGCCATTCCATCCTAATTTATTTACCACTCTATCTCAACATATTCATTGGAATTGTGTTTAGTCTGCCAGTCTATGAATATTAATACAAATCTTTATCTTTGTTTGTATAGGGGAGCTTGGGAAAATATGAAACATGCAATCTGCAAAGTTTAGAAAAATAATCACACATAGAACAGAGCACTGACACCATGATATGCTCTTACAAGGTCTTTAAATTGGTCAACTGTCAGTTTAGAATTCAATTTTATGGATACATGTACAACAGGTTACTAGGATAGGTTAGGGGATTTGAACTTCTAAGAGTCTCAACATACAGAAGAGAGGTAGAGAAGAGAAAACTGGATGGAAATAATATATTGTGAATTTAACCTTCATTATCAAAAGTCGTTTTTTTTAAGACTAAAACGAGGTAATGTAGGAAAGAAAAATCTATTTATTTAATAAGTACTTATATGTTTATGACTAGCAGAATGAAAAATCAGATCCTTATTGTTTTTTAATGTCAAAATTTAGGGAATGGGGAGAGAGAACAACAATGATGACTGAGAAAACAACTACAGAAATATTGCATGTTATGCTTCAATAACAATGTGTTCAAAATCTACATACGTATTAGAGACTAATGTGTTTGTCCTCAGATATACATTAATAAGACATATATGCATATAATATACATATAATGTATGTCTTACATACATTAGAGAAATAACTTATCATCTAAAAGCTGTTTGCCACTTTCCATTTCATATAACATTAAAACCCAGTCTGTATGATAACCAAATCAGCAAAGATTTAATCCTGAACAGTTTAACAGTGACTTTCAAAATGACTTTGAATTTTTCATAAACTTTTTGATTACAGAGAGGTAGTGGCCAATATGTGTATACTTAATTATTTTTACCTTTAAAATCCAATGTTAAAATTCATACTGCTGTTACAAAAGATGACGCCAGTCAATTGCCTAACTTACACAAGAAAAATAATCATTCAGCAAGAAACAGACTTCCATTACACCTCAGGTTCTTCTTACACTTTTTATTGGTGCTGGTCCTGGGGCTTGAACTCAGGGACTGGGCACTGTCCCTGATCTTTTTAGCTAAAGGCTAGCATTCTACCACTTGAGCCACAGCTCAACTTCTGGCTTTTGTGTGGTTAAAGATAAGGATCTTATGAACTTTCCTGCCTGGGCTAGAAAAAGGTCCTCAGATCTCAGCCTCCTGAGTAGCTAAGATTATAGATGTGAGCCCCCAGTGTTCAGCTACAAGTTTGGTTTTACATATACATATTAATTTTTATAAAGTAAGCTAAGGTACACGGCAAAGGAAATAATCCAGTACTACTTTAAAGATAACTGAATTTTTAACTTCCTGTCCAACTTATTACAAAGAAGTTATTTCTTCTAAAGTAAGTACTTACTTACCTCTGACATAGGGGTTCCCCAGAAGTCATTCTGAAACAATGTTTTTAAAGGTGTGGATGGATGCAAGTCTTTATTATCCAGTATTGCTGAAACATCATCAAAAACAAACCCACAGAACAGGCTGTTCCAATAGCAAGCAGTAACCACACCTACTATTAAGGTTATTTCTTTGAGGTTAATGTCACCCATCTTTCCTATAATAACTGCAGACAAAGGGAAAAGAAGGCAACATGGAAGATAAAAAGAAATAAGCAACATATTTCAGGTAACTATTTCAAGTAACTACAGTATCAGTAAATAATAAGGCTGTAGTTAATACTTACACAGAAAGGCTCAACTCATATACTCCCCACTGCTAAGAAACATTAGCTAATCAATTTGCCATATGTCTAACCTAAGGCAAAATTTTTTGTTTTCATAGTTCTTCCAGTTTTTTTAATCATATTTAATGTTTAGTTAAATAGACAGTGGAGTCCTTATCAATTGACATTAATCAGGCTACAAGGGAAAACACAAATATTTAAAATAACTTTAAAAGACCAGTATGATGTGCTCCAGGAGTATCTAAACTATTTGTGTGTGTGTGTGTGTGTAAAAATAAACACAACACAGGTTTTCCAAACCTCTGAAAGAGCTTATGAATATTAGTATTTTATGTATTTAAAACCAATCTAATTTAGATATTCTACACCTTTGTTTACATTTGTGAAAAATATTTTTCTTGGCTGCTTTTATCCACCTTTTAAAGAACTATGGTGCTACTATTCCTCTCTTCTACTCAGACTGATTATCTATTTGGCCCTTTGGATATCTGAACACAAATACCTGATACCTTACAACAAAAGCTGTTAGCCCTCACCTCACAATAAAGTAGCAATGTAACATACGGGTTACTACTTTAGAAAGGATTCAGTGAGGCAATGGTTTAAAGTAGAAGGGTCTATATTAACTGGAGAATACACACACACACACACATACACACACACAAATTAGCCCTACAATATAGCTCTACATAAACTGCAATCCTTCTTAGTGTTTTAAGTCTACTTGTGGAAGACAAAGTTCCCCCTCAGATTGAAATAAAACAAAACTGTTTGTGTCCAAATCCCCTGCAGTTGAGAATGGCTATACTAGTTACCCAGGGCCTTAACAAGAGAAGATGACGGTCTCATTGAAGTTTTCATTGGAGAAATGGCAGAGTAGAAGCTTACTCCATTGCATGCCATGAAAGAGGAAAAATCTAAGTAACAAAATAGTGACTATATTTTCAAGAGCAAAAGAAATGAGGAGCTGAACCAAATGCTGAGTAATGAGACAATTGAAAAATAACAGGACAGTTGACAAAGTAAATTAAGAAACAGTTTACAGCTCTTAGTAGGGGAAGGTGAATTTGAAGCCTCCACAAAGTAAGCTAGGTAAGCCTCTGTGATAAGACTGGCAGAACTAGTTGTGGAACATCAAGTACCCACTCACCTGAAAGCCTTAAACTTCAGTGTGAGGATCAGGTAGGACAATGACATCCTCAGGGTCACAAGTCAGAATGGGAAAAGGCAATTCACTTCCCCTATTCCTAATAGCAGTGGCAGTGCCATCAAAAAGACAGCTTCTTATTTGAGGCTAAGGTACTTACGGACTAAAAACAAGGAATAATCACTACTCAGGTATCCTGAGTCAGCCAGTCAGAGAGCCTGCAGGAGATGGTGAGTGCGTTGTGGAGAGGAAAGACTGTGATGTGGACAAGCTGATCAATTAATGGGAGATTCACCTCTAGAAGTATAAGGTGGAGGGGTCACCAGCCTGGCTCTATCTAGTCAGAGCAGTTTCACTGCTTGAGATTATTATAGTAACAAAGCATTGAGCCCTTAGATTCTAGGATTGTTGGCTGGTTCAAGTGGAGGTACCAGTCCCTCAGGACTTGAAAATCAAGGAACAGCTGAAGGGTCTTAGGACATCCAGCCAAAGTATTTTGGGAGTGACATGACTACAGACAGAAAATTAACATGAGTGAGCCGGGAAATTAAAGAAGCATCACAAACTAGGACAGTGAACAGTTAGATCCTATTCTTCGTAGCTTAGGGCAAGTTCCAGGGCCCAAGGATAATTGCAGAAACACCTCCAAGCCTACAGATGGCAGAGTGTTCAGCATCCAGGAGCTATCTGCTGTCTGTAGAAATTTGCAGTTAGGTGAGATTCAGATAGGACCCTGAGCTCACACAATACCCTCCAGTCACTTCTGCTCCATAGGCTGACACTGAATGGGGTCTGAAAAAAATTGAGATCTTCAGGCAAAGCACAAGTCCTTCAGTTCTATGGCACCAGTGCAAAACTCTGTGCTCCGTGCTGACAGGCTGACAATTGCACATGTGCAACTTTAAGAGCAAAACTGGTTTCCCTAAAAAAGAATTCTGAAAGAAGAAATTTTGAAAGCTGGTCCTTTGTTCTTATAATCATATCAGCTAGTAAGTTAACCTGGAAGTCTTTAAATGGTAATCTCAGGACAAATGGAGGGCAAGACAAAATTAACATCGTTGGTTTAACGTTTTTTTTTTTTTTAAGAGTCTTGCTATGTAGCCTAGACTGCCTCTGAAACTCACAATCCTTCTGCCTCAGCCTCCTGAGTGCTAGGTTTGCAGAAATGTGCAACCATGCCTATTTTTAACTAAAATCATATAATTTGGGGAGAAAATTCAGAATCAATGTGCAAGAGGTTGCAGAAAAGGCAGAAAAGTTGTTTTAAAAATTTCCCAAGAGAACATTAAGATGAGAAAAAAGGACAGCTTATCTTAGGTCATGTCATAAACTCAACTGTGGAGTCATGTCAGGTTCTGTACAAGAATCACCTATAAAGTTGAAGAATAAAGGTTATACAGTGCTCAGAGGAGACATGATTCTCAGGGGCTTATTACTGCAACAGTTTTAAAAATGGTTTCTTATAGGAACTTGTAGGATTTTTCTAAGTATGTAAGCATATACACATATGTATATGCTATAAGAGAGAGGAATGGCTGATACACAGTATACCAAATCCAGCTACATTTGAGATAATGTAGTTCATAAACTGCATTAAAGATACAAAATCCAATTTCTTCATTAAAACTGTATTGAGTACTCATTTTTTATTACTCTTAATAGTACAATTGTAAATTGACTTTTATATGGATTAAAGAATTTTTAGCCTGGAAAGAAAATCCTCCCAGTTCAGTCTCCTGAGAAATTTAAAAAAAATCTAATCTCAATTATTGTTTTGATAATTTACATTAGTTGTTATCTTAAAGTAACTTACTGGATTTTATTACTGTCTTGAAGCTTAAAAACTCTAGCTTGCAAAGTTTGTAAAAGTTGTATTAACGGTGACTCCTACTATTCTTTCTAGTCTCCTCATGTTGAAGGAAGACAAGCATCTACTTGTTACAGAGACATTTCTTTCCCTAAGTGAAAGACAGTAAACAGGAAAGTTTACTGTACACATTAGTTATTAAATTTCCAATGATTCTGTATTATTTTATACACTGGAAAAATAAGTTCTCATTTTCTCTGTTGGTAAGTCAGCAAAAGGAATGTAACATCTAAGAAATTTAAAGTGATTGGTATAGAAAGCAGAATTAGTACTTATTAAAGTCAAGGCTTTTTTTGTGAAGTGATTTTGGTAAGGTAAAACTATTTACAGAAACAGAAAGCAAGTTCAGGCAAGTGCTTCTGTAACAAGGCCATTTACAAAATTGTCACATAAAATCTTGTGTTGATGAAGACTGGCTGATACAGAAATTTTGATGGAAAATACTATGGCATGGGTGTTCAAAAAGTAGTAAATTTCACTTAGCCATCCTCTACAACATTATGGAAGACACTAAACATGAAAAGTGTTTAATTAAAATTCTTGAATAAACAAGGTTATAAAAACCAGTATATGTACAGTTTACTAAACCAGCAAGATTGAGGAGCAAATCTTTCATGAAATATTGGTTTCCAGACTACATGAAGTGTCAGTATGGCAACCTTCCAGCCAAAAGGACATGTTCAATCACCCTATTAAGTTAGAACACAATACTTATAACTTCTCTGAGCTTCAATTTAACTGAGATGGAAAATGAGGATAATGAAAGCACTCATTTCACTGCAGGACTATTAATGAAGAATGAGTTCCTAAACAGTATTTGGTATAATATTGGTTTTTTTTTTTTAAAAAGCAGTTGGCAAATATGACAAATGTCTTTAAATTTTATCTCACAAAAATGAGTCTGTATTTCCTGCAAAACGATGTCTTGTTCAACCTCACTACGTGTTTTATAGAAAAAAAAAATCTATCTTCAAATAGAAAAAAAAATCCATTGTCAATTACAGTAAAAAAAAAAAAATTAAAAAGCACTTAAAAAAAATGAGAGAGGATACTGGTCCCAACAGTTGGAAATGTCATTTTGATTTCAAGCCTAGCGCTTCTTCAGAAAGGTTACCTAGAGTGATGGATGCATCCTCCTCCAGAAGGGCTGCGCAGCTGAAGGGTGAGAGAAACTTGCTAGAGATTAAGGAGGGCTAACAACACCGAGTGGACGCCTGTCGCTGCCAGCGCCCGGGGTAAACAGGCTGGTGCACAGCAGAACGATCCCTTCACCAGCCCCGATCTCCTTTCCCAGAGCCTCTTCTCCCCAGGCCGTCCGGCTGCGGGGCCGGCGGGCTGGGGATGAGGAGGAGGCGGCGGGTCTTCACGTCTCACTCCTCCGGAAACCGTGAATGAACTCGGCGGCACCCCTCGGCTCCACCACGACGAATTCCGAGGCTCCACGAAGCGCAAACTTTGCCCCGCTCTGGCAAGGGAAGGTACTAGCCCAGACGTAGCACGGACCCACACCTGACGAGCAGGTGAGGCCTTCCCACCTCTCCAGACCCGGGCTGGGCCCCGGAACCCCGAGGGCAGGCGAGTCCCTCAACCCCCGCGCTTCCTTCAACGCCTCGGCCGCCGACCCACCACCGGACCTCACCTGAGGGCGGTTCCACCGAGGGCCTGGTTTAGGGAAATCTCCGAGAGAGCCGTGTGGTGAGGGCAGCCCCCCAAACCACCGTCATGGTTCCTGGCGCCCAGGCCACCCGGGCAGACGTCGATCTTCCGCGGCGTCTCCCGCCTCTAGGTCCTTCCCACCCTCTCGGTACAGGCGCAGCCTTTCGCACTGAATCACGGGAACGCTTTACAGTTCCCTATTCGGAAACTTCAATTCCCGGCATGCTCAGCTAAAACGCAGAACTGCACTCTGGGATTTGGAGTCCTCGGTACACCCTACGCCTTTTCCTGGTTCTTGACACTGTGGTCCAGGATGCGGGCGGGAAAGTTTAACCGTAAAACATCTCCGGAGGTCGTAAAATGTAGGCTTTCCTTGCATCCGGGACCTACAGCCGGCTTTAGCGTAGTGGTGGAGGTGGTGGTGTGGGGCGGGGCGTCGCCTAGCAGCCGGATGCCGCCGCGGGTTTTGCTTGCTCTGGACGGAGTTGGCATTGGAACGGCCTTGGGAGTGGTCAGAAGCTGCTGCGGGGGCCCAGCGAGGTTGTTGAGGCGGATGCGGGACTGTCACTGATTGCCGGGCGTGGCCTAGGTGGGTGGATCTGGGGAGCCCGGTCCCGCTCTAGCTCCGCCAGCAGGTTTAGATCGGAGCCCTGCCTCCCTAACCCGCCCCCGTTAGCCTAGATCTTCCCTATCTCAACCCTGGTTCCTCCCACACTGCTTGACTCCCGTCTTTTATTTGCGCCCTTCGGGTAGCACCGACTCCCGGTTCCTGCTTCTCAGAATCTGCTCACCTGCAGACTTCCACACCCTCCACACACCCCCCCCCCCCGCGCGGTGGGCACGGTCAGGTGTTGGCGCGTGCGCACGCCGTCTGTGAGGTTTCAAGGGGTGTGCGACAGGGCCTCCGAATCTTTCATGTTAGCAAAGAAGTCATCAGACATTGCCTAACCCGTGCTGCATCTGATGTTTTGTGCCTAGATGCTGTAATCTTGGCGGAGGGGACATTTTACCCACGTATCTGTTTTAGCTATTGAGGAACCACCGTCCTTTGCCCACACCTTCGAGTTATGGTGAAGCTCTAAACTTAGTAATGCTGTTTGTATTGGAAAAAAAAACAAACACAAGAAAGTCCCACTTGTTTTGTTACAGGAGGTGGAAGAAGTCAAGATGCCACCTTATATAAACTGGAAAGAGATAATTAAAGTGGACCCAGATGACCTGCCTCGTCAAGAAGAACTGGCGGATAATTTGTTGGTTTCTTTGTCCAAGGTGCTTAAATGATACATCAATTGTTTGTCAAATAATTCATATTGATTAATTGTCATTAATTTAAACTACCAGTAAAAATCACCGAATGCTACAACGAGAAGAACGTTTATATTTGCTTAACGTTTATTAACTAGTTCCTTTTTTTATAAAAACTTAGGTGGAAGTAAGTGAACTGAAAAATGAAAATCAAGAAAATATGATACATCTTTTCAGAATTACTCAGTCATTAATGAAGGTTTGTATGCAGTAGATTTTAAAAGTAACTTTGACAGGAATTTATATCTCTCTTACATAAGGCAATCTCTTATATAAGGCTTAAAATGAGACATCTTTAAATGTGTGTTGAGAGATAGTTGTGTGCAAAACATACTCTAAAGTTCCTAAAAGAGTTGTAGGGGAGGAAAGGATGGGTATGTATAAAAACAATCTAAGGAGATGTATCTTGAAGTCCAGATGAAAGAGACAGAAATGAATGGAATAGGTACTTTAGTGTATGGGAAAGAGGAATTCAAGCTGTGTCCAAAAGCTAGATAAATGGAAGGCAGTGAAAAGGGGATTCTAGAACTAACAGTTATCATAAAAAGTGTTATAAATATGAAATGTGCTTATTTACAATTGAGGAAACAAGTGTTGACAGTTGGTCAACAATTACACCAATAACAGACTTTAAACTGCAGTTGATATATACAAAAGTATGTTTTAGGAAGGCAAAAACGAAATATGTCATATAGGGCAAATTAAGAGAACTGTAGCTGGTTAGCCATAAAGTGAAAGAGTAAAGACAGTTTTATACTAGAATATTAACAATGGGAATATAAAAAAGAGTGAAAAAATATGAAACATTACAAAATACTGCAAGAAAAATGTTTCAAGCTATTGCAAATCTAGAAATTATAGCTCTAAGAAAATAATTTATTCATTCAAAATAGATATTTTCTGAATATCATGTACAATGCATAACAGGTGATTAGGATTAGCACAATAAATAAAACGAAGTTGTATTTTTAGTGTATACATTATAGTGAAGAGGTTTATTGAAGGGACTCTTTTTTTTTTCCCTTAATGTTTAGATGAAAGCTCAAGAAGTAGAGCTAGCTTTGGAAGAAGTTGAAAAGGCTGGAGAAGAACAAGCAAAATTTGGTAAAGCCTTGTTAAAAACTTATTGTGGTCCACTTACTACTAAGCGGTTGAAAGTTAAACTTAATATATCCTGTAAAATACATACAATTTATTATGAAAAACATTTATACTACTACTTAGATCTTGTATGTAATGTTTCTTTCTTTTACATCATTTTATAATAATGATGGGATCCTTTAAAAGCATTAATTTTGTTATTTCATTGAAATGTATGTAAAAAACTTGTTTCAAGGTAAATCTAACCAGTTGAAATATTTATCTTTTTTAAAAATAGAAAATCAATTAAAAACAAAAGTAATGAAACTGGAAAATGAACTGGAGGTACGTCCATTGTATTGTTTAAAATGTGATTGCCTTAATTGTGTTACTTTGAATTTTCATATTTTTGTGGTGGCTAGAAAATTCACAAGAACATTATCATGTTTATATTCTGTTCAGTATACTATATGTTTATTAAGTGCTTTGACTTATACTAAGAATTAAGCACATAATTATGAACAGAAAAAAACCAGTTAATAGCTGAGGTAGCTGAAAGTCTACAGAAATATATAGAAGGATTATTAGCAATTGAGGAGGAAGGTGGTGGGTGGGGATTTGAGGAAAAAGTGACAGAACATTATGGTAGAAGACCACAGGCAAAATAATAATGTATTGTTGAGATTTCTGGCAAGTAAAAAGAAACAATAGAAATGGAATAGCCTCTGAAAGAAGAGAAGGCAGAACACAGAACATACTATGTTTGCAGGGTTAGTGCTTGGAAGTTGAGAGACTATACATGAGATCATCTGCTAAAAGTAAGAATGGAAGATGGGATGGTTAAATTTCAAGACTGTCAGATAAGATAGGTCCTGGTAGCTCATGCCTATAATCCTAACTATTCAGGAGGTTGCCTAACTATTCAGGAGATTGAGATCTGAGGATCATGGTTCAAGCCAAACGGAGCAGAATAATCCGAGAAACTCTTATATCTCAGTAACCAACAAAAAGACAGAAGTATAGTGTGGTTCAAATGGTAGAGTGTCAACCATGAGTTTTTAAAAAGTGAGCAAGAATTCAAGACCTTGTACAACAACAACAATAAAAGAATGTCAAGTAAAGCTTAGTACCCAAAGAAATCAAACTGCAGCTAAGGCAAGGTGGTGAAAAGGAATATTTACAGTCAATTGTCAATACCTCTCAGTCGTCAGAAAAGCTTATTGTCAGCTTCTGATTTAAACTTAAATAAGCTAAATTAAAAAGTAGTCCTTAAGCTGATAAGATTTTAATCATCTGTTACTAGAACATAATAAAAATGTAAAGTCAAGATAATTATTTGCTGTTCATTTATTTGAATATCCAAATATGATGGAATTAATTTATACTTTGGATTTATTACTTTAAGATGGCTCATCAGTCTGCAGGTGGACGGGACACTCGGTTTTTACGAGATGAAATTTGCCAACTTGAAAAACAATTGGAACAAAAAGATAGGGAATTAGAGGAAATGGAAAAGGAATTGGACAAAGAAAAGAAAGTTAATGAACAAGTAAGACATTTTTTTTTCAATGAGTCTTTACTGTACTAATAAAGATGTTTCTATAGCATGTCTGATACTGTTTTTTATAATCATTGGCTATATTTACTTTACATTATATGCCATAGTTGAGGAATAAAGTACATCTATTTGAGGTTTTTGTAAAATATAATAGATTACCAAAATATAAAATATTTTGGTAAAATATAATAGATTAAATATTTCTAGTGAATACTACTTGAGTATTCTTTACAGTTGGAGGTACTTTTTATAGGACTTTGGGTTACATATATAATAGATGCTTTGGTCTAAAACATTAGAATAAAAAAATTGAAAGGCATTCATAAGTAATTTTCTATCATAGTTTTGATTGAAATTGACAGATGCAGTCATGGTATTAGTGTATGTATAATGTATAATATTACATATAATATATTAATATACAATGTTACCAGGCTACAGATGAAGCTTGTTCACATTTTCCTAGAAGTTTTATAGGCAAGGGACATACACCTATTCCAGTCTGACATCAGGTTGCTTCATTTAACCATTATACTGTACTGCCATTGAAGTAGTAGTAGTAGTACTTTGAGTAAAGTAGTTTAGCCAGGACATTTAGGAACCAGGGATATGGAATCTTGGATGAAAGCCAATCCTTTCATTTGTTTTTTTGGAGAGAAATATTTTTTGTGTATTTATCCTTTATGTAGCTTTTGGTATGTGCACTTCAGAAAATGTTTTTAACAGCTTGTTTTATCCATTCAAATCCTTTTTAAAAACTTGACTTTGTCTTAGTTTAACTTGAAGTCTGTAGTAAAAAATTTTCTTAGAAAGGATTTAGACTTAACTCACCAAGTGAAAATCTGAGTTTATATTGAATTACTGCTGAATTTTATCTCATTTATTTTTTACTACTTAGTTGGCTCTTCGAAATGAGGAAGCAGAAAATGAAAACAGCAAGTTAAGAAGAGAGGTTGGTAAAACATTTTTAGTGGTTGTAGTAGTTCAACAAATACACTTGTTAAAAAAGGTTAGCTTACGTTCATATTGTAACCAGAACTGGAACCTTCTAAGTACCTAATATTTTTAAAGTGGATTAATTATGGTATTGCTTTGCTTCAGATAATTAGAAAATAGATCAAAGAGTGTGGTTGTGATGTAATACATTCCTTTCTTAGATCTATGTGGGTTAACTTTCCTTTCTGTTGTCCAAGCCATTCTCTACTCTTATTACTTTAGTATGTCACTGAATTTCTGTTCTTAATGCTCTTTCTTAACCAGCATTCTTTTAAAGATTTTGTTACTCATGAATTCTTATAAATTTTGACTATTATTTGGTTCTTCTGAGCCAAATAATATTTGAGTATTGTTATTCCCAAAAGGAATTTCTTTTAACCTAATCAAAATGTTCTTTGTTTTGATTGGTAGTTAATATTCTTACTTTCTTATTTAAAATTAATACTTAAATTTCTAAAATTCTTTATTTTTGCTTTCTTTAATTTCTAGCTATTATTTTTAATTATGTCTTGCATTTCTCATTTCTAATTACCCTTTTCCTGTCCTTTTCTGGAGAACAAACGTCTAAAGAAAAAGGTGAGGCCTTAAGGTGAAAACTGGAGAATTTAAGATGCATTTTGAACACACTATTTAGAAGACATAGTTTATTATTTTAGATTGCTTTTAATTTTCTGCTCTTTGGACTACTATCAGAATGAACAGCTACGTCAGGATGTTATTGATTACCAGAAGCAAATAGATTCACATAAAGAATCACTTTTATCAAGAAGAGGAGAAGACAGTGACTATCGATCACAGTTATCTAAGAAGAACTATGAACTTGTTCAATATCTGGATGAAATTCAGGTACAATGAATAAAGTCAGTTGAGAGCAATCATTTTTATATAAATTAAGACTACAATTTACTATCACAATAAAATACATAATAGTGCTATAGTACAAAACTAACATATAGCCAGCCCTCTGTGAAAATTCTTTATTATAAATCTGTCACTGTGTAATTGTACAGTGTAAAGTAAGTTATATCTTTAAAGTTATATTTTTTTCATTCATTTTATAGTTGCCTGTCCTGGCCATTAAGTACAATTGTAGTCCTTTGTACCATTTCCTTCATACAATTAATCCTAAGGGTCTACAAACAATTTTCTTCCCCTCCGCCTGGACACTTACAACTTCATTTAATTTTAATTTAGCTTAAATTGAATTTCTTTAAAAAATATTTTTAATTACAGTTTCTTTAACATTTTTAGACCTTAACAGAAGCTAATGAGAAAATTGAAGTTCAGAATCAAGAAATGAGAAAAAATCTAGAAGAGTCTGTACAGGAAATGGAGAAGATGACTGATGAATACAATAGAATGAAAGCTATTGTGCATCAGACAGATAACAGAGTGGACCAGCTAAAAAAAGAAAATGATCATTATAGACTTCAAGTAAGAATTATCCTTATTGTTTTTTCTTTGTTGGTCGTGGGGCTTGAACTCTGGGCCTGGGCACTGTCCCTCAGCCTTTCAGCTCAAGGTGAGCACTCTACCACTTGAGCCTTGGCACCACTTCACATTTTCTGGTGGTTAATTGGAGATAAGAGTCTTGGGCTTTCCGCACATGCTTTGATCCACCATTTTCTTATCTCAATCTCTTGAGTAGCTAGGATTACAGGTGTGAGCCACTGGCGCCCAGCAAATTATCCTTATTTTGACTACTTTATACAGACTTCATATTATTGTATTGCTATGTAAAGCTGGAAATATTTTTCATTTTTCTAAGATATGAGTTTTGTTTCCGTTATTGCCATTGTTGTATATTTGCATATATGTGTTCTTCACAAAACACCTTGGTCAGGCACCAGGGTTTATTCTATAATTCTAGGTATTGAGGAGGCTGAAATCTGAGGATCACAATTCAAATCCAGCCCAGGCAGGAAAGGCCATGGGACTCTTATCTCTAATTAACCAGTAACAAGTAAAAAATGAAGCTATGGCTCAAGTTGTAGAGTGCTAGCCCTTGAACAGAACAGCTCAAGGACAGCATCCAGGCTCCGAGTTCAAGTCCCCAGAACAGCACACACACAAAAAAAGCAAAACCCATACTCATACAAAACACCTTGTAATTCTTGCTATCTGGTTATATAAATGATATTTGAATGAATGTGTAGACTTTAGTCTTCCAAAGCTTATATTTACGGGAATTTTCAGGCTGGTGATATTGCTCAAGGTGCAGAGTGCCTGCCCAGCAAGTGTAAGGCATTGAATTCTAATTCCAGTACTGAATAAAAAGTATGAGAATATTCTAGTAAGGATACCTATAATTTTGTCTGAAAAGTCTTGTTGAAGTAACATTTAATTTTGTATCTTAAATACTCTATAAAATATTAGATACCAATGTATCATTCACTATTTACATGGGCTCAAACCTTTTAAAAAGTGTAATTCTGTACTAATGAAAGCAGTTATACAACTACAGGTTAAGTATACCTTATTTAAAAAATGTTTGAGACCAGAATTGTTTCAGGTTTTGAATTTTTTTCAGATTTTTGGATTATTTACAAATGCATAATGAGGTAGCTTGGGGATAAATTCCAATGTATGTATACCTCAGACATATATACACGTATGTATATATATTATATTTATATCTGTATCACACATATAATATAGATACAGATATAATTATCTGAAGTATTTTTAGTATGTCAGCTTTTCAACTGAGTTCTATCATATAGGACATATAGGACATATAGAGATATGGTGTCATGTCAGTGCAGAAAAGGGCCCAAATATTAGAGCATTTCAGATTTTGTATTTGGATTGGTATTCTGCTTGTATAAACATACAGGGAGCCATTAAATGTCACTTTTAGCTGCATGACTGTTCCACAAATAACATGTATTATAATGCATCTATAAATATAATTACATGTATATATAACTACATATAATACACATATTGTATCACTGTCTATCAATTTTTGTACTGATTGTTGCCTTTTAGGTGCAAGAACTCACAGATCTTCTGAAAGCAAAAAATGAAGAAGATGATCCAGTCATGGTAGCTGTCAATGCCAAAGTAGAGGAATGGAAGGTGATTCTCTTCATTGATACACTATCATTTTTTTATATATTAGATTTAAATCTTGTTTAAACGACTAAAAGAACTTATACTAGTCGGTAACATTATTATTATTCCATTCATTATATATATTAAACAGAAAAGATCAAAACTGTGCTTTGTAGTCCCCCAGCTCATTTTTCATTGAATGGGCCACTCAAATCAATAGTAATCAGCTGTGTGGTCAAGGAAAGACCTATCAAAATCACTTGGGAAGCCTTTTCAAGCAACATCTCATCCTCTTCACCATACTCCAATCCTAGCCAATTTCACAGTCTTACTGTATCAAAAGCTGAGGTTATTATGAACGTTTACTTGAAAAACATTGAGATAAACTGAATAATTTTTTTTGATAGTGCTAGTATTTGAACTTAGGACCTGTGCTTACTGCGCAGGTGCTCTGCCACTTGAACTATCCTTCAAACCTTTTGCTTTTCTTATATTTTGAATAGGATCTTGGCTTTTTTGCCCAGTGAGGTCTGAATCACAGTCCTTGTATTTGTGCTTGTAGCTGGGATGACAGGCATGTGCCACCACACCCAAGTTTTTATTGTGATGGGGTCTCACTAACCTCTTGCCTAGAGTGACTTTGAACTGTGATCCTGCTGATCTTAGCCTTCTAAGTCACTAGAATTATAGACATAAACCACAAGATTTGGCTCTATTGAATAGTTTTTACTTTAGAAACTGTCATTTCTAGACTTGTTGCTTCTAGTGGGTTAATCTAATTTTTTTTTGGTGGTTTGCAATTGGTTATCATGGTGAAGCTTGGGTATCTTTCAGTTGAATTCAATAAATTTTAATGGAGTAAATATTTTAAGAGTAAATATTTTAACCTAGTCTGTCTGCTAACCACTCAACTCAGCTGTTTTGGCATGAATATGGCCATAATGCATAAATGAATGAGCAAGGTTGTTTTCTTGGAAAACTTTACAAATACTGTGCCAGGCCACATTTTATAAAAAAATAAAAAAATAAAAATTACAGGGTGTTTTTTTAATCATTTATTTGAGCTTTAAGTTACGAATAGAGTATCAATAAAATTGTAATGGCAGCTGCTAATACTTTTTCAAATAATTTTATTTTCTATGCTTTCTTAAATGTACTAATATGTTATTTATCTTAAATGAGGAAACTTACTTTGCTTTTTGTAAGAGATGTTTTGTTATTTCTAGCTAATTTTGTCTTCTAAAGATGATGAAATTATTGAATATCAACAAATGTTACATAATCTGAGGGAGAAGCTTAAAAATGCTCAGCTTGATGCTGATAAAAGTAACATCATGGCTCTAAAACAGGTAAAACCTCAAAATTTGTTTTATCAAACAGTCTTATTAAAGTTAGAAATCCCAATTGTCTTACTATATTATCTGTATTTAATTTAGTAGCATTCACAACTAGGCATATAATAAAGTATAAATTTTTCATACTGGTCACATGAAAATAAATTAGATAATTTAGATGAGGGTTAGAATCAGAAATGTAAATATTTTGTTGCTTTTTCGTTATTGTTGTAAATACACATACATTGTTTTAGTTAGGAATTGTTCAATGAGATACTACTGAAAATGTTTACATTTTAAAATACTTTACTACTCTGTTATTAAAGTTTGTTATATTTCAATCCTGGAGTACTTTAGTATAAAACTAAAAGGTATAGTTATAATTTGAATGTGCTACCTACTTTGAATGTGCTTCATTTTCAGTGAAAATACATACTCATTTATAAAAGAGCCATATTTTCATCATCTATATAGAATGAGATTTGAGAAGTGTTTAGAGAATATAAACAATTATAAGGAACAGTATTTCTGAAAGAAGTGCTTAAGATATAAAAGATACATTAAATAAAATAGCAAGCACAGGGAAAATACAAACATGCAAAATTATCAAGAGATAGAATTGGGTGGTGATGAAGAAGGCAATGTATAAGATGTAAGTTATGAAATTTCTGTCTGCCAGGTTGTTGGTCATTGTATTTATCTTGAAGAGTAGATGACACATAGAGTTTTACCATTATTAAATTTATATCCATAATCTTATTGAAAAGAGTTACCTTTTTCTTCAATTTTAAAATGTATGTTTATATTCATGAAAGAATCTGCACTATTTTAAATATGTTTTAGGGTATACAGGAACGAGACAGTCAAATTAAGATGCTCACTGAACAAGTTGAACAATATACAAAAGAAATGGAAAAAAATACTTACGTTATTGAAGATTTGAAAAATGAGCTGCAAAGAAACAAAGGTGATTTCTCCTATTTTTATGTGTTTGAAATGAATTTTATAAAGTTATGTTTTAAAAGATTTTTTAAAGCATTATTAAATAAAATGGTCAACTAGATACCTGTAGCTTACAATCAAGATCCTCAGATCTCAGCCTTCTGAGTAGCTAGGATTACAGGCGTGAGCCCAGGCCCTCAGTATGAATATTTTGTTTTTCATATGAAAACTATTTATATGAAAAGCTTTGCACTGCGGTCCTCAGATCTCAGCCTCCTGAGTAGCTAAGATTATAGGTGTGAACCACCAGGGCCTGGATATAATTCTTTTTTTTTTTTCTTTTTGGTCCAGTGGTGGGCCTGAACTCTGAGCCTGGGCGCTGTCCCTCAGCTCTTCACCTCAAGGCTAGCGCTCTACCACTTGAGAAACAGCACCACTTCCGGCTTTTTTTTCTGCTTATGTGGTGCTGAGGAATCAAACCCAGGGCCTCATGCATGCAAGGCAAGCACTGTACCACTGAGCCATCTTCCCAGCCCCTGGATATAATTCTTTTGTTTGTTTGTTTGTTGCAGTTACCCACGTCAGTGTCTTCTTTTTTTTTTTTTTTTTGGTCTGGTCGTGGGGCCTGAACTCTGGGCCTGGGCGCTGTCCCTCAGCTCTTCAGCTCAAGGCTAGCACTCTACCACTTGAGCCACAGTGCCACTTCCGGCTTTTTTCTTATGTGGTGCTGAGGAATCAAACCCAGGGCCTCAGGCATGCAAGGCAAGCGCTCTACCACTGAGCCACCTTCCCAGCTCCTGGATATAATTCTTATACATATATTACTAGCATTTAACTTAGTAAATGATGGGTTTATTTTATTAGCATTTTGTCCCTTTGATAAAAATGACATGAACATTTTTAAATTGTTTCTTGTACAATTTTGATTAGTGTATCAGCATTGAAGATAATTTTCAGAAATAATTTAACATGTCAGCATCATTTGAATTAATTTTGTCCTAATTAATATCACATTATATTCTCCTTACACTAAGCGTTTCCCTTATATCTACAAATGGCAAGATAGAGTTAGAGGGAAAACAAGCAAAAGTATGTACCAAAGTGTGTTGTGGAGGGCTAAATGGAAGAGTGACTAGATAGTGGGCACAGCTTAGCCTCTTTGACAGCTAAGATATTGGTGTTCTATCTATCCTAATCTAATGCCTAGTATAAGTCTAATATACGTATGTTAGAAAAATTTTATTTTACTGTAGGTGAGCATGAGAATTATCTGTCAATAAATTTTACAATGATAGGAGTATTATATTTTGGGACTGGCATTAATTTAGCAAGTCGAGATGTACAAGTAGGGAAAATACTTTTCAGCTAAGTTAAAGTTAGTTGTGAGAAACACAAAAAACATTCAAGAATGATTTAAAGCAAGATAGAAACTGGCTGTCTATGATGTGAACAAGTCAGAACAATTCAGTTCAGACTCAGTATCTTTGCTGCACCTACTCAGGATCCTGTGTCATGGAGTGCTACTCATCCTGCCTCAACATGGAATTTACATCGCTAGTCCTATGCACAGTAAATCCAGTCTTCATAATCATATTTCAGGTAGTAAGATGGAGAAAAGTGAAAATGAAAAGCAAGATTCATATTACATTTCTTCTTTAAAAAATTCCCTGAAATTCCTATATGGCCTCTATATTTAAAACTCGTTAGCAATATAACCACATCTAGCTGCTGGAGGATAAGCAGAACCTTAGGTTATATTTCTAATGGTCATTTGTCCAGCCAAAATCATTGCCACAATGATCAATTTTGTGTGGTAGTATTTTGCAACTTTTACAATTCATATGCCATTAGCTAAGGTTCATTTATTTAAATTTTATTAACCAAATAGTTTTCATTTTGCAAATATAAAACTCCAACCTGAGTGGAGTTCTTTGCAGTGTGATGCAATGTATCCTGCCCCATATTAGAGTCATTGATTTAAAGGAAAAATTAACTCATGATTTTTGTTTTTACCCTTTAGGTGCTTCAACTCTTTCTCAGCAAAATCACTATTTGAAAATACAGTCAAAACTACAAATTTTAGAAGAGAAAACTAAGGAGGCTGAGAGAACAGCTGAACTGGCTGAGGCTGATGCAAAGGAAAAGGATAAAGAATTGGTTGAGACTCTAAAGCGATTAAAAGATTATGAGTCAGTATGTATTTTTATCTTGTCAATCAAGAAGCTTAGAATTACTTTTGCCTCTCACAAATGACTCGGTCTGTTATTGAGTTCCAATCTGAACACCATTCGGTATATCTTGTAATAAAGGTGGTTTTAGTTTATATTAAGCTATTCAAAATTATAAGCATTTATTTATTTTTTTTGACAAGAACATTGTTTTAAAAACTTCTGGTCAATGCATTTTGCCAGATAAGCAGCTTTTGTGAAGCAGCACATAGTCTTCCTTATTTGTCCATGATGCTGGCTATATAGATGTGACACCACTGGCTGCTTTGATAAAACTGATGACAGAGATAGTTCTGTCACGTACTGTGCCACCACAGGGTACTTTGCGCTTTTTATACTACTTAATATTAATGAGACAACTATATTCTATTGGCAGTCCTGATTCATTTCTAATGTTTTCCTATATTCTGGTAAGTGTTCTATATATGATATTGAGTCATTTTGACATTAGGATATTGTCCTAAGTTTCAGCTATTCTATATTCCGTTATTATTATTATTATCATTATTATTGCTACTACTACTACTATTACTACTACTACTGGATTTGGCTTACAAAAGCACAATAAAAGCCTGCATTAGTATCTACAAAATTGTTTCTAAGTATCAATTTTAAATGTTTAAAAAAACCTGAATATTGTTATCATATCTATGTGTACATTTCCCCTTAAATATAATTTTTAAAAATCCATGAATTTAATTTATTGATTTAAATGAATTATTCATTTACTCATGATAAATTTAAATTATATTGGGTATTTTTCAGGGAGTATATGGCTTAGGAGATGCAGTTGTTGAAATAAAGAATTGTAAAAGTCAGATTAAAATAAGAGATCGAGAAATTGAAGCACTAACAAAGGAAATCAATAAGCTTGAGTTGAAAATCAATGATTTCCTTGATGAAAATGAAGCACTAAGAGAACGTGTGGGTAAGCCAGCCTTTGGTTTTTTGTTGGTTGTGGGGGCTGAACTCTGGGCTCTGGTTCTGGACTCTGTCCCTCAGCTCTTCAGCTTAAGGCTAGCGCCCTACCACTTGAGCCACAGCGCCACTCTGGCTTTTTTCTGCTTATGTGGAGCTGAGGAATCGAACCAGGGCCTCATGCATGCAAGGCAAGCGCTCTACCACTGAGCCACCTTCCCAGCCCAGCCATCCTTTAAGCTATGTGGCGTTTTTTCAACTCTAGTTTTCAGGTTCTTCATATTTACTTTTGGTTTATTATTTTTTTGTTGTTGAGCCACCTTCCCAGCCCAGCCATCCTTTAAGCTATGTGGCGTTTTTTCAACTCTAGTTTTCAGGTTCTTCATATTTACTTTTGGTTTATTATTTTTTTGTTGTTGTTCTTGTATAGTGATTGAGATGGGACATAGAGCCTTGCTTGTGTTAGGCCAATACTATCACTTAGCTATACACCTACCCCTTTTATTTTAGTTTGCTTTCTTAATGACAATCATTGTTTAAAAAGTGAAAGTCCATTTTAATACTAGGTATCAGCAGCTCACCTTTTATTTTTATTTCCCCTAGAGGGTCTATATAACTCATTTTGGAAAAGATTTATTTCAGAGTAATTCATAAGGACAGAGACATTGATTCTAAGAAGTAAGTTGTAAATATGTCTTGAGAGTTTATATAATGATTTCAATAGTTCATTACTTACTACTAACTTGAATGCTGAATTACAACTATCTAATCTAATTTGCTTCTTTATATTGAAAATACATCTAAATATTCATTTAGTTATATCAACCAGCTAAATGCTGGTTGATACTTTCTTAGACCTAAAAGACCATCTGTAAAAGATTTTCTCTGGAGAAAGGAAAATTAAATATTTCATATAGAATATTTTCAGATAATGCCTAACTAAAACCTAGAATTATTCTGGGACCTCAATAGACATTTGATTAATTTGAACAGACAGGTCAGAAAGAGGAATCTGGACGTTCCTAAAGATGATTTCTGACCAATCTCGAGGCCTTCTGTGTTTAAAGATTTAAGTTCATAATTGTTAAGGTCCTGGTTTTTAACTACTCTGATTCATCTTGATATTTGTTCTTTAGTTTGTTGCTTAGCAATAGCCAATTAGGTAAATGCACTGGGAACATCAACATTGTAATGCTAATATATTCTATATTGATTTTGATGAAGACTACTCTATGGCAGGTACTTCCCTAAACTCCATATTTAGATTAATTTCATTTTACTGTTGGCAGGTCAGAATATTTTTTAAAGGCAGTATTACTTCTATGACTTAGCTACAAGTTGAAAGTTGAAAGCTGTATTTCAAACCTAATATTCTTTTTTTTTATTCTGAAAATACTGTACAGAGGGGTTACAATTACATGGGCAAGATAATGAGTACATTTCTTATCAAGCATTGTAGCCTCCTCCTTTGTTTCCCCTTCCCATCCCTTTCCTTCCTCCCCCGCCTCCCCATCCAATCCTCCCCGCTCCCCCCACACCAAAGTTGTAAAGTTCCTTTTCGACATAACGACTTGTGCATCTCATTGTTGCAATGGGTCCACCTGTATCCCTATTTAAACGATTTGTTTTTCCCCGTCCCCTCCACAAATTATACCGACATCAAATACAGTGAAAGGGGTTATACTGTGGGGAAGGGACATACAAAACAACAAAGAAATAATCTTATAAATGTGTTAGAAACAATCGCATGAAAGAAAAAAACATTTGAATACATATCTTAGGGTTCATTTCCCTAACATCACCTTATCTGACCTTTTCTGCTTGACTCAGACATATACTAGATAATGCAAGTAAGGGAAACCATGGGACCTATGTTTCTTTGGGCCTGGCTTACTTCACTTAATATAATTTTTTCCAAGTCTTTCCATTTCTTAACAAACCTAATATTCTTATTGCATTATAGTTCTACCTTTACAATAGCTCAACATGGAGAAGTTAGATCTTGATAGGTTTTGTGAGGATTTCTGTTACGGTAAAATTATGATAGATTCTGATAAAATTTTAATTTAAGCTATAATACAAATTATCTAGAAGATTATTAGAAAATATTTAGACAATTATTGTATAAAAAGTGTTCTGTACTTCAGTGATACTAGCTAATTGAATTGCCATCTTTACTTGATGGTACATGAAAGTTCTGCAGTTCATTTGCATGTTTTTAAGTTTTTAATTGTGTTGTTTTCTGTTTTAGGCCTTGAACCAAAGACAATGATTGATTTGACTGAATTTAAAAATAGTAAACACTTAAAACAGCAGCAGTACAGAGCTGAAAACCAGATTCTTTTGAAAGAGGCAAGTGTGGTGCTCAATTTATTATTTTCTTAGTTAGACTAAAGAGAAGTACTAATAATTCATACTTCGCAGATTGAAAGTCTAGAAGAAGAACGACTTGATCTGAAAAGAAAAATTCGTCAAATGGCCCAAGAAAGAGGAAAAAGAATTGCAAACTTAGGTATAGTCACTTGTTTGATACCTTTAAAAGAATCATTGAAAACGAATCATTTTGGTCTTGGATTTTCTGTTTTTCAAAGATGCTTTTGAAAACTATATTATTATGGTGATATAAATGTAGGTACAAGCTCAGTAAATGAAAACTATGGTGTATGAATGTCTTTGGGTTGAAACATGAATCTTAAACCCAAACTTTATAATCATGGATTTTTGACAAGTTTATAGGATTAGTTTCTTAATTTCTATAAACCCCACTATGCTATAATTAATGATAAAACTTGGCAACTTTATGTTAATATCTATTCCTCTTAATATGCTCCTTTTCCTTAAGGGGTATTCCCTCTTGATACCTTTTGTAAGTAAAAATCATGTTTTATTGAATTTACATTATATTTTTAGTTTGTTTATCTTATCTTTGTATAATGGAAATTGTAGTTTAGTTTGATAATAATCATTGCAGAGCTTTCTTTGTTAGAGGCTAGATAGATTGTTTTTAATTTAGCTCAGGTCTACTATTAGACCTATGAAAAAAGTAAGATTTTAGATTTTTAGCCTTATGGTCATTAGCACACAGCAGATGTTTTCTAGATAAGTGAAACTATAATTTATTAGTAAAATCAGCAGTGTACTTATAATTCCTGATTCTTTAATTTCTATTTTTGTTCCTACTAGTTACTAGTTTAAACACATAATGGGCAAAGAATAATAAATAGAGAATATGAGAATCAAGTTAGTTTCCTCATTTTACTAATAGTTTATTAAAAGATGTGGATTGAAAAGAAGTTGGATTAAAATCGGTTCTAGTTTCAAAGAATTAAATCATTGGAATTAAAGAAAAATATCTTTTTAATTTGTTCATTTTTTAAATTATAGGATTAACCATTGAGGACCTGAAACTAACTGAAAGCTTTTCTCAAGAAGAAGGTATAGGAAATAGAAAACTGAACTTTGTGAACCTCAGTATGTGTGAAGCACAATCGAAGGTAAAGAGTAAAAAGAGTGAAAGGAAATGTCACCAGTGCTTTCATTTCTTCTCCCTTTATCTCATTTTGGACTTCTGCTCTTTTATAGTTGCTTGCTTAAGTAACCTGTTGATACAAAGTTTGATTAATGAGACATTATTTACTCTGACTACAGATTGAGAATTCAGATAAAATAGAGCTGCTGCATAGGAGTTCATCACTCAGTATTCCACCATCAGATCAGAATGAGACAGAGGAGAACATGATCATACAATCAATATCAAGAACGTTGCCTGAAATTCACTCTAGTGTAGCAAGTGGTGTGGATCCTTTTATCTCACTAACCAGACATTCTTCATCTATGCAAATAAAAGATAATAATTCATCTCCAGAGACTATTACAATAAGAGAGATTTTTAAAGCACCATGTCTACAATCTTTAAGAAATCTAGAATCATTAGTCAGTACCTTCAGTAGAGGGAGCAATGAAGATATAACTGACTACTTAAGCTCTCTTTCTAATGAGTGTATGAAGAAACTGCCAGTAAGCCACCCAGCACAAGAGAAGACTAGCTTCATACAAATAAGTAATTCATCTCTCCAAGCTTCACCAACAGCTTCAGACTTAATGCAGAAGTTATCACTTAGGCAAAAATCTGAAGTATTTTGTCAACAAATCTATGACCATAGTGGTGACTTTGTTAAATTACAAATGGCAACATCAGAAGATGAACAGGTTCTCTTCCCAAAACAGTACACTGATCTCAGTTTGAAAGAAGATAATAGAAAAAGTAAAGTATCCTTACAAACTGAGAGTTTGAAAAGTAAGCTTGAAATTAATTGCTCAGATTCAGTGCCTACTGCTGCTCAGTCAAAATTCTCTCAGATAGATCCACTTGAAAATCTTATAGAACAGCTACGGAGAGAATTAGTATTTCTTAGATCTCAGGTGAGCTTTCCTCAAAATTATATTTAGTGGATAACTTTTTCATTACTTTGCTAACCAAATTCTGTAACAATTAGGAAATTTTTTACTTACCCAGTAACAATTTATACACATTCCATCAAAAGTCTAAAACTGAAATTGATTTGATATGAACCTGACTTGGCTAATATGTTAAATGTTTTTTAGAATGAAGTCATAGCACAGGATTTATTGATCAAAGAAGCACAGAGTAGAGATGCAGAGATAGAACTTGAACGTCATAGAATTCATGAAGAACAGGTAGTGTAAAGATAGACTTTAAGAGAAATGATTGTGATATTAAAGACAGAAACCTTCATTATGTTTCTTTACTTTTTTCTAGGGGTTGTGGGATGAAGAGGTGGAAGGGAGATCACCATCTCTTTTGGCCTGTATTCTTTATTTTCATAATTGTTATATCTAAATAGCCTCATTTTTGGTGTGTTAGTTTAATTTTCAAATTTTGTTTGTAACTTAAAACCTGTAAACGTGTGATATTTTATAACACATCAATTTTATTCTCTTTGTTTTGTTCAGAATGAATTTCTTTCCAGAGAACTAATTGAAAAGGAAAGAGATTTAGAAAGAAGTAAGACAGTAATAGCTAAATTTCAGAATAAACGTAAGTTTCTATTATCTTACTTTTCTATACCTGTTTTTCCTACACTAAAGAGTTTAGATCTCAATAAACTAATACTTTCTCTGTTGTCTAACCTGTTTATCCTTAATTATCTCTATAATATAGGTCAGTTTGTCTCTGCCACTCATTTAGTAGGTTTGCCTTGTTATTTTTACTGTCTGATACTGATCTTAATTTTAATTTTTGTGACCTATGTCTAGTCATTTCATATTATCTAATGAAAGTGAAGTTAGAAAACAAAAAATTTTAATATAAAGCCTATTTAAGGTAAAGACATATTTGTTATTTTTTTCTAGCTGTGAGCTAGGGGTATTTATAAATAAATGCACATGACTTAAATAAGTCTGCCAAGTTACTCAACTATTTCCTGTTGGATTTATAGTTGAATTTTTTGGTTTATTTATATTTTTATTTCACAGTGTATTTTTTCAGTGAATTATTTGTCATGTGTTTGTTACAATAATTTAAATTGTAGAAAAGTTCTAGTTATTCAATAAGTGTAAAATATAATTACAGTAAAAGAATTATTTGAAGAAAATAAGCAACTTGAAGCAGGTATGAAAGAAATATTACAAGCTATAAAAGAAATGCAGAAGGATCCTGACATTAAAGGAGGAGAAACATCTCTAATTATCCCTAGTCTTGAAAGACTAGTTAATGTAAGTCACTTTTATCATTGTAATTTCTATCTTTGACTACATCATGACTCGCTTCTAAGATGATATTCCATTACATATTGGTCTCCATGGTTTTCGATGCATTTGAGTCAATTGAACTTTTAATATATCCTATTTATATATGATTTTTACCAGTTTGTCTATAATATACCAAGGTTGGATATGTGGTTGTGTGTGTATTGTTTGAGGTTTACTGAGCATCTTTAATCTATTATTATTGTAAAGTTTCCCACCATTATTCCTTCAATTTTTTTCTGCCTTCTTTCTAGTACTCTATTTTATGTGCAGTTTGATATTAGCTCATAGGTTCTTAGTTGCTCTTTGATCTCTTCTTTTTCCAGTTAGGTAATTGCTATTGATCTGACTTCAAATTCTTTCTTACTTTATTCTGTCATCTATATTCCTCTGATTCAAAGATCAGCTTGCAACCAGTTGGTGTTTTGTTTTTGTTTTTTTGGTCATGGGGCTTGAACTCTGAGCCTGGGCTTTTCCTGAGCTTTTTTGTTCAAGGCTAGTGCTCTACCACTTTAAGCCACAGCACCACTTATGGTTTTCTGGTGGTTATTTGGAGATACAGAATCTCACAGACTTTCCTGCTCTGGATGGCTTTAAACTGCAATCCTCAGATCTCATTCTCCTGAGTAGCTAAGATTACAGGCATGTGCCACCAGTGCCCAGCTAATCAGTTGTTACTAATACAGAATTCAGAGCTCCTTTTTGGCTTGCACTTCCCACTGGGCTTTTCCAAACAGGATACTTTGTGTTTTTGCACCAAAGACAAAAAAAAAAAAAAAAGAAAAATCATAAGTCCCTGTAGCTACTAAATATGACAGAGTTGAACTTTAATGGTCCTGTTTTCTAGTCTTCAAAGACTGGTTAACTTCGTTGATTTTCTAGATTCATTAGTTTCTTTACTCCTCTTATATTTGTGAGAGGTAGATCTGCTTTGAATTATCCCACAACCCTGAAAGTGTAATAAAAGGAATTTATTTTAAATATTTAAAGGTTTATTGCCTGAGGAAGGATTTTAGCCATATGGAATTTGCTATTTTTCCATTGTAGATACTTAAAAGTTCCATAATATTAGTAAGTATTTGTTATATAAGCCTAAATACAATACATATTTTATACTACTGCCTAAGTATGTGTTGTTTTCATTATCTGACCAAGATTAGTAAAGGTTATTAAACTGTTTCCCAAATTACTTCTTGTTTAAATAGAACTATTCTTTTTTTCTTTTCTTTCTTTATTTTTTGATGGGTCATGAGGACTTGAACTCTGGGCCTGGGTGCTGTCCCTGACCTCTTCAGCTCAAGGTGAGCGCCCTACCACTTGAGCCACAGCACCACTTCTGGTTTTCTGGTGGTTAATTGGAGATAAGAGTCTTACTGACTTTCCTGCCTGGGCTGGTTTTGAACCATGACCCTCAGATCTCAGCCTCTTGAGTAGCTAGGATTATAGGCATGAACCACTAGTGCCTGGCTTAAATAGAACTATTCTTATCATTGAATTTCTTTTTGAAAATATAATTAAGTAGTTAAATTATTTCTGTAACACTATAATTGGTAGCAGAAAGTGAATGACACTAGGACATTAAACATCTTGCTAAGGTCAGAAAATTATTTGATAAAATGTGTGTGAACCAGTTGAACTGAACAGTTTAATTCTGTATATTTTTTCTCAAGTCCCAGGTTTTACATATACACATACACACACACACACACTCACAAACACTATGTAAGTATGTTATGTATGGGTATATTTATGTATGTTATTGTTGGAGAATTACAGACAGTAAATCGATTATAGTAATATTTGATGTATTATTTTTGCCCATTCATTATGTTTGCATACTTTTATCATATTTAGTCCTTATTAAGACAACTATGTGGAAAGGAAGCAATGAAACCACAATTAACTGATGGTAGAAGCTATTCTTTTCTTTAGGCTTTTAATTCAGATGCTATTGCTTAATTTTGACTAAAGCCCTGTGGAATGGGCGAAGCTGATGTTATTTCTGCTTCTTTAGAAACACTGAAATGAAGACATAAACAATTTAAATCACTTTTCCAGCCAAGAAGAGACATTATTATTTCAGTCCTTACTATCTTATTCCTATGTAGATGATTTTTATAGTTTGATAACCTACTAACAAATTGGAGTTGCTTATTATAATGAAGTAATTATTGTGCTTAGTATATGGTAAAGATTTTTCTAAATTCATACCTTTAAATAAAGTGAAATAGTATACATGACAATGAAAATAGAAAAATGCTTACATGTCAATTTTTATTAAGGGTAAATTTTTATTATTATGAATCTACTTTTTTCCCCTATATTTCTAATATATAATATAAATATCCTAGGCTATAGAATCAAAGAATGCAGAAGGAATCTTTGATGCCAGTCTACATTTGAAAGCCCAGGTTGATCAACTTACTGGAAGGAATGAAGAATTAAGACAGGAACTTAGGGAATCTCGGAAGGAGGCTATAAATTATTCTCAGCAGTTGGCAAAGGCAAATTTAAAGGTGAGAATGTATTAAATAGAAAAATGTACTAAGCATAAGAATGTAAGAGAATTTATAGGGAACTTATTTAAAGAACTGCCTTATAAGAAAAATGTCCCTTGAAGTTTTCAACATTAAGAAAAATTTTTGAGAGTATTCTTATAAAAATTAAGTGGAAGCCGGACATCGGTGGCTCACACCTGCAATCCTAGCTACTCAGGAGGCTGAGATCAGAGGACTGTGGTTTGCAACTAGCCTGTCCAGGAAAGCCTGTAAGACTCTGAACTCCAATAAACCACCAAATAACCAGGACTGAAGCTGTGGCTCAAGTGGTAGAGCACTAGCTTTGAACAAAAGGCATCAGGAACAGTGCCCAGACCCTGAGTTCAAGCCACAAGACTGGCACAATAAGAAACAAAAACACAAATGAATAAAAATTAAGCAGAAAAATAAGTGCCTTATTATATAAATGAAAACACAAAATTTCTGTCTTATATATATTAGGCACTTCTAGCTAACAAAATGGAATTTAATTTAGGTAAGGAAAGTATGAGGTTATTGCTTCAGTTTACTTTCGGATATTCAAAATGTGGTTCTTATCCCTGGATTGTTTGTTTCCAGATAGAACATCTTGAGAAAGAAACCAGTCTTCTAAGACAATCAGAAGGATCAAATGTCATTTTTAAAGGAGTAGACTTACCTGATGGGATAGCGCCATCTAGTGCCAATATCATTAATTCTCAGAATGAATATTTAATACATCTCTTGCAGGTATGGCAGATTTTTTATGTATATAAAAATAAAAAATAATGGATATTATCTTAATTTGCATGAATTCCTTTGAGAACTCTAACGTGAGATGTATTATTAGTGGATTAGATTACGGTAGTTTGAATAGTATAAACTTTAGTCCATTCATCTTCATGAGAAGCATAGTAATATATTTTCTTCATATGCATGTTCATTCATGGTGTTCACAGGTATTACAACAAGCAGCTACTAAAATTAGTGATTAGTAATTGTATTTTTATGTTGCTTGTTAGAAAAACAATTCAAGAATAACGTGATCGAGCTTTTTAGCTTCATCATTAGGTATCATTTTATTTTTTTAACCACATTAAAAGTTTTTAAGCCAAATTATCTTTTATGTTTTTTATTCTTTTATTATTAGTTAACCCATTAAATAGAATATTCTACTAAAATATTCTACTGAACTTTATTATGCTTGTTTTTCAATTTGCTAGCTATGTTATGGGCATTGTAAAAGGAGTAATGAAAGGTGATTTTCATTATTACATTTGAAGTTTGAATACCTTAATATGTACATTACCAATATAATTACAAAAGCAGTCACATTGCTTTATGTTATATGCCTTGTAATGAAATGTTTACAAATAGATTATTGAAATATACATTGGTAATCCACTGACATACACTTTTTATTTATCATTTTAGATTAATTTAGATGAAATAATCTATCCTGATGGATTTGGTGTGGTTTTGTACTTTTTATAATCTTGTTGGAAGATGAGTTTATACCTTTAAACTCAAAATGCACTGTGATGTAATAAATTCTTGTTTCTGAACTGATTTTTAGGAACTAGACAATAAAGAAAAGAATTTAAAGAAATTAGAAGACTCTCTTGAAGACTATAATAGAAAATTTGCAGTAATTCGTCATCAGCAAAGTTTATTATATAAGGAATATCTAAGGTATACATTTAGCAAGACTTCGTAAATTTAATTGCAGTATATTATTCATAAAGAAAGTAACATGAAAAATAAAGATATTTTGTCATTTCTTCATTTTTTAAATGCTAGGAATTGCTTTCAGGAATATTTATCTAAATAAAATAGTTCAATGATCACAAGCCCTTGTATGTCCTGACACTGGCTTAGTTAAATATTAAACCAGACTTTAACATTTGCTAGTATAAGACAGAGCAAGTTACTTAATCTGTGTTTTCATTTCCTTTCCTTAAAATTTTCTAACAGTAATATTTTTAAGAGTATGTGAAAATGCCCAGAGTAATACATAGCATGCATGAATATTTTGTGAATAACCACTGTTGTCAGCATCATTCATTATCATTTTAATCACTTCTTATATTTGTGTGAAGGAAATGAACATTTCTCCTTAACTCTGCCATCTCCTCTATTTCAAAAGAATGATTTCCATGGTAAGAATTGGGAATTAGAATACCTAGTGAAAAAAAAAGAATGATTTCCATGGTAAGAATTGGGAATTAGAATACCTAGTGAGAGTGATTTAGGAACTAAGGTAACTACCATTTGATTCAGCAATAAATGTAGATTGCTATTATCTCCTACTTTGCTAATAATACAGCTGTAAAAGATCATGATGATGAAACCGCACTCACTAAAGAGAAGGGATACTGTGGTATTTTCCACATAATTTTAAGTGTTTTTTGTCTGGTTCTTCCCCCCACCCCAACCCTACCCCCACAAGGTATCTGGCAGATTTTGATTCAGATCTCATTAACCAGAATTAAATTATGTGTCCAAATATCAACCATTCAGTACCAAAGAGAATGATACTACCATCATTAATTGGTTAATACCAAACAGATTATAATTGATTGTGGAATATCTCTTCTATAGGCAATGACCTCTTTGTGAATTGAGAAGATTTTTATATACTTACGGTGCACAACACAATGCTTTAACATATATAAAAATGATGGAGAGAGTAAATCAAGTTTTAAAATATGTGCATTCCATTACATATTTTTAAGGATGAAAACATTTAAATGACTCTTTTAAGTCTAATTATTTCTATTGTTGATGTTCTAAACATTTTTCAAGTAATCAGTGGTAATTAGGTCAGAATGCTGACACTTGATTCCTGAATTAGTTTGGAGTAAGGATTCAATTGCAGTTATTATTCTTTCGTATTAAGGCTAGTGAGTACCCTTTAAACAGATTTTTATATCCTTTTGACAAAAACCAATTAGTCTTTGAACCAAATTTCAAACCTTGGTTTATCTTCTGGAACAAGATGGTCTAGAATTACTTACCATCTGTACTTCATGTTTGGATTTAAAATAGACCATTATGTTACAATATTTGCAGAATTACAAATTAGAAAACCAAAAATAATTTGATAATAACTTGTTACTTTACATTTACTTAAAAAACTGAATGAAAATGTTAACTCTTTGTCTATCAGATACTGAATCTCTAGGATGTCTCTTTTTAAACAAATTAAAAGAAAACTTAGAATTTCCATACTTTAAAGTCTTCATATAACTAACCATTTTATTGGATTTACTATGTCATCATTTTACTACTGTTATTGCTTTATGAATTTTGATTGTTTTTAGTGAAAAAGAGACCTGGAAAACAGAATCTGAAACGATAAAAGAAGAAAAGAGAAAACTGGAGGCTCAAATTCAACAAGATGCTATCAAAGTAAAAGAATATAATGTAAGTAAGGCTATTTTAATATCAGTATACAGTTTTCATACTGAAATCACTAGATTCAGTAACATCAAAGTGTTTTGTGCAGAATTTGCTCAATGCTCTTCAGATGGATTCAGATGAAATGAAAAAAACACTTTCAGAGAACAGTAGAAAAATCACTGTTTTACAAGTGAATGAAAAGTCACTCATAAGGCAATATACAACCTTAGTAGAAATGGAACGACACCTCAGAAAAGAAAATGGGAAACAAAAGAATGACTTAATATCCATGGAGGCTGAAGTTTGTGAGAAAATTGGATGTTTACAGAGATTTAAGGTACTTCTGATTCTTAGTCTTGACTTTCTGTCTCTCTCTGTCTCTGTCTCTCTCTGTCTCAGTCTCTCTCTCATATATATATATATATATATGTATATATATATATATGTATATATATATATATATATATATATACACATATACATGCTGCAGATAGGTTAAAATTATGAACAGCCAATACTAGAATGACACTTGACATCATTATTTTATGTTTTTGTTTTTTTTTTTTTTTTGTAGAAAGTTTTCATTGTAGACATTTCTCTCCTAAATAGTTTTATTATACATCTCAACAATACGAAACTTATTTGTTGACATACCAAAATGACTTTATCTAAACATTTGACAAATAACTCCCTAATTTACCTAATGCCCAAACTATGTTTACATTTCCTCAGTTTGTCCCATGCTCTAGTCAAGAATTTTGATGTAATATGAATGTCTTTTGAAGTTTAACCAGGATTTATTTAAGTAAATCAGAGTATCAAAGTAGAGCTGGGAGAGATTGAAAGGGAAAAAGGAGCACCTTTGGGCAACATGCAGGATGTCATGGCAGGAGGCTCCAAATGACAGTCCTTGCCCTAGTGTACTCATCCATTCTAGACAAAGCTGAAGAGTCCTCAAGTTTTCCTGGATAAATTCATCAACATAACAATTGGTTTAGGGTGGTTCCATAGTCAAAGGCTTATGGGTCACTTATTTGTGCTTAGATGAAGAAAAGAAGCTCACAGTGAGCTATGAAGTGAATTACAGATATTTTTCCAGCACTATTATACTTCACAATGAATCATAACTAAGTCCTTTCTTTTTCTTACCTCATGAATTCCATTATTTACACTGCTTCTTAATAAGCTACCAGCATGTGTTAGAATTTTTTTTCATAAATAATGTGAACAGAGAGCTACTTTGATTCACTTATTTTGATTCACTTAGCAGACAGCTAAGCTATAAATGTGACTGTTGATAATGCGAATTTTAACACTTAACTATCTAAAGTTCTAATTGATTTATAATCTGAAATTTTAAAAAAATCCAAAGACATATGTGATATATTTTCTTGCTATTTATTATACTTTGTAGAATTATTTGAATTTTCTTTATTATAACTAATTTACCTATGAGTTATAAAAGAATTCACTTTTGGAAATTTAAATAAAAAACTTGCAATATATGTCTGAGTCAAGCAGAAAAAGTCAGATAAGTTGATGTTAGGGAAATGAACCCTAAGATATGCATTCGAATGTTTTTTTCTTTCATGCGATTGTTTCTAACACATTTATAAGATTATTTCTTTGTTGCTTTGTATGTCCCTCCCTCCCCCATGGTATAACCCCTGCTTTCACTGTATTTGATGTTGGTATAATTTGTGGAGGGGAAGGGAAAAAAATAAATTGTTTAAATAGGGATACAGGTGGACCCATTGCAACAATGAAATGTACAAGTCGTTATGTCGAAAATGAACTTTACAACTTTGGTGGTGGGGGGGAGGAGGATTGGTTGGGGGGGTGGGAGGCGGATGGGAAGGGAGGGGAAGGGGAAACAAAAGAGGAGGCTACAATGCTTGATAAGAAATGTACTCATTATCTTGCCCATGTAATTGTAACCCCTCTGTACAGTATTTTCACAATTTAAAAAAAAGAAAAAAAGAAAAAAAACTTGCAAATATATGATAGAGCTACAAATAGCTTCTTGTATTGAGACTCTTCTATATATTTTTAAATGACTTTCAAATCGATTTTGCTTTTAAGTATGTTATTCTCAAAAGTCTGCTTTACCAGAAAATAATTATACAAACAAACTCATTGTATCTTCTTTAAATAGGAAATGGCCATTTTCAAGATCGCAGCTCTGCAAAAAGTTATAGATAATAGCGTGTCTTTGTCTGAACTAGAACTAGCCAATAAACAGTACAATGAACTCACGGCCAAGTACAGAGACATCCTTCAAAAAGATAATATGCTTGTTCAAAGAACAAGTAACTTGGAACACCTAGAGGTAAACTGTGATCCTTGAACATTCTGAAATAAGTGACTTTACCTTAAGGATATACAAAGAGTTATTTAGTAAAGGTTGTTTTTACTTCTATAAATTTAGGAAATTTAGGTATAAAGTTAGGAAATTTAGGTATGATTCATTTATAAAATTTAGTTCTATCACTGGTCTCAGATAGGGTGTTATAATCAAATGAAGAAGTTTCCATTTCTTTCTCCAGCAGTTTTCTCTATTTCCAAAACAGTTTTCTCATGGTCACTAGATTCTGTTCCTTGTGGTAGATTTAGTTAACAGTGATAATTTATTATATGGCTTGTTTTTCTTTAGTCCTTACCCAATTTTTTTCTTTAATCCTTCCCCCAATGTTTTTATTCTCCATAACTTGTTTCTATTAGTATTAAAATTACCTATTAGTTTATTTTCTAGCTAATCCACTAAAAATACAAGTTTTGAGCATCACTACAGAAAAAGTTACAGATTTGAAAGAATTTCCATATTTCAGATTTTCACATTAGAGATGCTTAACTATACAAATATTCTAAAAGAAAAACACAATAACTACAACAAAAAACCCTCTAAACCTGTGAAGCCTTTCACATGGATAAGCTAATAAATACTCTCTTCACTCTTATTTTTGCTTCAGAGGCTTTGGGCAACTAGCACTCAAAATTGTTTATTGTGTTGAGCAGTTTTGCTCTCTTCACCCTTCTAATATTTCATACTGTTTTGTGCTGTAGAAATTTGGCTCTTTTCATGGTCAATTTCTGATCACATGTGGCTAGGTTTTACCTGAAATATTTCTTTGATGGTTAAGACCATTTTTCAACTGCTCTTACTTAAATATGCCTCTGTCTATTTTTCTTTGGCTCAGTAGACTGATTTCTTTTTCCTCTCTGGTTCTTGGTATTTCATTAATGGATTTTCTGTTAGTTTCTCTTTTTATTGTCTACTGCCTCCCATAAACCTCCCCAGTTCTTGCTATATGTACATACCCAAAGACACCAACTTGAGAAGCCTTTACTATCTAGACTTTAGTCATTTCTTTTTCCATTATGAACCTGTAGCACCTGCTACTGTTGCCATGTAAGGGAACCCTTACTGAGTGCTTGTGTGAATGGGCAAGTAAGCACTAGTTTGTAAAAGACGGGGTTCCTGAAATATCACAGGTTAAGCAAATGACCTTACAGCTTTAATGCAGAAGCTAGTGCTCAGAAGCTTAGAGCCATGTATTAGATACACAAGATTTTGGTGATTATTTTCAAATTATCTTTTACATTAGAAAAAGATGGAGAAAACTAATTTGGAAAAACTACATTATGAATTTTAGTAGATACTACATAAGACATTACACTATAGTTTTATCTTTTACTCAGTGTGAAAATGCATCCTTAAAAGAACAAATGGAATGTGTAAATAAAGAACTGGAGATTACCAAGGAAAAACTGCACACTATTGAACAAGCCTGGGAACAAGAAACTAAATTAGGTAAGTCTTATTACTGTGATAATACAAAATGATTTATAATCTAACAATGAATATTTTTCATTTAAAATAAATTTTTATACCAGATGACAATGTCACATTTTATTTAAAGAAATAAGCTCTTGACCTCAGCCTCACTTAATAGTTAATTAATGATAAATAACATATTAGTGATACAATATAGATTATATGATATATATTTTTATAATACTCTGAGATATGTTTTGAAAATACATGAATAACATTGAAGTATTTTTGAAACTGAGACAATAGATTTTTTGGTTTTTATTTAGAAGATATATATTAGTGTGAAAATATAAAGCTGGAAAATTAGAAGGAAATGCCAGGTATTCTAATCCCAGCTAATCAAGAGGCTGCGGCAAAAGAATCACATGTTAATCAAAATAAAATTGTGAACAAAACAAAACAAGGGGCTACTAGAATACTTGCCTACTGCTCCAGATGTCCTGGGTTCAAACCCCAGACTTCAGGTACAAAAGACCTTGGTATTATAAAAGACTATTTTACAACTGTGTCACTGCTTATTCTTTTAGGTGATATGGCCACCCAAAATGTACAAACTTTAATTGTGTCTCTACAAAACAAAACTATCATGTTTGATTTTGTTTTGTTTCTGGAACATGTCAGTTATGCAAATATGAAATTCCTTCCTCCACTGTCAAAATAACTAAATAATGACACTCCTAAGTGATACTCTTTCACGATATTTTAGGGTTTTAGTTTTCTTTTTATTTAACTACAAATTTTGGGTCCAAAGATATATATATATATATATATATATATATATATATATATACACACACACACATATATATATGAGTAAAGTGTAATAACTAATAAAAGAATATACAACATTTGATATTACATGTGTTAATAAGAAAAGTAATGGCTGTAGTTTGTGAATATATTTAGTTTGCTTTGTTATCCTTTAAAAATAAAGCAATTGCACTTATATTCACAAAGTAACACTGTTTTGCTGCAATGTTTCTTGATGCTTATTCAGCTTTATAAAAAATGTTTATCATTTCTTAGTTTTCTACATTTCTGCATTCTTAGTTTTCTCTACCCTGTTATTTCAACAGTCATTTGAGGAATTGTCTTTTGATTGTAATTTGATTGATGAAGAACATGGTTTCATACATTAAATAGAATAGACATCTGACAGGCAAGATATAAATATAAAAAAATTCATTATAATTCAAAATGAGCTTTCCTTTGAATTATATTACTTCATAAAACACAGATCTAACTTATTTCATATATAATTATGGTGTAAATAGCAAGAGATTTACTTGTGTCTTATTACATATAGGAAATGAATCTTACATGGATAAGGCAAAAAAATCTATGACAAACAGTGAAATTGTTTCTATTTCAAAAAAAATCACTATGTTGGAAATGAAGGAATTAAATGAAAGGCAGAGGGCTGAACATTGTCAAAAAATGTATGAACACGTACGGACTTCATTAAAGCAAATGGAAGAACGTAATTTTGAATTGGAAACCAAATTTGCTGAGGTTTGATACATATAATTTTGTTATGCAATCAAAGGGTAAAAATTTAGTTGTAGCAGACATTGTATTACTAAGAGATTTGTTTGTGTCTTTGAAGTAGAATATTCCTATTACATTTGTGTTTCCTGTAATAGGTAAATAGAAGATTAAGATCTGAATTGATCAAATGAAAAACAGGTATTTCTGTGATTTTTTTGTCTCCTTGATGACATTACTTGTAATGTACAATAATAAATTATTGACTTAACGAAATTTTCTTCTACTACCATCCCTTCATTTAACTATTTATTTACTGTACATTATATACCACACCCAATTTGGGGGGTGATACTATGGCAAGAAACCAGAGAGATAGGAAACTACACTTTCATGAACTTTATAGTCTCTGTTTTTGTTTTGTTTTTAAATGCTTCACAAATTTGTATGCCACCCTTGAGCAGGGAGGAAACTTTACATTCTAATGGGAGGCTTTAGATTTTTTTAATGTGGTCAGAATCCAATAAATAGTTTTCAGATATTCATATATGATTATGTAATACTTACAATGATTCTTTACCTTGATAATTTATGTTTTCCAAAGTATAAATATCGGAGTTTTTTTTTTTGTTTGTTTGTTTGTTTTGTCAGTCATGGGGCTTGAACTCTGGGCTTGGCCACTGTGCCTGCGCTCTTCAGCTCAAGGCAAGCGCGCAACCGCTTGAGCCACAGCACCACTTCCGGTTTTCTAGTGGTTTATTGGAGATAAGAGTCTCACAGTTTCCTACGCAGGCTGGCTTTGAACAGTGATCCTCAGATCTCTGCCTCCTGAGTAGCTAGGCTTACAGGCGTGAGCCACCAGCGCCCAGCTAAATGTCAGTTTTGTTTAATGAGGGTACCAAAAGGATATTAATAAGATTTTATTAACTCAATTAGATTTATTTTCAGATTATATAATCAGAGTAAAAGATAGTGAGTATACTTATTCCATGCAAACTAATACTGTCAGAGACTATTGAAGAATGACTACCTAATACAAATGACTTCTGTTGGATTAAAATACAACCACATTTTCCTTTGTTTCTGATTGATTTGTCTTATTAATCTCTTTTTAACAAGTAAGGGAAAGCAAAAGGCTTACAGTATTTTTAAGGCTAAATTATATGGGGTACTTACCCAAAATAGATACACCTGAGTGTATTGTATTCGTTCCTCAGTATCAATGACAAGCCAGGCCCTGGTGGCTCATACGTGTAATCCTAGCTGTCTTGGAGGCTGAGATCTGTAAGGTCACAATTCACAGTCAGCTATGGCAGAGAACTGAAAGATTCCACCTGCAAAATATCCAGCAAAAAGCCAGGGTGGAGGTATAGATCAACTGGTAGAGCTCCAGTAGAGTAAGGAAAAACTAAATCCTGAGTTCAAATCTCTGTGCAAGCAAAACAAAAAACTGATGTATCTGAATATTTTTTCTCATAGCTTACCAAAATCAACTTGGATGCACAAAAGGTTGAACAGATGTTAAGAGATGAATTAGCTGATAGTGTGAGCAGGGCAGTGAGTGATGCTGATAGGCAACGCATTCTAGAATTAGAGAAGAATGAAATGGAGCTGAAAATTGAAGTGTCAAAGTAAGTATGTGCCAACATTTTAGTCATTTGATTAAATATGGTGTCTAAAATGTGTCTAAAGGCTTGGAAAAAATTATATTAAGTGAAGTAAGCCAGGCCCAAAGAAACATAGGTCCCATATCTAGTATATGTCTGAGACAAGCAGAAAAGGTCAGATAAGGTGATGTTAGGGAAATGAACCCTAAGATATGTATTCAAATTTTTTTTCTTTTTTTTTTTGGGTCCAGTCGTGGGGCCTGAACTCTGGGTCTGGGCGCTGTCCCTCAGCTCTTCAGCTCAAGGCTAGCGCTCTACCACTTGAGCCACAGCGCCACTTCTGGCTTTTTTCTTTTTGCTTATGTGGTGCTGAGGAATCGAACCCAGGGCCTCATGCATGCAAGGCAAGCGCTTTACCACTGAGCCACCTTCCCAGCCCCCAAATTTTTTTTCTTTCATGCGATTGTTTCTAACGCATTTATAAGATTATTTCTTTGTTGCTTTGTATGTCCCTCCCCCACAGTATAACCCCTGCTTTCACTGTATTTGATGTCAGTATAATTTGTGGAGGGGAAGGGGAAAAACAAATCATTTAAATAGGGATACACAGGTGGACCCATTGCAACAATGCAATGTACAAGTCGTTATGTCGAAAACAAACTTTACAACTTTGGTGGGAAGCGGGCGGGTAGGGGGGGGGGAGTAGGGAGGATTGGATGGGGGGGGGGAGGATGGGAAGGGATGGGAAAGGGAAACAAAGGAGGAGGCTATAATGCTTGATAAGAAATGTACTCATTATCTTGCCCATGTAATTGTAACCCCTCTGTACAGTATTTTCACAATAAAAAAAAAGGTAATTATAAGCATATGAGCTAATACTTTTCCTGCCAATACTGGTTTTGTATTGTAAGAACAGGATTAATAATACTAATGTGGTTGATTTTTATTAGAGTAAAATAATAACCCTGAAGAGGAAATAACATCTCACAATCAGCAGTTTTCAGAACTTAGGAATACTATTGCAGAAAGCATTAAAACTTGGACTCAATCCCTGAGGGCTACTTCTTTATACTGACATTTCTTAGGGGGACAGAGAGATGGTGGTTGTTTAGTATATTTAAACTTTCTTTAATAAGGAAATAATAGTACCTCTCTGTTTTATAAAGTTGCTGTAAAAATTATGACAAACTCATATTTTTACTTAATTTGTATTCATTAGGGAAGGTATCCTCTAAATATTAACACTGTGCAAAGTACTAAACATAGATTCATACATTCATATTAAAGGAGTCTGTAGTAGCATTGTTTTCATTTTCTACTGGGTAACATACTGCTAATTTAGAATGCAGTATATGAGTAAACTTTGTGTCACATCAGGTATTCATTCCCTTTTATAATCAGGCTCCACTTGAGTAGAAAAGTATGCCAAGCACTGAGTGAATCTGTCAAGGACAGAAAATTAGTAACAGTATCTTTTTATGGCTTTTTCATAAAGTTAAAAGCGTTCTTTTAGAATTTTGAAGGTATCTTGGTAATATTGGTCACTGCTAGTTCTTTTCATTGGGAGTGATTCTTTGGTTTAGTCTTTCTCCAAGACTTGGCATTTTAGAATAACTGATTTATAATTATCTTTTATTTATAATTTCTGTTTATCACACTTTATAACTTGCAGTGAGAGCTTCTGAGAAACCTGAGGAAACTGGCTCTACTGTCTTACTGAGCCAGTTATTCTAGCCCCAAACAACTTTTTTTTTTTTCTGTTAACACAGTAACTATAACATTGTAAGCAATGTTTTTGTTATCAAGCTCCTCACATTTTGTAATGTAGTAAGTGAATTTTTTCCATGTTTCACTTAACTAGTAAATAGAAATAAGGCATATATTTCTATATATTGTATATATCTTCTATATATCAAGTTCCATATGTATAGCCTTCACATGACTTGTGGAAGTTTAAAAGAACAGGAATTTTAAATTTCTGTATTAACTTTTCAAGGATATGTTAATAGGTAAGCCTATTTAGTATCTTATCCTAGCACTTCCTCATTATTATGACAAGTACTTTATGAAAGAGTATGGGAACAACGGTTCTGTATGTATGTATTCATATATTTATGAATACTGTTTTAAGTACAGTGTGAAAATTATTTACATTAACCCTCACAACTTTTAACATGGTACTATATTACATGTTACTCATTTTCAAGGGGAAGGATATTGGGGAATGTAGTCTTTTTATAGCATACTTGTTAAGCTCTTATGGAATTAGATTATATGAACAATCCAGGAACCCCTGAATTCTTCACCTTCAATACAGAAAAAGAGATGCTGGAAACTAGTGGTTTTTCCAGAAAGGTTTTAGAAATTGAGGATTTGAGTATTTACTTAGAAAATATATTTCATTGTTCTTAAAATACCATCTTACTTTCCAGATTGAGAGAGATTGCTGATATTGCTAAAAGGCAAGTTGATTTTTTGAATGCTCAGCAACAGTCCAGGGAAACGGAGGTAAAATCCCTCAGAACGCAGCTACTTGACTATCAGGTATGTGTCCTAGTGGTTCTTCACATACTGGTATAATATTCTAGTTTTGCTCTGAAGATTTGCCCACCCATGCTTCTTATTGTTAGTTTAAATCTGATTTAGATTTGAAATTTAGATTTTCTTTAATTTGAATAGTGTTCATTTAAATACTTACAGATGCTGGCTACGATCAAAATCAAAAGCCTAAGGAGAAGTAATCAAACAGTTCTTAAAAAGGGAAAAAACAAATCGTTTCAATAGGGATACAGGTGGACCTATTGCAACAATGAGATGTACAAGTCGTTATGTCGAAAACAAACTTTACAACTTTGGTTGGGGGTGGGGAGGAGGATTGGATGGGGGAGGGGAGGATGGGCAGGGATGGGAAGGGGAAACAAAGGAGGAGGCTACAATGTTTGATAAGAAATGTACTCATTATCTTGTCCATGTAATTGTAACACCTCTGTACAATATTTTCACAATTTAAAAAAAAAAAACAAGAAGGAAAAAAAAAAAGCAAGATTTTTATCTTGTGCTTATGTGTATCTTTTCACATACTCTAATATTTCTTGAGAATTAAAAACATACATACATTAACAACATCAGTGCTGTGCCAGTGTTACTATTAACATGTAGAAGTTAAATTTAAAAGTAATATTTCAACTGTTATTTCACTAGAATTTTTAGTACGTTGATCCTAAGTTTTTATCTTATATGATCCTTTGAAAATTGCAATAAAACAAAGATAGAGTTTTTGTAGAATACATGGACCACACTACTTTGAAATTTAACTTTATAAAAGCTTCATTGGAAAAACTTGAAACACTACAAATATGTATTTCTAATGTCAGGCACAGTCTGATGAAAAGGCACTAATCGCAAAGCTGCACCAACATATTGTCGCTCTTCAAATCAGTGAGGCTGCTGCTCTTGGTAAGCTGGAGTCAGTTGCATCTAAACTTCAGAAGATGGAGACCTGCAACTTGCGCTTAGAACAGAAACTTGATGAGAAAGAACAGGCTCTCTATTATGCTCGTTTGGAGGGGAGAAACAGAGCAAAACATTTGCGGCAAACAATTCAGTCTCTGCGTAGACAGTTCAGTGGAGCTTTACCCTTGGCACAACAGGAAAAGTTCTCTAAAACAATGATTCAGCTCCAGAATGACAAACTTAAGATAATGGAAGAGATGAAGAATTCTCAGCAAGAACATAGAAATATGGAGACTAAATCCCTGGAAATGGAATTAAAATGGAAGGGTTTAGAAGAGTTAATAAGCACTTTGAAGGATGCCAGGGGAGCCCAAAAGGTAAACGTTAGCCGAAGTTCACTATTTTCAAGAATCTTTTAATAATCTTAAGTTCTTAATACGTTCTTAACAGTTCATAATTGAAAACCAAAATGTACAATTTGGGTCTGTCAGTATAATTCTTTAATTTAGACTTTATTTAGATTCTATTTAATTTTTCACTACTAGGTCCATGTTTCTTTTAAATATGACTTGGTTTTTTCCCTCAATTGGCAGGATTTAAATGGAAAATAATTACCTTACATCTGAATCTTGTTCTCTAGGCTAGAAATGTTTGAGTTTTTTCAGTACTGGGGTAAACATTCACATTTCTAAAAAGTAGTACCAATGTTTCAGTAACCTGTTTATAGTAAATAACTAATAAATGGCAATAAATGAAAAAATATATTAATATCTAAACCAATAAAATTATTTTGGCAAATGTTTTATTGTCATTTCTTAAATATTTTAGAAAAGTCTATGAAAGTTGTAAATAAAGTTTGCCCATGAAGTTTTGCCAAGAGATAATTTTTTATACATTATTTTGGTTTATCCATTAATTTTAATTTAAATCATAGTAATGGTAGTGAAATACAAAAATGCATTTACATTAATGCATAATTTATAAATCTTAGGTAATCAATTGGCACATGAAAATAGAAGAACTTCGTCTTCAAGAACTTAAACTAAATCGAGAATTAGTCAGAGATAAAGAAGAAATAAAATATTTGAATAATATAATATCTGAATATGAGCATACAATCAATAGTCTGGAAGAAGAGATTGTTCAGCAGAACAAGGTTTCATTTTATATTTTGGTGTTTTGTGACTAAGATTTTATATAAACATAGAATATTGCATGAATAGCTATTCTAATTGAATGTAACTTACAGTATATATGGATTATAAAATAACTAGCTTTTAATTATTGAAAAATACACATTTATTTAGTTGTAACAATTGCCTACACTTTAAAGAAGCAGTATATAAACAAATGTATTAGGTAGGTTAATTTGCTTTGCTATTCATTATTTGACTTCTGCAATTATTTGCACTCTCATTGATGAAGTAGAAAGCATCCTATGTGAAATAAAGTACAAGCTTTGTAGATAGATGAAATTCCCCAAGTACTTCCTGGCCTTAGTGATTTTGTGGTTCATGCTGCTTAGATTTTCTTTTCCTAACCACTGTGTTTATAATTTCACAGCCTTAAGATCTTAAGTTAAATATTTTACCTGATTAGTATAACTTTGATCAGTTACCTGATCTAGAACTGTAAATCCTATTATAAGATTCCCTGAATAAAAATTACTTCATTTTGTTCTCCATAGTGTATGCCACTGACTGACATATTATATACTTGTTTTGTTTTTAATTTCCTATTTCCCCCTCAATGGAATATAACTGTCATAGTGACCTAAACCTGTTCATTGGTGTGTCATTAGATATGTTTGGAATGGGTGGGCTGATGAATAGCTTGAGATTCTGGTTTCATATCTATTTATCTCTGTGATGTTAAGCAAGTTAATTCACCTCTGAGTTTGTATCCTTTTTCATAAAACAAGAATAATTATAGTGACTTAAAATGGTTATGATGAGGCTTAAATAAGAAAATGTATTTCAAACATCTGCCAAATGTCTCCTCTCCATGTGTATGTCTGACCCTTCTTGTCTTCGTTGTAGTTCCATGAAGAAAGACAAATGGCCTGGGATCAAAGAGAAGTTGAACTAGAACGTCAACTGGATATCTTTGATCGTCAGCAAAATGAAATATTAAATGCAGCACAAAAGGTAGGAATGATTAATCCTGCTTGCTACCCACTAACATGGATTTGAGAACTCATTGAGAGAATAATTTCCAAATCAAATATAATTTTAATTGAAGTTATGCTTTTATGTTTGAAATATAAATGAGGTTTGGTCTATTTTATCAAATATTTTGAAATATTAATTTTGTTATTTTTACTGTTCGTTGCAATTGCTTTTTTAAGAACATGTTATTTCTTAATAGTTTGAAGAAGCTACAGGATCAATGCCAGACCCCAGTTTGCCACTCCCAAATCAACTTGAGGTTGCACTTAGGAAAATTAAGGAGAATGTTCGAACAATTCTAGAAACTCAGGCAACTTGTAAATCATTGGAAGAGGTAATTAGAAGAATTTACATTTTGGTTTGTGTATTTTATTGGTTATGTTTGTATAACTTTCTAAATAATGTTTTTTAATGATGTTGTAGCATAAAATTATGAATCTTTTGTCAATTGAACTCTTGGTATCCTATAATACTTCTATTAGCTGGTAATGAAAAGCAGAGATAGACATAATCTTTATAATTTTATGAACAGTATTACCTACCTTTTAAACTTTCTAAACTTTCTTCTCCTCCTCCACTTCCTCTTCTTCCCCTTTTATCATCATTAGTAATATGTGTGTGTGTGTGTGTGTGTTTCTGTGCAGTAATGGGGCTTCAACTCAGTTTCATGTACTAGTTAGAAAATCTACCATAAAAATCATACCTCCACCAGGTGCCAGTGGCTCATGTCTGTAATCCTAGCTACTCAGGAAGCTGAGATCTGAGGATCATGGTTCAAAGCCAGCCTGGGCAGGAAAGTCCATAAGACTCTTATCTCCAGCAAACCCCCAGAAAACTGGAAGTGGTGCTGTGGCTTAAGTGGTAGAGTGCTAACCTTGAGCTGAATTGCCGACTTGCTGGGGGACAGTGCCCAGGCCCAGAGTTCAAGCCCCCATGACCAGCCAAAAAAAACCCAAAAAACCTCTACCCCTTTATTGACTGTTAGGTGTGAGGTAGAATCTGGATTCCCACCTGGGTATGCACCTGGATGCAATCCTCCTGTTTGTTTGTTTTTGCTTTCAGTTGCAGCTGGGATGGCAGACATACACCACCATACAGTTATTGTTTGAAGAGTAGGTCTCTCCAACTTTTTTGCCTTGTTTGGCCTTAAATGACTATCATTTTTATCTTATCCTCCAAGTAGTTAAGATCACAAGTGTGGACCACTGGTGCCCAGCTCTCATCCTTCCTTATTATATATATATATAAAATTCAGTGTATACTGTATTAAACAGGTTTCAGTTCATTCATTTTTATGACCATCTAAATGAGAAAGTAAACTAGAAATCAGTTACTGTAAATACTGAATTTGATTAACAGGTTATGAAATCAGTTTTCATTTTTTAAATTTACGCAGAAAATAGTGTAAACTGGATATTATTTCCAGTTTAAAAGTTAACAGTAAGTACATTCAAAGAAATTTTTCTGTAAAATTAATTTTAATTAGAGAAACCTAGAGCTTCCTCAGAAAATGTAAAATTTATAGTTGATGCAATTAAGTTACTTGATTTAAAATATCTGCCTTAAACTTACTGAAGAGTAAAAACATTTTTCTACTTTGTTTACTTTTTAACGTTCAGATTTTATAATAGCAATTCATTGACTTGAAAGCTAAAATTCTAGTTTCATGTTCTGCTGACGTTTATGGATTAGTTTTCTGGTGCTCTAGTAGTCAAGGGACTGAAGTGAAATGAGTGATTTACTACATTTTGTTCTAAATCTAGTACCACTATTCATTTCTAATTTTAAGCTGTAGGATCTAAATAAAGAGCCTTAATTAAAGCTCCTTTTCAGCATAGCAGTGAAGTTTTAAGTAATTGATAACTAAAATACTCGTGCAGATATCTTGGCTGATCCATAAAAATAGTCAATGTAATCTTCTTGTCAAATAATTATTATAAATATGTGAAAGATACAACTCCTGTTTTGTTTATAACTAATATAACTAAAATTCAGATGAAGCACACTTTAATCATTTATTATGGTTTAACTACAGAAGCTAAAAGAAAAAGAATCTGCTTTACGGTTGGCAGAGCAAAATATTCTGTCAAGAGACAAGGTAATCAATGAACTAAGGCTTCGGTTGCCTGCCACTGCAGAACGGGAAAAACTTATAGCTGAACTAGGAAGAAAAGAAATGGATCCAAAATCTCATCACACAATGAAAATTGCTCACCAAACTATTGCAAACATGCAAGCCCGGTTAAATCAGAAGGAGGAAGTATTAAAGAAATACCAGCATCTTCTAGAAAAGGCCAGAGAGGTACTATGTTTTGATGTTTTATTGTCATGTTTTTAGGCAAATTTTATAGTGTACTAAAGTGGTTGTTTGTTGCTTTCAAATGATTCTATTTAGGAACTGTAGCTTTCACATGATTGGATTACAGATCTGTCAATAAAACTGGCAGTTTGTATATGTCTTATCTTTCTTTTGTGGATCAGACTAAAGTAGGATAGGTGAAAACATGTTATTTTAAAAATACCATAGAATTTACATGTAAGGAGAGAGCCAATAGTTAAAATATCACACTGGTGAACACTGGGGGTCAGATTTACGAGAATTGTGGAAATATATCTATGTTTTTCAAGTTAAAATTTGATAGATCCAAATTTTTCTAATATGAGTAAACTATGATCTCAGCTAGGTTTGTCACCATGAACTTGTGCTGGGAGAGATATTTACTAATCTACATACATGAATGAATATATTGTTTGCTCCATATCTCAGAAGTTTTAAAAGGTTAAAGGCAATAAAATAATCTTGGGATGTGTGAATATTGAATCACAATTTAAAATGCAGTTTGGGTTTTTTATAAAACAGGAACAAAGAGAAATTGTAAAGAAACATGAAGAAGACCTTCATATTCTTCATCATAAATTGGAACTGCAGGCTGATAATTCACTCAGCAAATTCAAACAAACAGCTCAGGTAAGATTCTGAAAACTGTTTGATACTTTATTGAGTTTTTAGATCACACAATTTAAAATTTACACCTCTTTAGACTAGAAGTCACCTCACCTTTTTTGTCAGAATAATCTTTGAAAACACAGCTTTGATAATTCTTCCTTTTAGATTCAAATCCTTGAGAAGCTCAGTACTACTCCCCAGATCATGTTTCTTCTCCTTTTCTATGTACTGAAAGCCTCCTGTAATCAGCCCTCAATGTTTTCACATTGTGCTCATTATGAGTGTATTGTTTTCCATCTGTATTCAGCCTCTTTTGGTCACTGTTTTCTATAGTAGTGAAATGACTATATGTCTTAACAGGTAATATTAGGATCCTTGAGCCTTACATTAAGCCTTGAGCCTTCAATTAGCCAAAACAAATTGTACAATGGAATTTTCTTATATAAAACAACATTTCTTGTTCCTCTACTACATGCACACCCTTTGCTAAATATTGAGAATAATAAAAGTAATGTCTGTATTCTGTCTTCTTTAAGCCTCATTTTCCTCTTAAGTTTTAAATGGTATGTTGTGATCATTTGGGAAGCTAAATTCAAATTTAGAAAAAGAATACCATTGAATTAAAAATACCCAGGACTAATACATTAATATTTCCTAGGATTTAATAATGACTAATATATTCATATCTCATAGACTTTAATAAAACAGTCACCTACTCCAGTCCCTACAAACAAGCATTTTATTCGTCTGGCTGAGATGGAGCAGACAGTTGCAGAACAAGATGACTCTCTGTCCTCACTTTTAACCAAGCTAAAGAAAGTATCAAAAGATTTAGAGAGACAAAAAGAAATCACTGAATTAAAAATAAAAGAATTTGAAGGTATCAAATTACGGTAAGTGTTAAAAAATGTATTTTAAAGATAAGCCAATTGAGCCAGGTACCAGTGGCTCATGCCTGTAATACTAGCTACTCAGGAGGCTGAGATCTATAGAGCTACTGGGGAAGCTGAGATCTGAGGATCACGATTCATGGGGACAAAAAGTCCCCATGAGACTCATATCCAGTTAACTACTCAAAAAAGCCAGATGTGGCACTGTGGCTCAAGTAGTAGAATGCTAGCCTCAGGGACAGCACCCAGGCCCTGAGTTCAAACCCCAGGGCTGGAAGGTGTGTGTGGGGGGGGAAGATAAGTAAATTGTATGTTATCATCCAGATAAACTTCAGTGCCTGCTGTGTCTGGCACCTGATACATATTTTCTCATCTCATTTAGGACACAGGTTGTGTTCTGATAGGAAAAGTAGCCTTAGGGAGTCACTGTGAGAGAGTAATAGAAAGCCACAGTTTGAAACTAGGCAGTTTGACTCAAGCAAATCAAGAGTCCCATTTTGAACCTCTGACTGTCAATTTCATCCTCTATAAAGCAGAAATGTTAGTATTTACTCTGGTAAATACTTCAGAGTGCTCATACGGATCACCAACTTGTTGCTTGGAAATTGTAATATCATATGTAAATAAAAAGTGTTTACACACACACACACACACACACACACATGCACACACACACACACACACATACACACACCAAAGAGTGGCACCAGTAAGTAGAAGCACTTCTGGTATCCCACCTGAGCAGAAAAGTTCATGAGACCCCAAACCAAGAACTGGACCCTATTATCTTGACTACAGCAGGAAACCTAACTTGCATGGATATGTTCAGGATGTCTCTGGGCACGAAGCAAGAGCCTATCCCAGAAATAACCAACAAAAAATGGGCCTGAACTTACGGCTCAGCAGTAAGAGTACCTGCTTAAGACCCTGAGTTCATATCACTCAGTACCACTGAGTCCCTGACTTCAAATCCCAATACAGTACCACTAAATGAAAAAAAGATAATAGGCTCAATAAGGGTTTGTTAAGTAGAAAGTAATTTGTTTTTAATTACATTGACAATAGTGTTCAAGGCACTCTCCACATTGTAGATAATAAACACTTAACCACTTTATCAGAACATAGATTTATAATCGTATATTAAGTTTTTGGTCATATAGTTTCTTTTTTGTGCTCTACCAGGATATAAACTCGAACCTCATGGTCACTCAGCTATCTTGCACAACTGATAGTCTACCACTTGAGTCATACCTCCAGCCCATCTTTTATTTCAGGCATGAACCAATGGCACCATGTGGTCATGCAGTTTTTAATCAATGTAGAGCCATGTTTTGGGGCTTTGATTTTCCTGGTTGAGAAACATGAGGAAGTTATCCTACTTAACTGACAGTTCCATTTGTCTTCTGAAACCTTTATTGGACCTGATGTTTACACACCTATCCAAATGTCTCTGACAAAATTAACACATATTTGTTAATGTGTAAAGAATTACTTTTCTGTAAAAGGGAGTTAGCAACAGCATATGAATTGTTTCTTTTTTTTTTTTTTGGGGTCCGGTCGTGGGGTCTGAACTCTGGGCCTGGGCGCTGTCCCTCAGCTCTTCAGCTCAAGTCTAGCACTCTACCACTTGAGCCACAGCGCCACTTCTGGCTTTTTTCTTTTTGCTTATGTGGTGGTGCTGAGGAATCGAACCCAGGGCCTCATGCATGCAAGGCAAGCGCTCTACCACTGAGCCACCTTCCCAGCCCATGAATTGTTTCTAAAACTAGTTATACTTTTGCAACTAATTTCTGAGAATAGAAAATACATTGAAATACCTGTATCTGTAAAGGTTTTGTCAAGTATGTAATACTTGAAGCAGCTATTGTGTATTTTTATAAGGTTTATCCAAGTTTTAATTGCAGCAAGAAATCTGGTAAATGAACATGTTTCTTTATGTCAGGCTCCAAGAAAACCATGCAGATGAGGTGAAAAAAATGAAAGCTGAAGTGGAGGATTTACGGTGTCTTCTGGCCCAGTCACAAAAGGAATCACAGAATTTAAAGTGTGAACTTCAAACTCAAAAGGAAGCAAATTCAAGAGCTCCAACAACTACAATGAGAAATCTAGTAGACCGGTTAAAGAGCCAATTAGCCCTGAAAGAAAAACAACAAAAAGTAAGTTCACAACAGAAAGTTATCAACAGTTAGAAAAAGAAATAAGATTTATGCACTTAATGAAAAATAAGTCTGTGACTTGGTTGTTGCTGGCTCACATCTGTAATCCTGTAAGCTACTTAGAAGGCTGAGATATAAAAGGTCCAGGTTCAAAGCCAGCCTAGACAAAAAGGCCAACAGACTTGATCTAAAAATAAACAGCAAAAACTCTAGGCTTCTGTATAAAGTCTCAAGTCAGAGTACCAGCTGTACAAGCAAGCTGAGCAAGCCAATCAAATGTGAGGCTGTCCCTACTTCACCTCCCAATACTGGCCAAGATAGTAATAGTAATATAATTAATAATATAATAATATAATATTAATATAATAAGTACTATAATTGTGTGAGCTTTATCACATATTAAATAGGACATTTATCAGTTTACTTTTTTTTTTTTTCCAGTACTGGGGATTGTACTCAGAGGCTGGCAAGTCTATCACTTAAGGCACACTTCCAACCAGTTTTTTTGTTTATGTTTTTGTTTTTGTTGGTATTTCTAAGATAGAGTCTTACAAACTTTTCTGCTTGGCTAACCTCCTTCATCCTCACTCTCTCAATCTTCCAGTACCAATACAGGCATGAGCCATTGGCATCCAACTTACTTTTCTGCCACTAATGATTTGTAGATTGTTGGTAGGAAATGTGAGGGAATCTTACATAATTTATTCTTTCCTTCTGGATTTTCTGCTATAGATAATGTTTTGAAACATTGAATAATACTGACTGATTTGACAATCATAAGAGGGAGATTGAGATTAGTTAGTAAATGGAGAATTTGAAGAAGAGGCCAACGACATGACTTTGTGGAAAAGAGATAGCTAGTAGATTATCTGTTTTTTTAAGGGTTTGTTCTTCATTTGGCTCAGTTTTGATAATACTGAAATTTCTTAGAAAGTATAATTTTTAGTCTTAGTTCATGATTTTACTGGTAAGTATTTTAAAATAGTATTCCTAGCTTGTCTAATTTCAGATGGTTTCACATGGATGGATATAAAGTGAATAATTTATTAATATTTAAAGTTGAGTATTTGAAAACTTGGTTTTATAATATAAAACACTTGATTTAATGCTTGGTTCTCATAATTGTTGCCAAGATTTTGAAATCTGAATTTTAAAATCTCAATTTTGAAAGAATTGAACATAATTAATTCAGTAAATTTATTTGAAACAGTACAGTTGATCAAACATGTAGTTTAGGAAGGTATTAGAAAGTAAAGTTTGTTCTTACTTGTATGTTGGTCATATAGCATTTCAATTTTCTTTGAAAAGTTTTAATATATGTTGCAATTTTTAGGCTCTTAGTCGAGCGCTTTTGGAACTCCGGGCAGAAATGACAGCAGCAGCTGAAGAACGTATTGTTGCTATAACTTCACAAAAAGAGGCTAATCTCAATGTTCAACAAATTGTGGATCGACATACCAGAGAGCTAAAGGTGAACATCAAAACATATATTAGGTATATTAATAGAGTCAAATTTCTGAGAGTGCCTATTGCAAGAGGATATAACTGTGGTAATGAATGATCGTTTACAATTACTGGTGGTGATAATAAACACATACACAGAATTTTCTTTCTTTTCCTTGATATAATATATTTAAAAATTGTGCTTTTGTTTTTATAATATTGATTGTATAATTCCTGGTTTGTGTTGTTGTTGTTTTAATTTTTATTCCCTTCTCGTGCTCCATAGTATTGCACTTCATGTTATGTGCTAGGTGAGTGTTCGTATAGCTCTTTACATTCCAGAGGTGAATTGGATGGCTAATTGTATTCTATATGCACCTTCTTATAAATGCATTTTTAGCTGTTTGCATTGTAAGAATGAGCAAATATGCCTCCTGGTGGCAAATTGCAGATCCAATCCAGTTGTAGCTTTTACTTCAAAGGCATCACAAGGGGCAAAGGCAATTCCAAAATTATTGCTGAAGCACCAGCCCTTCAATATTTTCCCCAAATATCGTGAAAGGAAAGTTAGAACACAGAGAAGTTGCTAGATTACAGACAAGGAAAATCCCAGGCCAGAACCATGAAGCTATGCTAATTCTTTTAAGTCAATCATTGTAGATCATTGTAAAATGATCTACCAATAAATACTCTAAAAATTGATGGGATTCTTGAGATTGGATTCAGTAGTTACTCACAAAATTTAGCATTGGATGTCTTTGGTTTAATATCCTTTTTTTTTTTTTCTTTTAAGCAATGTGAAATTGCACCATTGAAATAGATTCTGCTAAGTGTGTACAAGAATTCACATGTTAACAACAATATTACTGGTATTGATTGAAAAGTTCCAGAGTAAAGAAAGTAGCACTCCGGGTGATGTGTCTGAGATATAAAGAACAAGCCCCTAGAATTATTCCTCTATCATATGTACTCAAATTATATTTTTGAAGGCTGCTGGCTATATCTGTGTTAGTTACATTGGGGAGAGACATAATGCTGAAAATCCTAACATAAACCATAAAATGATTAAAGGGGACCCATCTCCGAATCTGGTCATGCCATAGTATTAATGTTTTGAAATGTATATTCTTAGTAAAATCTCTGATAGACCTATTTCAAGATTATATTATTCCTTAAAATGAAACTGAAATGATGGTCAGAAAGTATTTTTTAGAACACTTTTCAGTGCCTCAATTTGAGATTACAGTTAAATGAGGTAATTGGTTCTGTGTACTTTGATCCAACTCATGCAATGGATCTAGAAAGATTTAAACATGGTGACAAATACATTTTACTAATACAGGTCATTCTTATTAGTCTTTAAATGAATATGTACTGTCAGCTGGATCCAGTACCTAGTTGCTATTTGCAAATGCCGGAGATTAATAATGGGCTGCTTGAAAGAAGAGATTTATTCTCTGTCCTCACTACCCAAATAAAAATGTTAAAGGCTGAATGTTTAGTTCATTGCTAGCAATTAATTTCCCTGGATAATGCATGTGTTGATGACATGTGAGTGCTAATGGTCAACATTGCTATGAGTCTGCAATACCAACTGTGTAAGCAATGGTAGGGCTTGGCTCAAAACACTCATAATGTTTGCATCTGATGAATTGGGAGACAAAGTTCTGTATTGGTTTTATTGATTCTTGAATCCTAAATCAAGTGGAAATTTATGACTAACAGCTTTCTTTTCTATTTTTAGTCACAAGTTGAAGAGTTAAATGAAAATCTTTTAAAAATGAAAGAAGCCCTTAAAACAAGTAAAAACAGAGAAAATTCACTAACTGATAATTTGAATGACTTAAACAATGAGCTGCAAAGGAAACAAAAAGCCTATAATAAAATACTTAGAGAGAAAGATGGAATCAATCAAGAGAATGATGAACTGAAGAGGCAAATTAAAAGACTATCCAGTGGATTACAGGTGATTTATTTCTGGTAGTATTTATGATTTATAATGTGTAAGAAGTTATCTCTACTACTTAATTTCATCTATATTTGCTATTTTGATTAATTCTTTTGATGACTTCTCAAGTTTACAGTTCCAGAATAGTATTTCATACAAAATACAGAAGCAACTATCATATTATACTGAGTAACATTTAAAAAGTATGATTAATAATAGCCTCAGGAAAATTATGTCTTGGAATATTTTGTAGTATTTTGACAATTATTTTTAGGATGTAAAGCTATTCTTACCTTGTGTTTTTCAGAGCAAACCACTAATAGATAATAAGCAAAGTTTAATTGAGGAACTTCAAAAGAAAGTTAAAAAATTAGAAAGCCAACTAGAAAAGAAAGTGGAGGAAGTAGATATAAAACCTATTAAAGAAAAGGTATGTAAAGAATATTAATAAAGTAGTGACTGTAACTTAACAGTGTAGCTGATGAACAAATAATATGTGAATTCATTTAAGGACCAGTAGTGGTATGAACAGAGAAGTATAAAACAAATTTCTGTCATTTAGTTATTTACAGACTACATATGGAAGTACCTATAGTGTAATTTTAATTTAGTAATTATTGCATCATCTCCAGATCCTTTTCCTGACATTAAATTATTTTCAGTGTCTCTTTATATATATACATATATAACTTATATATTCTTATATATACAATTGTATTTATCATTTGTCCCTCACAGTAGTAGCTTATGTTGTGTTTTGAGATTAGGAACAATGATGTACAGTTTAAGACCTCTACTTTGAACCAGAGTGTCCTTTTGCCTTAAGTACACTGGGCTTATCTTGGGGTAAACATATGATCTTAACTATATTTAGATTTAGAGTAATACTAGCCAATTTGCTCATCACTTATTTCTATAATGTGAGAAAAATTCCTTAAAATTTTTCTGTAGGTTAACTGGAAGACTATATAGAAAAAGAAACACTAAACTTGATCAGTATGCATGTACTTAAATTTGTTATCAACAATAAATGAGAGATGCCTTGACAGTAACATTGAAGATAATAAAAGTTACCTGGGAAGTATTGATGTTAGTAATAATATTTTGTACCTCAAAAGTAGAGCATGGCTGGGCACTGGTGGCTCACGCTTGTAATCCTAGCTACTCAGGAGGCTGAGATCTGAGGATCACGGTTCAAAGCCAGCCCGGGCAGGAAAGTCCGTGAGACTCTTATCTCCAATAAACCACTAGAAAATTGGAAGTGATGCTGTGGCTCAAGTGGTAGAGCACTCACCTTGAGCTGAAGAGCGCAGGGACAGTACCCAAGCCCAGAATTCAAGATCCATAACCGACAAAAAAAAAAAAGTAGAGCACATAACACTATGTGCTCAATCTCTAGCACACACAAAAATCTCCTGGGAGTAGGAATATTTGCCTCTAAAGAAAAAAATCACTATAGAGGAGCTATTGTGAAAAAAAAAATTGTTTTTTTTTTTTTTATTGTGAAAATACCGTACAGAGGAGTTACAATTACATGGGCAAGATGACAAGTACATTTCTTATCAAGCATTGTTGCCTCCTCTTTGTTTCCCCTTCCCATCCCTTCCCATACTCCCTCCTCCCCTGACCCGATCCTCCCCCCACCCCCCACCAAAGTTGTAAAGTTCGTTTTTCCACATAACGACTTGTACATCTCATTGTTGCAATGGGTCCACCTGTATCCCTAGTTAAACGATTTGTTTTTTCCTTCCCCTCCACAAATTATACCAACATCAAATACAGAGAAAGCATGGGTTATACCGTGGGGGAGGGACATACAAAGCAATAAAGAAATCATGCAGAATGGAATTCTATGCCTCCATCAGCAAGAATGACATTGCCCTATTTATTAGGAAAAGAAAAAAATTGTAATATAAACTTTAGCTAGAAAATTTTCTATATCTATCAAATAATTCATTAACATAAAATCAGAAAATTAAGTGTCTGTAAAGGCAATGGATAGAAAACGTGTAAAGAAATTTAAGTGTTTTGATAAAATATATACTCCCCAAAATGTTTCATAATGAAAACTATCAACATTGTTATAATTTTGATGAAAATGGTTGCTTTTGTATTTGCAGTCATAACCTGTCTTTTAAAGCTCTGTTGGTGAAAACAGCAAGATTAATATAGGCCCTTACTCCACTAGATTGCTTCCTTAGCTACCTGCCTGTGGGATAGACCTAATTTCTGGGTGTCAGTCCGGTCCTAACCTATTTCTTATCAGAATACTCAGCAGCATGTTGTATTGCCTGAACGCTGACCCCTCTCCTTCAATATATTCTTCCTTCAAATGGAAATAATACTGTTTGTATTGCTACTTTTGTTTTTTAAAGATTTTGACTATCAATTGAAATTATATGTGAAAATCTTCTAAGATACCATGTCCATATCACTGTAAGATTTAACCATATTTCTTTACTAACTAGAAATAGAATAGAATTTAACACCAATATGAGTACCTATATCTAGGAACCATGACAGTATTTTTTTCATATTCTATAGTACATAGAGATTTCTATTTTATATTCACAGAATGCTTTCATTATTATTTGTAAATTTCAACACTTTTTTCTTAGCAAACAAGATAGCTACTTATAAAAAATATCTAGCCCTATTCCTTACATTTCTTTCTCCATAGCAATTATTTGTTTGTGAACATACTGAATATTGCCTGTTTCTGTGTTTATACTTCTTTGTCCTTGTTAAACTGTACTCTTTGAAGGCACTGATTAACAAGATTGGATTGATTATTTTCACAAAATGCTTTAGTAGAAGTTTACCTTAGGCATGATTACCTATATTAATACATTCATGTAATGATTTCCTAATGATGTTACCATTAGGAAGAACTTCTCTTTCTCCCTATAATTAAAAGTAGAATAAAGCTTGTTTAAACTGAAGATTATTCTTGCTACTATATTGACATGCCTGGAGGTTATCTAACAAAATAGATCTTTTTACAAAACTTGTTGTAACATTGGTTTATTATTTCTTGAGTGTTAATCTTAAAGGAGATTAAAAATAATATTAGTAACGTTGTAACATTTTTTATTGTTTACAGAGTACTAGAGAAGAATTAATTAGGTGGGAAGAAGGTAAAAAATGGCAAACCAAAATTGAGGGAATTCGAAATAAGTTAAAAGAGAAAGAGGGAGAGGTCTTTACTCTGACAAAGCAGTTGAATACTTTGAAGGATCTTTTTGCAAAGTAAGTTTAAAATTCATTGTAAAACTTACAATTATTTGTAAAATATGAACCTGGAATTGTAGGATTTTACCATAGTTTATAACATGAGAAGCTTCCCAGTTTGAATTACTTATCTATAATTCACTTTTTATTTTCCATAGAACGTGCTTTAAATTTATTTTAACCATTATAAATGGAGTTCCCTCTGATTGTAAAATAAGTTAGTTCATTCCAAATACAGACTGGAACAATGACTATGTTAATGACTAAGCTTCAGTTAAATAAATTGAACAACCCAAACAGTAAATGGTATGTTTACAATTCTATATTAACTTCTACAGAGCTGATAAAGAGAAGCTTACTTTACAGAGGAAACTGAAAACAACTGGCATGACTGTTGATCAAGTTTTAGGAGTACGAGCTTTGGAGTCAGAAAAAGAGTTGGAAGAATTAAAAAAGAGAAATCTTGACTTAGAAAATGACATACTGCATATGAAGTAAGTTACTACATAGGCTAGTACCATTTTGTGAAAAATACTAACCAGTCAATATGGAAATCATAGTCTGGGTTGTATTGACTCTTTCATCTTGTGAGTTGAGGTAGGTTAGATTCTTTGTATACTATATAATTTGGGATTTATATTCCCTTTTTCTGGCTTTCATGAAATAATACAGTTCATTATTATCCATAGTGATCCTACCAGGCAATGGAACACCAGAGCTTAATTCTCTCTACTACATAATAATCACTGATCAATTACTCATTCCTCCATTCCCCTGAATCTTCCACATCTTTGGTAACCACTATGCTACCCTCAACATTTATGAAAGTTTTTCATATTCCAGATACTGTCTTCTTGATAGCAGTCAATTTCATTAGAGTGATGTGTCTATCTCCCATTACAATTTTGAGTTATATTCCCTAAATATTAATGATATTGATCATTTTTTCATGTGTTCATTTGTATATATTCTTTTTTTAATTAATAAGTTTTTTATTGTGAAAATACCATACAGAGGGGTTACAATTACATGAGCAAAGTAATGAGTACATTTCTTATTAAGCATTGTTACCTCCTCCTTTGTTTCCCCTTACCATCCCTTCCCTCCTATCATCCCCCAATTTGCATATATTCTTTTGAGAAATGACTTGCTCATTTTTAAATGTTCGCTTTGCTTGAGTTTTCTAAATTCTGTGTGCATGTTGGAAATTAATCTCTTGTCAGAAGTATAGTTTATGTTTTTCCCATTCTGTAGATTGTGTTTTTATTATGTTGACCATTTTCTTTGCCATACAGGTTTTTTAATTGATATAATCCTATTTTTCTGGTGTTAGCTTTATTTCCAATGTTTTTGAGAACAGTAGATCTATGTTAATATCCATTAAGAATGTGCCAGTGTTCCTATATGAATACCAGTATGAACGTGATATGAACCTAAGAAGTTAAATTTCTTTAAATTAACATTCTTAAGAGTTTCTATCCTATATACAGTCTTCTTTTATTCTAGGCTACTGTTTTTTTTGTTTTAATCTTCAGATTTTCCCATGATAGGAATTACAATTTGTTGAAAATATCAGTTTATAGTGAATATCTGATCCCAGCAGTACATCTTTCCCCTCCTTGTTTCTCTAGTACCAAATATAAGTATAAAGCAAAAGTATTATCCAGATTTCACAAAGATGATCATTTTACATTCTTTTTGTACTATGGGGATTTCAACTTGGGGGCCTCAGGCTTAGGAGACTGGGGCTCTACTACTCAAGACATACCTCTAGCCCCATTTTACCCTTCAAACCTTTTAATACTTTTTTTTGTAATCATCAAACATTTTTTCTGAACTTCAAATGTCTCGCTAATACTTTTAGAAGTTCTCTGTTTTATAGTTGTTGTTGTTCCTACTATAAATCTGTGAGGGCTAAGGTAATTGGAAAACACTTCATAGAATTAATTTAACTGGTCTCCTTTCCAAGTTAAAGAGGTTTGAGTTTCTTAATGCTATGAATTGAATCCAGATATTGAAGGGAAAAAGGGACATACAGGCATAGACATAGAACACATATACCTAGCAAGAAACTTAAAGATAAGGGTCCAGGTTTCATGTGAAGAGAGTAGGAGTGAATTTTTTTCTCATTTAATGATAGACTACTGGACAGTACGGTTGGACATACATGTAGTTGCACCAGGGTATGGAGACTCTTTTAAATCAGGTAAACAAGTTTATACTTTAAATGTGAGATTATTATCTGGAATCAGTAAGAGACTTTGTAGATCTTTGAGCATTTTGATAATGACATAAATATTACTCAATTTTTATATAATACTTTTTAAAGGGGATATTTTAGGTCTCTTACATAATTCCATGTAAATAAACAAGTTTTTCTTGTTACCATTAGTGTGTTTCTACAAACAGCATACATTTTTAAACTGGTAAAGATACTACTTAGTGAATGTTCAAGGGGCTTATTTTTAATACAAATTGTAGATTGTGATTTTCTTCTTCCCTCTCTCCCAGCTCACTTACTTATTTTCTTTCTCTTTCTTTTTTCTCTCTTTTTCCCTCCCTTCCTTCCTTCCTTCTTTCCTTCCTTCCTTCTTTCCTTCCTTCCTTCTTTCCTTCCTTCATTCTCTGTCTGTGTGTGTGTGTCTCTCTCCCTCTCTTTCGCTCTCTCTTTCTTTCTGGATTTTTTTAGTATAATATAATTAAAGTAAAGAGAAATGGGGCATGAGAAACATTTCCTACTCCCCATTTAGTAAAGACTCGTAGTTTATATTTTATGATGCATAGCAGTTTTTAAACCCTAAATTGAATATAGTATAAAGAAACTTATTTCATTTGTTACTTCTGTCCTGTACATTGTCATAAAATAGGGAAATTTTGAGATTTATATACAAAGTATCTATGATTGTTGTTTATAGGACCCAACAAGCTCTTCCTCGAGATTCTGTGGTAGAAGATTTACGTTTGCAAAATAGATTCCTTCAAGAAAAACTTCACACTTTAGAAAAACAGCTTTCAAAGGATACATATTCTAAGCCTTTAGTAAGTGTATATGTTTTCTTTTTTTTTGTTTTTTAAGTGAAGAAAAGAAAATTCAACTTCCTTTATGATCTTTCTCATTAATATTGATACAGTCCATTCAACTTTATTTCTGCTAGGTAATGATATACAGTAACTTCTTTAATCCTCTTTAATCCATCCTCCCTTTAGTAATTCTAAAATCTATTTCTTTGTGCTTTGTATAAAACTTTAAAATGACTTCTAGAAATGCTAAATAAACATGGTGACACTGAATTTTCCTGTGTTTGGAGCACATAGTTAAATGTAATGGAAAAATAGAATGTTTTCAGATATATATGGTACATGTATAATTTGCGAAGTCTCATCATGAGTGAATAATGTGGAATTTTTCTGTATCTTCTTTCTTTTTTTTTAATTTAATTTAATTTAATTTTGGGGGAACATACTGTACAGAGGGGTTACAATTACATGGGCAGGATAATGTGTACATTTCTTATCAAGCATTGCAGCCTCCTCCTTTGTTTACCCTTCACATCCCTTCCCAGCCTGCCTCCCCACCCCCCCCACCCGGTCCTCTCCCCCCCCCCCCCCCCCCCCCCCCCGCCTCCCCTCACCACACCAACGTTGTAAAGCTCGTTTTTGACATGACAACTTGTACTTCTCATTGTTGCAACAGGTCCGCCTGTATCCTTAAACGACTTGTTTTTCCCCATCTCCTCCACAAGTTATACTGACATCAAATATAGTGAAAGCAGGGGTTATACTGTGGGGGAGGGACATGTATCTTATTTCTTATTTTAAATATTCATTGTGTGTATATTTCCCCTTTTCACATTTCTTGTCTTATACTTTGGGCAGAATCTGGTATGGGACACAATTGTGCTTTCTACAACATTGTTACTATTGTACAGATATAACAATTTTCACACTAAACCCTACTTTATCCAGGAACAAAATATATAAGCAAAACATAATATTCAGAGCTAAAAATGGGAAGAAAATAAATGTTAGGAACATCTTACATCATTGGGCACTTAGAAATGTTCTGCAGTATTATAGAACTTAAAGACACAAGAGAGAGGATGCTGTAGATTGTACTGAACTAAATAATTATGAATCAAAGCTAAACAATAAATTCAGTTTAGGTCAATTAATGGTAACTTAGTAGATTTTAGCTATTTTTGAATTTTATCAAATCCTAAAATAGAAAAAAAATAAAGCAAGAATGTTGTGAAAATGGTAATAATAAACAGGAACATAATGAGGGTAGATGTCTAAAATCAAGATGTTAGCAAGGTTAATTTCTCTTTTGTAAAGGCCTTAAAGGAAAGATCTGTCCGAAGTGTTGAGATAGATAAACTTCCCCTCTAATTTCTTATTTTTGTAAATATACTAGTCATTGGTAAGGTCTCATCTAAGCTCTACTATGATTAAGTGACCTTATTTAGAGATAAGATCACGTAAGTAGTAAGAAGTTACTAACTTTAATGTATGAATTTGGAGTTAGAGGAAACAATTTAGTCTATAACAATTCAATAACTTTTAGTTTGAACAAAATCAGTATATATTAGTTTAAGCATTATGAAGTATATATAAAGGCATTCTTATAGATGTTTAAAGTCATAATTGGTTTTACTTTTGATTTTAAACCAAATTACTTTTTGTATTGCACGGTAATATATTAGTTTTGGTTTCTGTAGAGCTTTCTGTTATTGTTTTTGTTTTCCATATTGCTTTAAGAAAAAAATTCCTTTTTGATAGGAATTTTTTGAGGCTTTTATTAAACTTTAAACACATTCTAAATTCCACTTTCCAGAAGACTTCAGAAACTGAATCAGATGATTTTTATCAAAAAGAACAGGAGCTTCAAAGGGAAAACTTGAAGTTGTCATCTGAAAATATTGAACTGAAATTTCAGCTGGAACAAGTAAATAAAGATTTGCCAAGACTAAAGGTAAACTTAATGTTTATTACTGTAGTTAGAATATGAAATCCTTAAAATTCTTCCCCATCCTAGTTTACTTCTATTAGCATATGAAATACACATTCATAAAATATCACATCTGTGTTGTTGAGGGCCTCCATTGTATCAAATACTCTTCCTGCTGCTAGAATATGATAAAACAACAACAATAAAAAAATCTGTTTACTCAGAGTTTCTCTTCTAGTGGGAAAGACTAATAGTAAACAGGTTAACATAGTAACCCAGCTAATGTGCAGAACAAAAAGGAGAAAAATGAGGCCTGATTGGAGGAAACTAGTGGGGAAGGTATATGACTTAGAGTAGCAAAAAAGTGCTCATACAAATAATGGAAAAAAAATTCCAGAAGATAAAACTAATAAGTTCGGTGCCCTGAGATAGGATACATGTTGTATTTCATTCATAATTTTCATGCTTGAACATAAAAGGATAATTGTTTCTTTTAAAAATATTACTGAGGGGCTGGGAAGGTAGCTCAGTGGTAGAGTGCTTGCCTTGCATGCCTGAGGCCCTGGGTTCGATTCCCCAGCACCACATAAGCAAAAAGAAAAAAGCCGGAAGTGGCGCTGTGGCTTAAGTGGTAGAGCGCTAGCCTTGAGCTGAAGAGCTGAGGGACAGCGCCCAGGCCCAGAGTTCAGGCCCCATGACCGGACCCAAAAAAAAAAATAAAAAATAAAAATATTTTTTATCTTTTCTTTTTCTGTATCTACCCTGTTTACGGGAATCTTTGCATCTCTTGGCTAACTTTGCAGTTCTGTTTTCTAATGTAGACTATTAGCAGTTTGTCATTTCCACTGGTGGTAATACACCTTAGAAATGTCCTGTTTCTTAACCAGTGTAAGAACTTCAGTTTTATTTTTCTGTTTCACATGGTAAGTATGCACATGTATAAATTATAGGACAGTTAAAATAACAGTTCTAATCTGGGGACCAGTGGGTCATGCCTGTAATCCCTAGCTACTCAGGAGGGTAAGATCTGAGAATTAGAGTTCTAAGCCAGCCAGGGTAGGAAAATCTGTAAGACTCTTGATTTCTAATTCCAAAAATCGTAAGAGGAGCCATGGCTCAAGTGGTAGAGTGCTAGCCTTGAGCAAAAATGTTGAGGTATTATACCTCTGAGTTCAAGTCCAGGCCCAGCACCAGAAAAAGAAAAAGAAAAAATTCAGAGTCCTAAACTCCAATTTATATTGTATACTTAGGAAGTAGTATAGAAAATATTTCTTGAAAATTCATGCTGTATATACTGTTTTGTTAATTTAACATATTCAACATAATTCAAATTGTTCCTTGTTTCTTTTAATAATTCGGTTGCTTAATTTGGCTATACAGCTATAGACTTTATTAAGAAATGTTTTGCCGGGCACCAGTAGCGTACACCTGTAATCTTAGCCACTTAGGAGGCTGAGATCTGAGGATTACAGTTCAAAGCCAGCCTGGGCAGGAAAGTCTGTGAGACTTTATCTCCAGTAAACCACCAGAAAACCCTAAGTGGTGCTTTGGCTTAAGTCATAGAGTGCTCACTTTGAGCTGAAGAGGTGAGGGACAGAACCCAGGCCCAGAGTTCAATCCCCAAGATTTAAAAAAAAAAAAAAAAGAAGAAGAAGAATTGTTTCCTTTTTAGTGGTTATTGTTTTGTTGGATTTTTACATATTTTATCTTTTAGAATCAAGTAAGAGATTTGAAGGAAATGTGTGAATTTCTTAAGAAAGAAAAAGCAGAAGTTGAGCGTAAGCTTGGCATGGTTAGAGGGGTAAGTATATTGTTTTGGAAGCCGGGCCAAAGATTTAGGCCCCTGTTGATTTTAGACAGGTGAGTGGCACAGATGGCAGCAGGAATAAACACAGGGATAAAGCAGGAACCTATTTTGGTAATGATAGAAAATACCTTATGGAGTCAGTAACAGCATTAGTAGACAACTTTCCAGAAAGGTTTTCTTGGTGACAGTTAACAACATTTGTTTCCAAGATGAAAAAATATATATGTATGCATGCTATAAATATATAAAATAACACATCAGTTTAAAACTGTAAAGAATTTCAAAAGAATAATCTTTTGTAAATTAATGAATGTGTTTATTAAAATTATATAAATTAAATATTATGATTACTCATTATACAATGGAATGCTAACATGTTAGAAAAGAGTTAAGAATATTATTTTACTCAACTGTTGAAAATTGTTTTATCATAAATATAAGCAGTTAAAGTTATTAATGATAGATCAATCTCTTGCTAGTTCTACACCGGTTTTCATTGCAGATGTCTTCTGTTTATACCAAACAGAACTAAGTGTCTAAGCAGTAGCTACTTGAAGAAATTGCCTTTTGAATGCTATAATTACAATTAGGTTACTCATGAGCTGGTTCAAGACACAATTTCCCTTTATTGAATTTACTCCATACAAAGAAAATTGTAGGGTGTTAGAAAGAACACTAGCTAACTAGAATACTTCAGTTTATTCATTTGATTACACATCAAGGCCTAGAGTATTTAAGCATTATTTATAAATTATATGACTTGAGGAATATCAAATACTTTACCATGATCTTTGAGTAAATAAAGTAAGAATTAGAATTCCTATCTTTTAGGTTGTTTTAAAGATGTATTTAATTAACATATGCTGGGAAATACAATATCAGCAGTTGCTAATAAGATTACTTCAATTAAAAGACCTGTGGATAGTACTGGTACTTTACTTTAAGTTATACTCTACTAAATATTTGTTTTAAAAGTTTGCATATTCTCCTTCAGTCTGGTAGAAGTGGAAAGACAATCCCAGAACTAGAAAAGACCATTGGTTTAATGAAAAAAGTAGTTGAAAAAGTCCAAAGAGAAAATGAACAGTTGAAAAGAGCATCAGGAATACTTACCAGTGAAAAAATGGCTAATATTGAAGGTGAAAATGAAAAATTAAAGGTAATTTTTAACGTGATCGTATTTACAGAAATGCTTTGCTATTATAATTGTTTATTTACTTATTTTAATTTTAATTTTTAGATGAGAATTCAGTGCTTTGTTTTTGTAATACAGATGCTTGCTCTTTAAGCCCCAGCCTCCAAAGCCTCTTTTGCTTCGTTTTTTGTACAAGGTCTTGAACTTTTGCCTAGGCCTCTCTTAAAATACAGCTTTCCTCTCAGTATCTCCCATATAGCTTTGTTTACAGGTAAGTGATATTACTATCTTTGCCTGTGCTGTCCTCAGCGAACCTTCTAGGTAGCTAAGATTACAGGTATACCACTATGCCTGGCCTTAATTTTTATTTATTTTAAAGAAAAAATTTAAATATACTCGTATAAAATAGTTTTAATAGATGCATGACATATGTTAGATCACAGGAAGAAACATATTGCAGAGCAAAGAGTGGCTCCACTTGATCTTTATTTAAATCCTAGCTACTCAGGAAGCTGAGATCTGAAGATCGCAGTTCAAAGCTGCCCAGGCATGAAAGTCTGTAACATTCTTATCTCCAGTTAACCACCAATAAAATGGAAGTGTCGGAGTGGCTCAAGTGGTAGAGATCTAATCTTCAGCACAAAAGTTCAGTATTGGTGCCCAGGCCCTGAATTCAAGCCTAGTTACCAAAAAAAGAAGAAGAAAAAAAGATATTAATTCTTATTTCATGACGTAGATATCATGTACTTACTTTTCATTTTTAGTTTTTGGCCACACTGAGGTTTGAACTCAGGACCTTGTATTTGCTAGAGACATTCTACCACTGCATCATGCCTTCAGCACTTTTCTACTTTATTTTTCAGATAGGATGTGCACTATTTTCCCAGGGCCAACCTCAGAGATCTTCCTAGTAGGGATAGCAGGCACATTCCACCATACCCCACTTATTGACTGAGGTGGAGTTGCACAAAGCTTTTTCCCCCCAAGATGTCCTCCATTCGTAATTCTCCTAATCTCTACCTCCCATGTAGTTGAGATTGGAAGTGGGAGTTTCATGCCTAGTCTTATACATATTTTTAAACATACACATGCCCAAGACCCCATCTTTGAGATTGGTTTTGGTCCTAAGATAGGTGTTGTGATGTGGGGGCTTTTGTGCGGTTTTTAATTCTTTAGCTTATTCTGACAGAGTCAAGTTCAGGAAGTTCTGTTCTAGATGACAAGTACTCCAGTAAAGACTTTAATCTATTGAATATGGTCTCTAAAACTATCTGAAAGTTTTATGATTTTAGGAGTTTCGAAGATCCTGTTCTATTTGATTTCATGGCTTGATAATAAACATGATTTGATAAGTATTTTTTAAATCATTAGGCTGAATTAGAAAAACTGAAAGCTCATCTTGGACGTCAGTTGAGTATAAACTATGAATACAAGAACAAAGGCACAGAGAAAATTGTTGCTGAAAATGAAAGGCTTTGTAAAGAACTTAAAAAGGTATGACCTTTATGACTAATGATTTTTATTTTCAGTAAGTAGTAGTAGATATTAGAAAAACTGCTTAGGATATCTATTCAAAATAGATGGGAAGAGACTTAGGAATTTTGTTTCTAATGCTTGCCATCATAGTGTTCTTTCCTCATGAGGGACCTTGGTAAGTTAAAAAAAAAAAAAAAGGAATTGATGAATTTAGAGTGAGCATAATGTAGAATCTCCTTACTCTGCATTCACTTCTTAGTTCTGTTAGTGATTAGTCATAGGAATTAGGGCAAGCTGCTTAATCTCTTTCTTTTCCGTAGTTCCTTTATGTATAAAATTGGGAATAAAAAATATTCCTTTCTCATAGCTGAATATGTTCTATACCTCTAAGCCTAGAACTCCCTTAGGTAGTAAAGAATCTTGAACTTAAGATCCAGCCTTGATATGTACTGATTTCAAGGCCAGCATGGGATGCTTTGTGGAACCCTGTATCCAAAAAATTTAAAAAAAAAATGTGTGTGTGAGAGTGTGTATATTTACATATATATACATATGTATGTCTATTTATAAATACATTTTATATATATATATATATATATATATACAGATAAATAGATATCTATATATCTACTTACCTCAGCTGCTTCTATGAGGCTTAATTTAAGTAAATTAATATTCTGTCACATAACTTAGAATAGCAATGGACAAATAATTACTTTTGTTAAACAGTAAAATTTCTTTCAACTTAAATGGCAAAACATATTACTTGCTCCAAATAGCTATTACTATTTATATTATCCAGTGAATGAATTTAAATTAATATTTTAAACTAAAATTTCAAGCGTATCTAAATATATTATGAGTGTAGAGTAATTTTGTGTCTTGAATGTGGATATTTAATAGTGGAAATAAGCTATATTTCTTACATAGGGTTTATTTGTAGCTTTTGATTTGTAGTGTTAGGAATTCAAAACAGAATCTTTTAAGCTGTAAAGAAATAAACTTTCCCATTATTCTGAATATATTACAGAGAAACAAATTTTAAGTAACCACTATATTGAAATACTTGTAAATGCATTTTTTACTTCCTTTGCATTATCTTTTGTCCTAGCTATTTGCTATTTTAGAGAAGAGAAAATACTGAATTTTTATTGTAGTTTTTTAATCAGCATGTAGAACTCAGATTAATTTTTGTTTTCTGCCTTGTAGTAATAATTTTAAATACATTGTAACTATGAAAACAGTATTATGTTTTGTCATAATATGCTAATTAACTTGTACTGATAGGAAACTGAAGCTTCAGAGAAACTGCGGATAGAAAAGAATAATTTAGAGATACTAAATGAGAAGATGGCAGTTCAGCTAGAAGAGACTGGAAAGAGATTACAAATTGCAGAAAGTAGAGCTCCACAGCTAGAAGGTGCTGACAGCAAGAGCTGGAAGTCAATTGTTGTTACAAGGTAGGAACAAATAGTTTAAAATTGTACATAGAGTTTAATCAGTTCTGATTATGGGCATTGTTGGCTTTAAAGTTGATTCTGTCCTATATAACCTACTTTTTTCCCAGATAGAGCTTGTTTGCTTATTTTAATATAATATTTTTATTCTTTCCAGCATTGCCCAAACTATTTTTAAATGTGTAGCTAGTTTTGGTGGCAGGCCACAGAATGGAGCAGAGCTAGGGGTAGGCTCAGGCCTTTGGAACTAGGTATGCAATACAAAGCAACCACTTAGACCTGAACTTAATGCGGCTGTCTCCTCCACATCCCTTCTGCATGCTGTTTTTCTCTACTTGCAACCTCAGCTTCTTGAGTGTGTTCATTTTTTACTCCAAGTATAAGCCAGAAACAATTGGAGATAGAGAAGTGTAGATTTAGGGAAATCTGGAAATCAAAAATCAAAAAAGTCTTACCTCTGTCAAGAAGTTTCTGCTCAACAGGTGTGATGATACATTTATCAAATTCAGGTGCCATTCTTGTTTATGATGTTGGGGAACACCTAGATCTTCTATCTTAATTAGTGCATCTGTGATTTGGGGATAATTGTACTTTACTATTATCTTTTAATACTAAATATACAGCTAAACGTTTGACTAAGAAGCAGGATTTTTGCCTCTTTTAGCATAATAATTTGAGCTTTTAAATCAGAGAAATTCTATGTCATGTCTGTAAGATTTTTCTTTATATTTTTAGAATGTATGAAACAAAGTTGAAAGAATTGGAAACTGATATTGCCAAAAAAAATCAAAGCATTACTGACCTTAAGCAGCTTATAAAAGAAGCTACAGAGAGAGAGCAAAAAGTAAAGAAATACACAGAAGACCTTGAACAACAGGTATGTTAATATAAATTTTCTTTATAATGTATCATCAGATATGCTTTGCCTTGTCTAAGAAATGAAGTAACTAACATTTCACTACTTGAATACCCACCTAACCTGATGGTTTATACTCTAATCACCCTTCTTTTTAAGCCAAGAGCTGTAGATCATCATTGACTTCATTCTCTCATTCCTTACGTTTTTATTATTGTTGCCTCAGCTGTATTTTCCAATGTATTCCACATCTGACTACTTCTCAGCAACTCCATCACTAGCATCCATATATGAGCCACTACCTCAGATCTGCACAAATACAGTCATGTCCTAACTCGTGTCTCTTGCCCCACCCCAACATCACTTCTTCAAACACTAGTCTGTTCTCTACATGGTTGTCATGTAATACTTGTAAAGCATAACAAAAATTACAGCAGTCCTATTCTTAGAATCTTCAAATGGTTCTCCACCACCCTAGAATAGAACTTCATAATACAGTTTTGGCCAAGCCTGTAAGTATGGGCAGGCATGTTCTTACAGCTAATTTTCTTGCCAAGTCTCATCTATTACCACCTTTTCCATTATTTGGTGTTTAAGTTAAATTAGCTTTCCAGTCCATTGAATAAACCACTCATTTAAGCTTCAAAGCTGTGTACTTGCTTCCTGAGTTTGGACTACTACTCATCCAATATTCTCCTGCACTTAATGTCTTGCTTAAATGGAGGCTTCTCAGGGAGACCTTCCCTAATCTCTACTCCACACAACCTTCCATCACACTCAACCTTCTACACATTGGCACTCTTGTCACATCACATTTATTTTATTACATGCTAAAGTTACCTGTCTTCTCTAACTAAAAATGTACAAAGGAATTCTGATGAGTTTGTTCACTGCTCTGTCCTCTGTAGGACAATCCCTGACTTGAAGTAGTTAAGTACTTGATGATTGTTGAATGAATGGCAACTAAAACACAAATGTGATTATTTCATGCTTATGAACACACAAATTTTAATAATATTTAATATAATGAATAATTGTTGAATCTTAATAATTAATGATTGTTTAAAATATTGTCCTTGTTAAATGTATTGTTATCATTATTTAAAATTGTTTAAATTATTTTCATGCTAATCTTTATAGTGTTTTTATTGTGTCCAAAGATTGAGATTCTCAAGCATGTTCCTGAAGGTGCTGAGACAGAACAAAGTCTTAAGCAGCAGCTACAAATTCTTAGGTATGATACATGTTCATGTGACTACTTTGCCTTTTTCTGTCCTTTTTATCATTTTTCATTGCTATAGCTGAGACTACCATTTTTTAGTTGGTTGGTTTTGTATTTCATCCTTATAATGTCATTCACATTCTCTAGCTACTGAAAAAGGGTAAGCCCAATGCAATACAAGTTTCCAATTTGTAATTTAGTTTACATTTTGCTAACATGGAAAGAAATAAACAGTAGCTTCCCAGAGGAAAATACTTATGAAAGAGCAAAGAAGTAATTCTTTACTTCCAGGAAATGCTGTTTACTTTTTTGGGAAGTCTTTTTTTTTTTATTGTGAAAATACTGTACAGAGGGGTTACAATTACATGAGCAAGGTAATGAGTACATTTCTTATCAAGCATTGTTGCCTCCTCTTTTGTTTCCCCTTCCCATCCTTTCCCATCCCCCACCCCAACATTAGCAAGGCTGGGAAGGTGGCTCAGTGGTAAAGTGCTTGCCTTGCATGCATGAGGCCCTGGGTTCGATTCCTCAGCACCACATAAGCAGAACAACAACAACAAAAAGAAACAATAGCAAGAAAGAAAAACCATTTGAGTTCTTATCTTGGGGTTCATTTTACCTAACATCAACTTATCTGACTGTTTCTGCTTGCCTCAGACATATACTAGTTATTGCAAATAAGGGAAACCATGGGACCTATGTTCAGGAAATTACTCCTAAAAAACACATCGTTATGAAAAACAAGAGTTTGGATTCTATGCGGTTTGCTAATGCGAGGAATTAAAGCTTAAACATTTTCCTTGATAAATACTATATGTATTGAATACTGCACATCAGTCACTTATAAGAAATGCGTATGTTCAGAATAAAAGCCTGTAGTTCTTTGTCAAAAAAAAAGGAAGATAAAAAAAAGGAATGCTCATGTGTTTTATAAAGCAATATCTGTTTTACTTGTGTTTCTGTTTTTAACAAGCCACCGTTGTATTCTAGATTATCAAATAGTCAACTGGATAAAGAAAAAGCAGAATTAATTCATCAGATAGAAGTTAACAAAGACCAGAGTGGAGCTGCAAGCACCATACCTGGTAAAATATTTTATAAGACTTGTTAACTACCCTAAGTTTATTAATTAGGGATTGCTCTTTCTGTTGTTTAAATTTCTGATTCTTATAAAATCAAATCACTTATATGAAGTTTTAGAGCTGTCATCTCTCCATACTTTACATTTCTAATTAGTTATTTATACTAAGTAGCAAGTACATGTATTTTTCTCCTTGTGTCCCATGTACGTTTTACAGATTTAATCACAGTGCATACTAAATCTGTTGCTTCTGATGTTTAAATAGGCTATTTTTAATCCCTCTGAACATTTTTTTTCTTAAATGTTTTTATCTCTTGCTGTTTTTATTGTTACTAATTTTAAAAACTACAGCTCATATTATCTAATTTTTTTCTGTTAAAAATCTGTCTCTTCCCATTCCTATTTAGACACTAATCATTCTCTTCCAGTATGCATATTTACACACACTTGTATGTATATATATATATATGTATATATATATATGTCATATATACATATGTATAAAGTATATATGTATGTATGTATATATACCTGTGTCCTTGTTTGCAGGTTTTGTTGCCAAAGTCATGAGCCCTAAAAATCAACATATAAGCTGTTTTTTAAAATATATGCAATGCAAACATTTGAATATAATTCACATGTTTCCACCTGAGGGTCCAACAAGGCAGTGCTTGACAGTCTTGGTTCAGTTTTCATAGACATGATCCACAATGGGCACCACAGCATAGCAGTCACTAGATCTGGGGCAATTTGGAAGGGGATTGAATTTTGTTAAAGGGACAGCTTCAGTAAAGTCACTAAACATTTTTTTTTGGGGGGTCCCGTCATGGGGCCTGAATTCTGGGCCTGGGCGCTGTCCCTCAGCTCTTCAGCTCAAGGCTAGTGCTCTACCACTTGAGCCACAGTGTCACTTCCGGCTTTTTTCTGTTTGCTTATGTGGTGCTGAAGAATCAAACCCAGGGCCTCATGCATGCAAGGCAAGTGCTCTACCACTGAGCCACCTTCCCAGCCCCAAGTCACTTAACATTTTTGAGCCTTGTTTTCCATCTTGTAATATAGAGACTACCAAGATGAACTGATGAGCTGATTTTAAGATTTAAGATAATTTGTGTGAGATATGTTTATCCACATATGTTCGAATAATACTTTCCTCTAGGAATAATGGTTTGATAATTTACTAATTGCTTCTGCCAATAGTATAGCTATAACTAGTGCAAATAAATAGGATATACACAATATATTAATTATATATAGGTATACACATAATATACAAATTATAAAATATAATTTATAGGATAAATTATATAGTATATATATTTTATGCATGATTCTATGCACATAAGTTTATAGATATTTTCTTGAGGATGTCACAAAACTGGACTCCTATCATACTTCTAGTTTATTGGCTTTAACAATTTATCATGGACAGCTTTTTAAACTATCATAGACATCTTTTGAAGTCTATGAATAAATTTTTCTTTTAATCTATATTTTATTGCATTTATGTAACTGAGCAATTTGCCTTTTGATATTTAGTAAAGATGCAAATTTCTGATATCATAACTCTTTAATGAACTTCCTGAACTAATTATGCCATTACTTGATAATTCAATGGAAGTGGCAGATTCTGCCCTACAGAATTATAGCAATTTATTGCTGAGCAGTCTTTGACTATTTCATATTCTCATTCATTATCTTACCATGTCATTCCAATCTACTTCTAGTATGTTGTGTAGTGTTGACATTTGAACTCAGGACCTTACACATTGCTAGAACAGTTGCTCTTCTGCTGAGCACCCTCCAGCCAATTTTTGTACTGGTTAGTTTTGAGATAGACTTTTGCTTCCCCAGACACATAATTAGACTACAATCTGCCTATTTTAGGTTTCCCATCGTATCTGGTGTTATAGGTGCACACTACTATGCCCAGCTTCTATTGTTGAGGTGGAGTTTTGTAGACTCTTCCTCCCAGGCTGATCTAAAACCAAGATACTCATATTCTTAGACTAATAGAAAGTTTGGATTGTACCCAGCCCTGGGTTGAGAAGGCATCTCAAACTTTTATGCTTAGGCTGGCCTTGAACCATAATCTTCCCATTTTCAGCTTTCCACGTACCTGGGCAAGAGCTACTGACACCCAGCTATGTTTTTACTAGAGATGGAATTCAAGGCCTCATACGTGCTAGGCATAGTGTTCTACTATGTAAGCCATGCTCCTGGCCAAATGCCAAGCCCTTTTGCTTGTATTTTTGTTTTTGGAATAGGGGTCTAGATAACTTTGAACTTAAACAGCTGATTCTTCTGCATCTGCCTCTCTAGATAGGCTTGCATGACCATGTATGAGTGTATGAGTCGTTCATATATGCTTTTACTAGACATAATGCTAAATTCTTCATATTGTATTTTATTCCAGTAGTGCTGTAGGATGAGTAATGTTGATACTAAGCTGTCCCCAGTTGAATATGTAATAAATAAGTTATGACAGCTAGGAAGTGGCCAACGGCTGATTAAAACTTAATTAAGTGAAACTTGAAGCTCCTTCCTGTTCCCTACTCAATCACTATTCTACACTGCCTCTTTGTAGTTAAGTTGAAATTTATCCAGTAGCAGTCATGTGTACGGGACTAGAAAGTAAAGACTTGTTGGGAAAATTCCCTAGCTTTTCTAATTTTGTTTCTTATTTTTCTTTTCTGTCTCCAAGTTACACTCGGGGAACCATTCCATGAATGCCTTAATACTAATTTGAGGCAGGATAATTTTGCCTATTATTTTTTCAAACTTTAGCATTCAAAACAATTTACCTTCAGGGTTATACAGGATGACCTGACACCTTATACGTAGGGTTGAATGTACAGACATGTGGGGCAAAGATGACATTAAAACACAAGGTTTATTTCATTGCTTGTTCTTGCTATAAAACTGGAAGTATGTTAACTTGGGGGGAGAGTCCAAGAAATGAACTTATACTTCTTATGCTTGTGGATGTCTCAGAGTTGCACCTTATTTGTGTGTCACACCACCTGCCCTGGGTGTTGTGCCCATAGAAACTGAAAAATGAATGTGAACTGACCTATTGCTATGTTAAGGAATTTACCTATTCTGCCTTTCTTTTGCTGTACATTTATGTTTGACAGACTTTACTGGCTGAAGCATTTTTCTGTAAAAAGTAAGAATTTGTATTATGTAAAAAATTAGCCTTATTCTATATGTTAATACATATGGGATAACTTTTCTGTTGTTGCTTGCCATGGAATTCTATACCTAAAAGAGGTTGTACATAGGATTCACTTTCTGAAACAAATGCTAACTCTAAGCTAATAATATGCTTATGCTTCAAAACAGAAACCCTTCTCTTAAAGTTATTCAGGGTGAAAAAAATCTGTTTAATTTTTTTTTTTTTTTTTGCCAGTCATGGGGCCTGAACTCTGGGCCTGGGCGCTGTCCCTCAGCTCTTCAGCTCAGGCTAGCACTCTACCACTTGAGCCACAGCGCCACTTCTGGCTTTTTCTGCTTATGTGGTACTTAGGAATCGAACCCAGGGCCTCATGCATGCAAGGCAAGCACTCTACCACTGAGCCACCTTCCCAGCCCCAAAATCTGTTTAATTTTTATAATGTTTTGGCAGGTGCTGATCAACTAAAAGAAGAGATAAAAGATCTAGAAACACAGCTAAAAGTATCAGATCTGGAAAAGCAACATTTGAAGGTAATTATTTGTGTGCATTTTGTGAAAACAGCTGTGGAAAACTATTTTTATGATCAACATCTTTGAGTTTAAAGTAAATATTCTAAAAAATTGTAGATTTACACTTTTTAGGTAGAATAATTTTAGCTTAATATTAAGAAGGTTGTTATGTTCGTCTGTGGTAAAAGCTTCTTAAATAAGACCTAAAAAATTCTGACAAGACAAAATAGGATTCAAGAGTAAATTTATTTCTTAATTAACAAATATAGTTCTTTATAATTTTTTAAAATACTTTTTGAATATAAATTTAGGGAACTTGCTAGGAACAGTGTATGTCCAGATGCCTAGCTTAGGCAGAAGTCCCATGGTTTTTCTGATAAGTGTATAAGTAAAAAGTTGGTCACAATTCATTAAGTATTAAGTGTTTACAAAGAAAGTATGATGAAGGCTTAACAAAAAAAGTATTGAACAGAGTAACTTCAGGGTTATAAATATCCAAGTCTCTTGATTGTCTCTTTCATGGCACTTGGTATGCTTATCATAATCTAGAGTTAATAAATTTTAAAGACTAGAACAGAACTTGCAGAATGAATCATTTTATTTGTCAGTTAATAGGCTACTTATACTGTACAATGGGATAATATTAACAAAATCTTAAGAAAATACTTATGCCTATAGTTATATAATTTGGCTTTTATGTTTATAACTATACTCTTTAATTCACATTTAAAGAATGTATTCTGGCATATAATTTAAAGATAATCTGTTCCTATTAGGATGAAATAAAAAAGCTCAAAAAAGAATTGGAAAACTTTGATCCTTCATTCTTTGAAGAAATTGAAGATCTGAAATATAATTATAAAGAAGAAGTGAAAAAAAATATTCTCTTAGAAGAAAAGTTAAAAAAACTTTCTGAACAATGTGGAGTTGAATTACCTAGCCCTCTTGACGCTTCTGAACAATCTGAAGGTGAAGAAAGTCCTGACAATTTCCCTATGTATTAAGGATCACATATAAGTATAGTTTTATTTGTTTTATAAGTTAAATCAGGTTTTGAAGTAGAGAATTTCCTTCTCAATACCTTATACCTTGACTTAAATGGGAGTTTTAGTAATTAGAATTAAAAAATTTGAAGACTTCAGAATAAGTTATAGCCATAAAACAGGCAGTGAACTATCCAAATTTGTCTACATTCATAATGTCTTAGGTTTTAAAAGTATGAGGAGAAAAAAAATTGGAGTTTTATATATTCTTAATTTATGTATGTGTTAAGATTCTCAGATCCTATCTATAATAATAAAATATGGATGCATTGACATTTATATACATTAAATTATAAGGTTAAGCCTTTGTACAGGTTTACTGATCACTATATTTTTCTGTATAGAGGTTAAAATTAATCTGTGGATTTAAATAAATATTTGAATATGTAACTTCTTTGAATGGTGGAAGACCCTCGTATGTTTTCCAGAGAGATAGGAGCTTTGAAAACGTAGCAGAATATTCAAGATCTCAATACAAAGTTAATTTTAATTGTATTTCCATTTTATATTTCGAGTATTATATCTTTGAGCCTACCAAATTTCTGTTTATCTATTTTTGAAAGTTGATTGAACAGACATTTAGTATCGAAAGCATAGTGATATTTGTTCAGGTTCATGTTGACAGTAACTGGTTTTGAATTCATGTAAGTCTCGGAAATTGGCCAGCATAAACCAAGGTGATGGCGATGGACCTAGAAAGAAAAAAGGTGTTAGCTTTGGCCTTTGTCTATAAACATAATCTTTATTTGCTTAGAAATTATTTATTTGGGGTACCTACTATCTGCCATACACTGTAATGGGTCCATTTTTCTTCTATCACATTACGGTTTCCTTTTATTGTCTATCTTCCCCATTAGAATGTGAGCTTCATGAAGGCAGACATTGTTTAGGTCACCTTGGATGTCTAGCACCTAGACACATGCCAGGAATATAATCTGGACTCCATAAAAATTTAATAAATAATATGTTGTTGCAAACAAAATAATGTGGGTGAAGAGACATTTTTATCAAAGGGACCATATTATGTAGCAACATGGTATCTTTTGCTCTTAGTGCAATGTGTTAAATGTGTTAGAACATACAGGAGACAGGGCACAAATTGTAATTAATTCTTTCTATATGAACTGTCACTTGACACACTCAATAAATTCTGTATCAAGTTAGTTTGGGAGATGGTAAGTTAAACCAGTCATAAAACTTCTCAGAGAATACAACAACATGGATTTCTAAGGAGGTGATATGTACCATTACTTTTAATTCTGAAATATATAGGATGCAACCAATGTCCACCAAATCATCACTAAATGATACTATTTTAGCATAAAACATATTCCTAGAACTTGAGAGACTGAGGTGAGAGAATCTAGAGTTCAAGACCAGCCTGACACCTAGTCAGGCTATATCTCAAAAAAAAAAAAAGAAAGAAAGAAAAAAGGAGAGGGAGAGGGGAAATGTGGTGGCACATGAAATAAGGGAATTATATTTATTATAAACCATAATTGCTACAATTGTCATGCCACTCTTTATTATAAAGTACAAATGACAACATACCCAAGCACAAGCAATCTTTTGCATTACCTTAATTAAACAGCCATTACTGCAGTGCCATACAATTCCTTCAATTTTACCCTCTCTGCAACCTTCAAACCAGGACAAGAGGTCGCTGTGATTCAGGGCAGGCATATCTCTTATTTGAAATGCTCCATGTGGTATAAGAAAGTGCAAGGGATGTTTCTTGCTTCCTAACCCTAAATAGTGAAATTTGCAATTAGCTATATTCATTCAAAACAAGGTCTCAGAAAGAAAATGTACCTCTCCATTTTTTTTTTTTTTTAAAAAAAAGCATCTTTCAGAAATACAGTTAGCAGAAACTTTCATTGTTTTTTTTGGAAGAAAGAATAATCCAAGCACAAGAAGTCCTGTTATCATTCAATGTGGCATCCTAGGAAACTTTCTTTAGGGGGTGTATGTGGTTTTTAAACTGACCTTCTGAGTCAGTTATTATAACTGAACAAGAAAAAGGTTTCGCTCACCATATGGGTTTCCATTCACATTTGTTCCTACAAGCTCCAGGGTTTGCTCTAAGAGATCTGAGAGTGGCACTGCACTTATTTCCAAAACTTCAGGCTCATCAGGATGATGCCTTAGTACCAAGGCAACTTCAAATTCATAATTAACTACAGAGGAATGCCAGCAATACTGTTTGCTGTTTTTCTCTACTGGTACCCAACCTATCATAAAAAGAAACAAAAATATTATTACAGAGGCTTTATTTGAATTGAAGACATGGGTAGTTAAATTTTAGTTGTAAACCTTCCATGTTTTCTGTATCTCGCATAAACTTTTAAAATCAGTAAAGTTAACACTTTTATTACATTTATTTTCAATCATAAAGGCTTCATTTTTTTAAATTGTGTTGGGAATTAACCTGTTAATTATTCCTCTTCAGAGTGCTCATCTTTTACTAGTGAATTTGCCACAATTCAGTAAAAATTGAGCACCATTCTAAGACACAAAATTAGCTTCTGTAAAATCTGGTTTTCTCTCTAGCTTCTCTCCAGTTTCAGAGAAAATGGGCATATTAAGTAAGTGTCCTACAATCTTTTGAGTTGTTCCAATATGTACTAACCTAATAGATTACATGTTTATTAAATGGTATAAGCTATTCTAATGACCTTCATTACTCATCCCTGACTACTACAGTAGCTTCTTTGCTGGTCAGGTTGGCTCCAGTGAAACCCACCTTCTCATCATAGTTCTAAGTCTACTAAGTTTTGTTATACTTCTGCTTTATGATCATTATTTAGAAAAAAAACAACAAAAAAACCCCAACAAACTAAAATTACAGTAGACTGATGGAATGCAAGGGTCTTTATGATCTGAGCCCATTCCATACTTGTGACCTCAACTTTTACTAACTGTTACAAATAACAGCTGGCAAAATGTATCCATCTTAGAGAAGATTCTAAACTGAAGAGGACATTCAAAATATGAAATGTTTTCATGTAAACATCATGCATATAAATAAAAGAACCACATTAAAATTGAATTCAGTGATTTCTAATTAAATGGAACTTTTATTTTTTATAATACTAAAATTGCATTTAAGAAGCAATTTCATGTTACCAGGAATGTGTCCATTTTCATCAGGCACCAGATTCCCATTCAGTTGTTCTATTTCCTTTGCTGGGATCCAGCACTCTGGGACAGGTTTGAAATCCTCTTCCACATTCCAAAGAAATTCTAGAAAGAGAATTTTACTTGTGATGACACTTTAAAAAATAGAAAAGGCTGAACAGATACAGATACAAAGGTAAAGTAGCCAAATGAAACCTCAGAATCAGGTATGACACAAATATTCTTTGTTCTCACTACTATGTTCCTGACTAGTGTTAAGAGCATTGACATTTAAAATTTCCAATTAAACACATCATCATTTATATGCACTGAAGTCTAACTGAAGTGGTCAGTATTCCATTATGTCTAAGTTTATCCTTAATATATAATAAACTACAAATATATATGTTTATATATGTCTATGTGTATATAGATATATATTTATAAATATATAGGGAGAGATAATGTGATTATATGTGTATATACTGTGTATAACAGGCATCTTAATGTAGTCATTAAAATTACTAATTCAACTAGGCTACGGTGGCTTTAATACCTACTCAGTAGGTTGAGCTATGAAGATCAGTGTTCAAGACACTCCCGTCAGAAAAATATCTCTAATTCATCAGCAAAAAGGTTAGATTGGAGGTATGGCTGAAGTAGTAGAGCATCAGGCCATGAGTGAAAAAGCAGAGTGAGATTACCAGGCCCTGAGTTCATGTCCCCCAAAATACTAATTTCCTTTGAAATTTAAAAATTCCAATTGTCTCACACTAAATCCAAATACATTTACTTATATGTTTTAACAAGATAAATTCATACTTTAACAGTCACAGAAATGTTAGGAAAGTATTTTAAAATACTTTTAAGAATACTCATATAAAACCATTCAGTTACCATCTTTTTTCTATTACATGGATATTCAAAAGGATAAAATGTATAGAAATACCAGAGCAATAGGTAAAACACAAATTTCAGCTAGTATTCTGAAAAGTTTAAAGCAATATCCACAAACCTTTTGTGTTCTCTTTGGAATGTTGAAAATTTTTAAATCTTTTTTCAGCTTGTTTGTTGGGTTTTCTGTCTAGTCGAGCCCAAAGGTATGGCTTATCTAAAAAAGTAATAGAAAGAAAGTATAAGATGCAAACAAAATTTATATTGAGAGTTTAAAGCAGAATATTCCAATAAACAGTAGTTATCTCTCTAAGAAAAGAAGCAGTCATAGAAGAGAAAGGGAAATACGCAGTCCAGGATATGTAGCACCTAGCAGAACCTATTGTTATGAGAAGACTTGCTTTGTTTAGTGATAGGGATGAGATAAAAAGTTGAAACATGATCCTTTCATAAGAACATTCAATGTTCATTTTGCTAAGTATTTTGTCTAAGTATAGGAAGCCTCCAGTATCAAAAATGAGAATATGAGCCCGGCGCCAGTGGCTCATGCCTGTAATCCTAGCTACTCAGGAGGCTGAGATCTGAGGATCATGGTTCAAAGCCAGCCCAGGCAGGAAAGTCCATAAGACTCTTATCTCCAATAAACCACTTAGGAAACCGGAAGTGGTGCTGTGGCTCAAGTGGTAGAGTGCTAGCCTTGAGCTGAAGGGCTGAAGGACAGTACCCAGGCCCAGCATTCAAGCCCCCGACTGACCAAAAAAAAAAAAAGTATTACACTGTTCTGAGAGTTAATTCTGACAAATCTGAAATTAGGCTATTTACATTCCCACCGTTGGTGGGAAGGTAAAATGGTATAACCACTATGGAAAATTCCTCAAAAATATCTGACCCACTTTCTGGATTGAGACCAGAAAAACTGAAAGGCAGCAGCACTTCAGGAAATACTGAATGTACCCCTGTTCATCTCAGCATTGTTCACAATACCCACAAGACAGGAACAATCCAAATGCTCATCTGTGGTGAGTGGATCAACAAATGTGCTATAGAAATACAGTGTAATAACATTTCAGTCTTTAAAAGGAATGAAATTCAGAGACATGCTAACAATGATAATCCTGAGAACATCATGCTAAGAAAAACAGGCTAAATGCCTATAAGTAGTCAAATTACTAGATAGAAAGAAATCTGATTACAGGAGCAGGAAGAGATAGGGTAAGAGGAGTAGATAAGGAAGTTCCCAGAAAATGAAGAGTTACAAGCTGGTACCAATGGCTCACCCCTATACTCCAAGCTGCTTAAGAAACTGAGATCTGAAGTTTGGGGTTTGAATACAGCATGGTCAGGAACAACTGTGAGATTCTTTATATCTCCAATTATCTACCACCAAGCTAGAGGTAGAGCCAAGGCTCAAATGGGAAGAACATCAGTCTTGAGCAAAAAAGTGAATTGAAAATTCACCAGGCACTGGTAGCTCACGCCTAATCCTAGCTACTCAGGAGGCTGAGATCTGAGGATTGGTTCAAAGCCAGCCCAGGCAGGAAAGTCCATCAGACTCTTATCTCCAATAAACCACTCAGAAAACCCGAAGTAGCACTATGACTCAAGTAGTAGAGCGCTAGCCTTGAGCTGACAAGCCCAGGCCCAGAGTTCAAGCCCCACGACCAACCCCCAAAAAAGAAAAAAACTCAGAGGTGCTGGACATTAGTGGCTCATGCCTGTAATCTTAGCTATTCAGGAGATTGAGAACTGAGAGTGGAGGTTCAAAGCCAGCTCAGGCAGGAAAGTCTGTGAGACTCATCTCCAGTTAACCATCAGAAAAACTACAAGTAGATCTGTGGCTCAAAGTGGTAGAGTGCTAGCCTTGAGCAAAACAGCTCAGGGACAGAGCCCAGTCCGAGTTCAAGCCCAAGTACCAACACCAAATGATAGTTTTGGAGTTCTGGAGGCTGATGATGGTAAACCGTATCCCAACACCACTGAATTGTACATGGTCTTATGACAAAGATGTAGCTGAGGGCTAGTGGTCATGCCTATAATCCTAGCCACTTGAAAGGCTAAGATTGGGAGCAACGAAGTTTGAGGCCAGTCTGGCATACAGACAAAACCCCTTCCTCCTTAACAGTAGCTAGGGACAGTGGCTCAGGCCTTTCATACGAGCTACATGGTGTGTGTTGGGGGTGGGTAGGGTGGGCGCCTGAAATTCGGGATGATTTCAGTTCCAGACTTCTATGCAGAAAAGTTCATGAAATTCATCTTAAAGAAGCTGGACATAGTGGTGTACTGCCATTTTCCTGGCTATGACTAGAAATCTAAAATAGGAAGATCACAGTTCAGACACATGCCTGAATACCTCTGAGCCAAATTCAAACATGAGTTTGTAAGCTCAGGATCACCAAAAACCAAATTGGTTAAGATGGTAAAGTTTACTATGTATATTCTACTACAGTTTTTAAAAAAGCATTTGAGAAGACATTTTTCTGATACAAAGTCCAGATGCTTATGGTACTGTCATTATCCAGGTAATGTCACTTTCCTTTCTTTTCAATGCATTTTCTTCTTAATACAAATAATTACTGTTTGACCTATCTTTTTTTCATTTTTTTTGTCAGTTGTGGGTCTTGAACTCTATCTAGGCTCTGTCCCTCAGCTCTTCAGTTCAAGGTAAGCACTCAACCACCTGAGCCACAGCGCCACTTTGATTTTATGGTGGCTTATTAGAAAAACAAGAATCTCAAGGACTTTCCTGCCAGGGCTGGCTTTGAACCACGATTCTCAGATCTCAGCCTCTTGAGTAGCTAGGATTACAGGCGTGAGCCACCGGTGTCCAGCTTGACCTATCTCTTTTAAAGCACATTAAAATGAAATTAGAAACATGGCCAACAGAAATAGGAACAGGACTTGGATTATGCAATAAAAACAAGCTATAGAGTCAGGCAAAGATAGATTCCATTAATAATACAGCCATAAACTATATGATCTTGGACAAAGTACTTAATTTAGCTGAGACTCAATTTCCTTATCTGTGACATGGAAAAGCTTCTTATGCAATTAGAGAAAAAAATTCAAGAAGGATTTATAATACTTCCTGCCATTAATAGACAAACTTTACCTTTCCTTCCCCAAGAGAAAAACACAATGATATAGTAAATATAATTGTGACCTTTCTGTTTTACTCCTGAGGTTTCCAAAGTTTTATGAAGAATTCTGATGTATATAGCTTGTAAAATGACTAAGAAAAGTAAGTAGTATTTATAAGCAAACATTGTAGTTTTGTTTTACCTTTGTAGGTAGTAACATAACAACATGTTCCATCCACTTTTTCTGTTGGAATTGCACTGTGTATATCTGCATCTACTGCTTTGTTGCTTAGAGTTTCAGTTGCCAAAACTTTAAATGGCTTAAAAAAGAAAGAGAAACTGGTTTAGGATAGACAGTCTCTGTCTTTGCACACATATTCATACCTTGTTCAGAATTTCAGTACGTCTAAGAGATCACCTGCTGTACATCTTCTAAGACAATTCAAAAATATTATTTTATGTGTGCCTTCTCCTCTTTCTATATTATCACCATAAGCCAGATTTTCCACACAGATTATTTACAAATTTCTTCATCTACCATGATTACCTAACACTAGGAACCAGTGCAATGCTGCACTCCTAGCACTGGTGTTTGATGCACAAAATCATAAAACTTTACTAAACAGATGAAGCACTGCCCTCAACAGCGGGAAGTATAGAAGAGAGCAACAATGTACCCACTTTTGATGAGATTACACTTTAGAGGTATAAAGCAGAAGTGAAAGTCATAATACAACATTAAGTGTGACAAGCCTACAGGGAAAACTGTGGGAAAAGAAAGACAGGGATGATCTGCTGTTTTACATATGGTGGACAGAAAGTCCCCTGAGAGGCAACATTTGAGCAGCTTTGAAGTGAGGGAATATACAATGTATAAAAATTTGAGAGAAAAGGCCTGAAAGTCAGGAGGTTAGCTCCTGTTTGAAGAATGCAAGGCAGCCATTGTGTTTGGAACTGAACGAGGGTAAAACCAAATCATCTAAATTATCCCATGGGTGGCTTTTGTGGCTTAACGAAAGTATGCTTCAATCACAATTTTAGCATTTCAAGAATAAATCCAGTAAATAATGCATAAAGGCCTCGTCTCTTTTGTAAATGCCAGTATTTTTGTTATTTACAAAACTTGTTTTTCAAATAAGGTTTAGTTCAGGTGTTACCTTCCTTCCTCAGGGCACATTTTCAGGGAACAAAGATGGTAGATTGAAGATGGCTCATTTTTAACCTTTGCTCCTTGCAAAGCTAAAATCTACATGCTAACTAGGTAAGTTAAAACATGCAAAAGTATAAGCAAGAACTCATCCATAATCTCATCATTGAGAAACTAACCACAAATAATCTTTTGGAATAAGTCTTTTTTCAGTGCCTTTTTCTCAGTATAGCTACTATCAATTTCTATTCTGAACATCTCTAAAGAAGCAAAAATTTAATAAAAAAAAAAAACTTTCTGGATTACTTGTACCATCTGCTTTTCCTCTCAACTGCCTGATAAACATAAAATGATGCTGTTTACCTACTAGTTCATATCTGACTTACTTTGATTGCTTTTGCATCTATACCTAAATACTTAAGATCACAGACTTTAAAATCACCTTAACTCCCCAAATAATTTTGTCCTTGATTCAGTTTTTACTTCTAAATGTTTAGGTTCATTAGAAAGTTAAAAAAAAAAAAAAACTTTTGGAAGACATACCACCTGCATCAAGGGAAAATTAAACTGATGCTTCTTATCATTAACAGTGAATTCTTGAATAGAGATTACAGTACTGCAAATCTAAATTTTTGAGCTGTATCAACTGCATTGGTTCACATGTATTTATTTACTTTCAAAACAAGAAAATTTAAGAATGCCTCTCTAAAACAAATTTACATGAAGCTTCCTTTTGACAAGTTTTCTTCATAGTTACAAGATATTCCCACATAGTCTACTGAGCATGAGTCTTTTACTTTGATTTTGTATTCAAAACTCTTAACTATAATGTCGATCCAGAAGTCAACAAATTTTGAGCATCTAGATTGTGAAATGCATTCTCTCAGCTAATACAGGGAGAGTATAAAAAAGCAAGATTCACTGGAAGTATCTTGGGTGATCCCTCAAATGAGAACTTCCAGAAATCTATTACTCCCCAAGAGGGCCCAAAGTGGTCCATTAGGCCTTTTTATTCTACCCTTTGATACCATTTCAGTTCTATTCTTTGCACAACAAGTACTCAACATCTGAATCTGACTTTGTTTTACTCATGAAAGAAAAAATTCTAACATCCTTGCCAATTTCTTTTTTGGGAATTCTCATTTCTGGGAAAATACTTCTTTATTAATCTGAAGTAACAGTGACCTTACAAAGCACATTATACATACTGAATATAGAGTATAAGATGAATAAAGTAGAAGCACTATTTCAAACAGAACCAGATACAGTAGGAAACTAGCCCCAGTATAGTACTTACTACTTTTAATATATAACTGAATGGGGATTTGTTGTTCACCTACAACAGTGGTATTAGGGATATTCTCTGATGACAAAATTGAGGTCTGGGCAAATGGCAACTTTATGTATATTTGAGTTAATAAAAGCTCCTATAAAAGAGATTACTATGGGCATAGAATTCTTAATGAATATAAATGTTCCTTCCTTATTTACCACTCTTTTCTAATAATATAACCAAAGGATGGCACAAGATTGAGCGGTACAAGAAGTTCTGTACCTGTCATCGAAGACCTAGACTACTACTGGAAAAGCAAAACATGTATGTATGAAAAATAACAAGTAGTCAATATCAAAATCCTAAAATTTTTGGATAGGGGAAGCCATTGGTCTAACTGGGGAAACCACTGGCTATGTTAATTTCAGGCTTTTATGGAGGTCTGACTTGAAAAACAAAACACAACTTGATCAAAAATACAGACAAGCATTGAACTTGGTATTGTATAGGATAAAATAAACCTTAAAAACAAAGGACTTTACTTTGAAGTTAGAGAGTAGACTAAGCCTAATAAAGGGAGGCCTTAATAACAATCTGAACACTATGCTATTATAATAATGTAAAAGTATTCCTAATTTAGGAGAGGTAAGAGTTTATTCTTCCTAGCTAGGAGTACTTTTACATGGGAATATCCACCCTCAGTATTATAAGAAACCATTATCGAGCTGACAATGTTTTGTATGGGTTAGGTTTATTCTAGCGTTTTTTAAAAAAGGGAACAAGCCAGACATTGGGTAATATCTACAGGGTTTTGACTAGAACAAGTAATGCCAATTAAGCAGTGCAGTAAGCAGACATGAAATATGAAGAGCTTCTAATGAAGATGATAGCCGTAGAAGGGAAAGATCAGATGTTCAAAGTGAAAACATCGAAGTTAAATGGAAAGCTGGCATGAAATGACTCCAGGGTTCATTCTTTGATGGAGGTTCTAGAAGCTGGGGAATAAAAAAAAAAAGCAAAACAAAAAGCAAGCAAACAAACAAAAACACAGAGCACTTTCTGCCTTGCAGGCCAGGAAGGCCAGTGGTAAAGGTGAAGCTGGTGAAACTGATTACAAATGCACATGGTGGTGGTTATCATCTGAGTTGGATACACCCAACTGACAGCTGGACGTTGCGCTGGCGGAGGGCTATTTGTTAAAGAATCACCCCGATATACACAGGTTACTTACTCAACCACTAGCATCGCCAAAGAGTCCAGTCTGACTATTTAAGAGCTGACCGCCCCCCAGGAGGTGCAATTCACCACGGAAGAAAGACGTTACTTGAGGGATAGGGTGCACATCTGCGGGGTAAAAAAAGGTCTCTGGCTCCCACCCCCACCCCAAATGCTCACAAGGCTCCTTCTTTACATCTCAGCAACAAGGAGCAGCTCAGGACGCAGGCGCCTCACACCCCAACCCAGCCCGGCCCACTGGGGCTCAAAGGCGCCCGCATCGCCCCGGGACTCGGTACCTGGTGTTCCCTTTTGGCCGAGGGTTCGTCTATCACCTCCGTCACAAACACACAGGGCATTTTCCGCTGCACGGAGCCCAAGCGTCGCATCATGGACCCAACAGGCAGGACCGACAGAGGCAGCGCCCGGGACGAACGAGGAGCAATCCCGGCCTGGAAGAAAAGTCCTGAACAAGCGTGCTAAAAGCAGGCTCTTCGCCAGAGGTCCCAGGCACCGTGACTGACTTCCTCAAGGGCCAACCACAAGCAAGGGGCGGTGACAGTGTCCCGGAAATGACCGCCTGGCCACGGAGCTTTGTGGGAGTTGTAGTTCAGAGAGGAGGCGCCAGGCCTGATTCCTATGAACGTCCCTCCCCTTCCTCTCCTCTAGGGTTGGATGACAGAAACAGCCAAGATCCGTTTCTGGTTGAATGTATCATCTGTTACCAATAGTAACCGACTGATGACACATCGGTTAACCAGTAGTAACCGATGATACTTTTGAAAATGCCAAGTTGTAAGCGATGAGACACTTGATTTAACGCCTTTAAGGAGCTCTTGCTGCTTCTTTTTAAAATAAGTTCATGGAGGACGCACTGGAGAGGTCCAGAAAGAACAATAGAGATAATTCCCTGATCCCCAGAAGGAAAACAAAAACAAAAATGAAAAAAAAAAAAACACCAAAAACGGAATTCCCTGGAAGAATGTTAGAAAAATGCTACAATGAATACACCAGAGAGAAAAATAAAGTTTACCATATGGTAAAAAGTAAGTTTAATAATAATGGATTAGCCTCGGATCTAGTAGACCTCAGACTAAGTTGTAAAGGGATTTGACTTTACCTTGTTCCCTGCTTGGGGGAAAAAAAGCCTAATCCTCATTTCTATAATTATGCTGTCACCATAAATCCAACAGTCCAACTTTGAGACCTTTTGAAAACTATCTCACCTGAAGGAATCTATATATCCATAATTTTCCACAGGAAAACACACCAAAATTTTAACACCCTCCCCCCAACCCCCCAAAAACCATAATTCTTGCTCTAGAAGTTCCAGAAGCTTCTAAGCATTGTTAGAGACAAGCATCCAGTAACTTTTTTGCTCCTCAGAAGAATCCCAAAAAACAACAAAAAGTCAAGAACTAAATACTTTTGCAACTATCAACTGTCATTTCTCAAACTGTCATAGAATTTTCTAGGTCCAGTATTCTATCATTTCTCAGAAAAGGAAATCTTCCAGAACATTCTACTTGCATTTTGAAATGTAAGTAACAGGGCTAATTATCTCTCAGAAAGCACTATTTCTATATTTCAGTTTCCTCATTTCCTGGAACTTCTTAGAAGAAACAAGATTCCAAACTAGGAGAAAGACACAGGATAGATTCACAGTTGTAAACACACTCCTGCTCTGATAGGGAGCAGCTATCAGCTTTACATGATAATCATATTCCTGAAGACCCTATTGGCCACTGTACTTAAAGCAATGTTACAAGATTATCACAAATCGGAAGAAAGAGTTTAGTGTTCTACCATGCTCCAAAAAGGAAAAAACAAAAACAAAACAAAGCAAAAAAGGAGACTGCCTTGGCCAAGATAAAATATTTTAAAATTTTTAAACCTGTTCCCAGCTGTGGAGACAAACTTCCTATCACTTTGTTACAAAGTAAAAATAATCATGACTAAAATGATAGATATACCATAAAAGACTGCAATGGAATTCACAACAGGAAAATTAGACATAAAGTAAAAATAATAAAGGAAAAAGAAAAGAAGTTCCGAGTTCATTCATAGAGAGATGATATAAAGGTAGGCTATTGAAATATCTTTGTAGAGGTTTTGCTCCCAGTAGCTCATTTACTTATGAGGTACTTTGTTGCTCCAGAGTTAGAAGGCAAGGCAAATGTCAGGATATATTTATAAGTTTGCCAATATTTCAAGAGTTTAGTCAAATCTTTTTTAAAATCTTATTTCATCTGATACCACCTAGCTTTTTTGAAATTACATTTTAAGCAAACAACTCTGTTCTAAATTTTCATTTGTATCCTAGATTTGTATCCTAAAGCATTTCTTCTGAGAGTCAAGAAATTCAGTACCTTTTACTTAATCAAAATGTGTACATCCACATCTAGTTATATATTTATGTTTGTCTTGATGCTTTAAAATTCCAAATAAAACTACATTGCATCTGGGGTACTGGTGACTCATTCTTGTCATCCTTGTAACTGGAGGCCAGCCAGGGAAGAAAAGGTCCAGGGACTCTTTACTTGCAGTTAACCATCAAAAAGCTAGAAGTGGTTCAAGTAGCAGAGTACTAGCCTTGAGCAAAAAAGCAAAGAAAGAGCAAGAAGCCCTGAGTTCAAGACACAATATCAGGGCACACAGACACACACAAAAGTACACTGCAATTTCAAAATACATTAATACATTTTTATGAGTACAATGTCATCTCCACGACATTTTCTAAGTTGGCTACAATGAATATTTTTACTTTCTACCAGGTATGTTGTAATTCTTTAGTAAAGCAGCTAGTATTAAAAACTTCAATAGCTGCTGACTGAAATATCAACATTCTGGGAACGAGTACTTTATATTGTTTTCAATGAATTTATAAAAGTTTCAAGTACTCAAAATTTTTTTTCTGTATAAGAATTGATTCCTCCCTTTGTGATGAATGAAATAAATGTAATCAAGCTTCAAGGTGAGCAGGTAGTTCAACTTGTTTTTATATACTTAATATGTCACATCTAAGTGTGATTTTCTATTAATCCATGGATAGTAGTAAGTACAGATTTAAATAATCTATTTTCTTGAAATGAAGGTAGCATATTTATCTCTTATTCCTAGTTTCATTTCCAAACCATAAAGAGATTCTTACCTGTGAAATACTTTCTACTTTTTAATTATGAAGTATAAACCAGTTTATATTCCTTATTCAACCAGAATATGGAAATAAAATATATACTATTTTATTTTTTCACAGTCGTTTGATTAATATAGCAGAATAGGTAAACCACAGTATCCACCAAGGTAGACTAGCCTACAGTTACACATGAGATCATTTGTGATGAGCAAACAATGGATTAGGTAACAGAGGAAAATTCTGGAAGTTTGAGTTTGTATGCTTAGTAGCAACCACTTTCAACATTTCTGCAAAGCTAGAGAAGGTATCTTCTAATTTAAATTTCTTTAAGAATTATCTATCGTATAATATACTGTCAACAGGAGGTCAGTTTTAAAGAAATACTACTGATAGCCTGAAAGACTGTGGAAAAGAAATACTTTTCCTTCCTTACATAGTTCTTATATTTACATTCCTTCAGTTCTTGCACACACACACACACAGACACACACATACATACATTATATATATATCAGTCATTGGATTAGCAGCAAGAAAGTTGAAAATGGCAGAAGTTGGGAATGACTGCTATTTCTTTTTTAATTCCACATGCATAAAGGTAAATATGGTGCCTCTTAAAGTACTTCACATTCTTAAGCTTCTTAATAGAATGAAGGAGAATATGACAATAATTTTCATTGCTGAATCAAAATTTAATGTCTCTCAAAATACTTTATGTACTAAAATTCTGAAGTAAATGTAGATAGAAAGCTAGCTAGCTAGCTAGAATTTCTGTGAGGAAAGCTAGGATAATTCCAAATGATTTGTTTGAAACTAATTGTATGTCAGTTATACGCCTTTGGCTTTTCCATGTAGCAACTGTGTCTATATTATGGTTTCTGGAGATATCAAATTCCTAAGATTAAAATGGTGTAACATGTTATATTGTTTTTGTTAATGTGATTTCAGTCATGTAATTCAAATAGCCAAATTCAGATAACTATCAAATTTACCATGTTTCCTTCTTTGAAGTTCATTAATGCAGTTATTGTATTTTTCCATATTAGAAACCTAAATTATAACATGGGATTACATATCACAGAAGGGGAAGGATGTGATACAAATGAATCATCTAAATATAAAGTTAATAAAGTAAGACATATTATATTAGGATTAATGAATCTCAATAAACCAAATAAATATAGAAACTCAGTGTTTGGGACTTCCTGTTGATGCCAATGAATCAAATGAATAAAGTTATGTGTCTTTTTCATCTCTAGTAATAAAGCTGAAAGAAGTCACCCTATTTACATAAATTAGATTCACTGTACTATCTTTTACCTTTAGATTAAATTTTGGAATGATAAAACTATGTCCTAAATTGATAGTTTTCTTTATTTTTCCACTTGTCCTCAAGTGGTTATCACAGTTTCCAGTATGTGATCAGATAAATCCCAAACCAATAACCACATATATACATATATGTGTATATATATATATATATATATATTTTATATATATATATATATATATATCACATCATTTTTACAACTATTCTGTGGGGAGGGTATTTTACTCTCCTTTTTACATGTGAAGAAACTGAAGCACACAGAAGCTTAAGCGTTAATTCTGTTACTGTGGGCACAGTCTAAAGACCAATTTATCCATCTTCAAAATCACTGTGTACTTTGACAGTTCACAGATCTACTTTTAAAACAGAAGAGTGAAGACAGAATTCAGAGGGAGAGAAAAATAAGAAATGCATGGCAGAATGCATGGCAAAGGGGAGAATTTAATGGAATGTTTTTGTTTACTTTTCTACTCTGCCTATGGGACAATGACCTAAGTTTTTCTTAGGTGGGGATTGTATGTAAAAGAACATGGAATTTTTTTACAGTATTAATAGCCCATTGAAAGGGTTCATATCTACTTTGGTTAGTATAAATGCTGATATACATTATCTATGTCATATATATTATACATACAAGCTTATATATATAATATAATATATATATAATTTAAATTATAGAAATGAACACAAGAACATTGTATCCAAAAGTAGTGAAGACCAAGAACCTTGTAGTTGGTGTCATGATGTTCCTAGCATTGTACCACCTTTACTCTCCTACTATGACCACCAAATTTGACAGATTAAGTGTTCTTGAAATGAGTTTATGGAACGTGAGCTTACAGGTCCTTTGGTGTTTTAAAGATTGACTTCAACATATGGATAATTAAAACTTAATATATATATATGTATATATATATATATGTGTGTGTGTGTATACATACAATCAACTGTTCATTTTTGTAGGCCAAGGGTATAAAACAAATATATGTTATGTAGCATATGCAATTACTTAAAATTCCACAATAACATAAAATTTAATCTGCATTCCTTTTCTCTGAATATATATATATATATTAAAACTATCTCCACAGACAGAGAGGTTTTCTCCACCATTAGAATGTGGCCAAGGACCCTTAAATTCTTGTCTGGCTTTTAGATTGTTGATCAAACAAGGGCAATGAGAGTTTATGTTTATAGCTTTATTCTTGGTGAATTCTAACTAATAACAAAAAGTTACACTTTTGAGAAACTTATGATCTTTAAACTTTCTTACTAACATTTATTATGGATAAGACGACTAACTTCCTGAAAATTAGGTTTATGATTTTATATTGACAGTATATATTTTTGTGATTCTGATTTTACATACCCATAGTTCCTTCAAGTCATTATTAATGCATTGTTGTTAAGCCATGTGTTAATATGTTGAATTTTTGCCATCATTTTCTTCTTAGGGTTCCCAGTGCCGATTCCGACACTGTGAGGAGGCCCTCGGTAGTGACACTGTGTGCTCATTATGGAGAGAGAAAAAGTGCTTAGATCCTCTTTGCAGATTTAGACACATGGAAATGCAGGTAGAATCACTCAATATCATCATTTTTGTAAAAGCCTTTTCTTTCAGTAATGTTCCATTATACTTTTACCGCACAATTAGGAAGAAATGATTTTTTTTTCCTCTCTCATGATTTAATTTTAGGTGTTTTTCACTTCACTAAACTTCATTCAATTTTTTTTTTATTTTTTAAAGATAGGCAACATGTTTGTGAATAGCCATTTTGTGTGTGTGTGTGTGTGTGTGTGTGTGTGTGTGTGTGTGTATGTGTGTGTGTACCAGTTCTAGGGCTTGAAATCAGGGCCTGGATGCTGTCCCTGAGTTTTTTTTATTTGAGGCTTAGCATCTTCGACTTGAGCCACAGCTCCATTTCAGGCTATTTGGGTAGTTAATTGAGATGAGTCTCCCAGACTTTCTTGTCCTAGTTGGCTTCGAACCATGATCATCAGATATCAGCCTCCTAAGTAGCTAAGATTATAGGGATGAGCCGCTGCTGCCCTGTTCCCTTGTATGTTTTAAAAGGCAGAGCTTAAAAACAGAGAAAGCTAGGAAACACACGGTTGCAAATTGGTAATTGCATTTTTTTTTTGTCACTCATGTGGTACAGTAGCACTTTGTATTTATTGTGAATGTGGTATCTAAACATTACATTTTCTCACCTCTTTTGTCCAGCAAAACTGTAGCATTTCCTGCTTCTGGGAAACTCAGCCTCTTGGTTGTGTGAAGATCAGTTGTATCTTTTACCACAGCAAACCTCGAAATATCAATGGATTATTTTTGCCACCAAGTAGTAGTGAGTATATAAATATATATATAGATATACATAGATAGATAGATAGATAGATAGATAGATAGATAGATAGATAGATAGATAGATAGATAGATAGATTTCTGAATTACCTGGGTGGACTACATTATTATCTATTTTTGTAGTAGCAGCATAGTATTATATATTAAAGTAAGGTGAGGGAAAATGGTATATTTCAGTATCCAGAAGGTATGAACTATATATGCTGTTTCTAGAAGAGCAGCCTTGGTTGTGATTCTTCCCGACACTTTGTGGAGAAACAATTCAACTAAACTATAATGAGAACTTAAAATAAGTTCTAGAAATGAACAGAAGAACACTGTATTCAAAAGTATGAAGGCCAGGAACACTGAAGTTCCCAGAACCATGGTGTTCCTAACATCGTACCACCTTTACTCTCTGACTACGGCCACCACATTTGATTAAGTACTCTTGAAATGAGTCCTTTGGTGTTTTGCAGATTGAGTCCCATAAATGGTTAACCAAAAATTAAGTCCTGTTACGTACTCCTAGGAAATTCAGAATTCACAGTACACATTGTACTTGAGTTAGTTTTATCATACAAGATATGCAATGTAAAATATTACTCTGTAATGGTTCTTTTCATCAGTATGCTATAAAGATGATGACTAGTTAGTTTTCTTGCTCCTTTGTGTAGTGTCTGGAGCAAAAATACGTAGGAATGTTTGGCTAGGCATGGTAACTCATGTCCATAATCTTTGCTACTCAAGAGAAAGAGGTCAAGAGAATCATGGTTCAAGGCCAGCCAAGTCAAAACGTTTTTGAGTCACCATTTCAACAAATAATCTGGGTGGGGTGGTGGGTTCCTGTCATCCTAGATATATAGGCAACATTATTTATAAGAGAAATGTGATTTAGAACAGCTCCAGCAAAAAACATGAGAGCCTATCTGAAAAATAACTATAGCAAATGGCTAGAAGCACTGTAAACTGCCTACTCACAAGGCACAAGGCCCTGAGTACAAATTTTTACATTTAAATTTAATGAATTAAAATGTAAGTTTAAATTAATTGAAAATTTGCAGTTTAAATTTTTTAAATTTAAAAATAAAACATATAAATGAAAATAAGCCTGACTGCTTTGATAGATGGATGGAGAAATGGATGATATGTTGGGATAAGATTACTGCAAATATTTAAGTGATTAATTTGACCCCCTTCCTTTACATGTAGTGTGAATTTTTTTTTATTGCATGAAATACATATTACATTTTTTGTAATTTGGTTAACAGTTTAGTCACTACTGTTCCATAGATAAAATTAAGATTTCTCAAAGTAGCTTTTTTAGGACCAAGAGAAAACAAAGGTGCATCTCTGGGTCAAAAGAGATACTGTCAAGGTAACAGTCACTGGGCTCTCTGCAAGACATACTCTGGGAAAATGCTCTAGTTTTGTTTGATTATTCTCATTTATTAAAAATATAACTAGTTTTATCGAAGCCTCAATGTCTTCAACAAGTTGTCAAGACTAATCTGTATTTTTGTACTGACTCAAGCCCTTTCTGTAGAACCTTCTACTTCACAGTGATTGGGGAACAAGAGTCTCATAGGCAGATGATAGATGATATCCAGGTTACTCCAATTTTGGCTCTTATCAGCAGGGCACAAGACAACCCAATACATACATAGCACTCCGACACAGCCTCTTGTATCCACGTTAGTGTTCCAAATTTTGAAAACAAGTGTAATTTCATTTTCCATTTTTTGCTTAGATAAGTCATTGCAAGAGACTCCAAAGTGACAGACTTCTGTCCCTCTGCCAGCCCTTTCATTCCTCCCTAATCTCTAATTATCCACAGAATTCGTTCTCTACTTCTCTGAACCTTTCCCTCATCTTACAGTCCACCATGAATTATTTCCCCTTGAGGATTCCTCAACCAGAGGCTACAGGTTCTTCTCCCATTCCTCAGCTAGTATTGAAGATGGAGGTGAGATGAAGGCTTTTCTTGGTCCTCAGTTCTAGTTTCTGACTGTTGTCTGGAATTCACTGATAAAAACATCTTTAGTGTGAATAGGTTATGTCATTTGACCACTTAGAGTTGCTGACTTTTTTAATTGTCTACAACCATCTTAGTCATTTGTTCTTATTTTCAACAAAGGCTTACTATCACTAATAGTGTTGATTCTTGGATATGTCAATATAAAAATATGTGATATGGGATGGTAGGGAAAAAACAAGGAGGGGCTAACAATGCTCAGTAGGAAATGTACTCATTACCTTATTCATGTAACTCCTCTGTACAGTAGCTTTACAATATAAAATATATATTAAAAATGTATGTGATCGATCACTGGCCTAAACCTCTCACTGTCTTTAACTCAACTTCCCAATCCCTTACCCTGTTCACAGTCTTCTCTCACCTCTACCTCGTTGTTCATCCCTTTTGCATGCTTTTGACTCTTGTGACCCCTAACTTGAATGAATTTCTCTGATGAATAAAACATTTGTTCCTATAGGGTTCATCCATATTATGTTAGACTATAATAATTACTGTTATATAATTATTATGTACTAATTATATGATTGTTATTGTGACTGATGATGATGATCATGATGATTATCACGATGAGGAAGATAATGAGTCATACCTAGGATATTAGCTCAGCTCTCTGTCCTTGCGAGGCAGGTGCTCTACTACTTGAGGACTTATTAGGCACTTCCAGGTACTTACTATTTTGCATGCCTTCCTTAAACTGCCAACCTTTCATCTCAAATGGTAAGCATATACCTGACTGAGAAATTTAAAAACAAGAAGAGAAATTCAAAATAGTTCAATTACTACAGCTTCCTATCTACTATTATGTATATTCGCCTTCTCCATACTTAGCATAGTTGTTCTATGATGCTCCTACCTAAAGCCTAATTTTCTCTATTATTCTCTCTTATCCACTTGAAGACATAGACTCAGAAACTATCTCCTCCTCTTCTACAAATCTTTTTCACTCATATTGAATGATTTCTATCAGTATACAAGTGTGTATCTTTAAAATTACTAATATTTTCTCCCTTGTCTCATTCCATTATTTGTCAAGCAACTATTATCAGTGGTTGTTTTTCCGCACTGCAATAGCTCTCCTATTGGGGTTATTTATTTCTTTAGGTGATTCTGATTATTAGCCAAATTATTTATTTACTGCTTTAGAGAAAAAATAAGCTAAATCAATATTGACAAAAGAGCCATGTATTCAGTAGTCTTGTGCTTTATTATTTTCTGATACTATAAAGTCACTTAAATATAACCTAGGGTTTGGCTACTGTAACGAGTGTGCAAGTCAAACTTCAAAGCACTGTTGTTCTATCTATCTTAATAATCTCCTCCTAGCCATAGAAACTAGAACCTTTGGGTCTTTCTCTCATTTGGACATATATAGTCTGTCATTATAAGCTCAGCGTATGTAATTTCTCCTTCATAACTGTTGTAATGAATAAAGTTATTCTTATCTCACCTATCTAATGTATAGTTATTACAATACTTGTGATCAAACTTGCTTGATCAATCAATACTGCTTCTTGAATCACACTGGATTAGCATCTCAATAAATGCATCCAAATTAAAAATAAATTTAATACAATTAAAATACCAGAGAGCACAGTAAACTATGGAGTATCAGATGTTTTACGTTTATATGGCTATATGGTTCATTGCCACTGCCCAGAAATTATCTACTGCACATTACTAACCTAAGAAAAAAGTCAATATTCAAAATTTGAATTCTGCTCAATGCCCATTTTTTCATACCAATGAAAAGTTGAGCAATCCTAAGGCAAAGACCATATATATATATATATATATATAAAACTTATGACAATAACAAACTGTGATTTATGCCTAAAATCTACAAAGTATACAGTTTTCATGACTTTCAAGCAAAATAATGTATATAGTAAGTTAAGTATGCTTTTGAAATTTTTATTGTAAAAATACTGTACAAAGGGGTTACAGTTGCATGAGTAAGGTAATGAGTACATTTCCTATCAAGCATTGTTACCCCCTCCTTTGTTTTTCTCCTACCATCCCTTCCCCAACTCCCACCATTCAAGTTGTAAAGTTCATTTTCAACATAATGTCTTGTATATCTCACTGTTACAATGGGTCAACCTGTATCCTTATTTAAGCATTTAGTTATTTCCCTTCCCCTCCCCAAATTAGAAAATTTTATATACAAGATGCAGGGCACCGACGTCAAATACAGTGAAAACAGGGGTTATACCATGGGAAAAGAACATACAAAATAAACAAAAAAAAATCACACAGTACATTAAAAACAACAGCGACAAAGAAAAAAACCTCTTGTGTCCCTATCCTGGGGTTCATTTCATTTAGTGTCATCTAATATAGTCATTTGTACATAGCTTTTGACCTTTTCTGCTTGTCTGGCAGTTATTGCAAATAACGGAAACCATGGGAACTATGTTTCTTTGGGCCTGGCTTACTTCACTTAATATAATTTTTTCCAAATCTTTCCATTTCCTAACAAATGGGACAATGTCATTCTTTCTGATGGAGGCATAGAATTCATATATATATATACATATATATAATATTTTCTTGATCCTTTCATCTACTGAGGAGCATCTGGGTTAGTTCCATATCTTAACTATGGTGAATAATGCTGGGATAAACATAGTTGTGATGGTAGCTTTGGTATATGATCTTGTTTGTGATCATTTGGGTAAATGCCTCAAAAGTGGGATTGCTGGGTCATAGGGGAGCTCTATGTGGAGTCTTTTGAGGAACCTCCATACTGCTTTCCAAAATGGTTGAACAAGTTTACACTTCAAGCATTAATGCAGTAGGGTTCCCTTTTGGCCACATCCCTTCCAGCATTTGTTGTTACTGATTTCTTGATTATAGTCATAATTATACTTTTTTAAATAAGACGTTTTAGCAAAATGAGAGATGATTAGAAACAATTTTTGGCCATCAAATATATTCACCGCATTTTAAACAGACCATATTATTGCATTTTCTCTTTAGATGTCACACTACAGAAAGAAAGTCAGGAAGGAAATCCATCTCCAACCCATAGTCAGGAACCTCTGAAACCTCAGGAGAATATATCACGTCCCATTCACCATCCTTTAGTTTTAAAAACTAACTTTGAAGAAGAGGAGGAAGAAGATGAACAGAATGGTTGGTAAACCCTTTTTCTGATTACAATGAATACTTTTAAAAACCTTACAATAATTTAAATTTAATGTATTTTTTATTGTAACATTACTGTTAAAGGGCTTACAGTTACATGAGTAAGGTGATGAGTACATTTCCTATCAAGCATTGTTACGCCTCCTTTGTTTTCCAATACCATCCCTTCCTTCCTCACCCCCAAGGCGAAGCTGTAAAGTTCATTTTCAACATAGTGTCTTGTACATCCCATTGTTACAGACCTGTATCCTTATTTCAGTATTTTGTTATTTCCCTTTCCCTCCCCAAATTAGAAAAATGTATATACAAGATGCAGGGCACTGGAATTAAACACAGTGACAACAGGGGTTATATCAACGGGGAAGAACATGCAAAAGAAGCAAAAAAAAATCACACAGTACATTATAAGTACATTAAAAATAACAGTAACATAGATAAAATCTCCTGTGTCCATATCCTGGGGTTCATTTCTCTTAGCCTCATCTTATATGGTCATATGTACATAGCTTTTGACCTTTTTTGCTTTTTGATAATTTTGTTTCACTTTTTTTTTTTTTTTTGGTCCAGTCATGGGGCCTGAACTCTGGGCCTGGGCACTGTCCCTCAGTTTCAGCTCAAGGCTAGCGATCTACCACTTGAGCCACAGCGCCACTTCTGGCTTTTTTCTTTTTGCTTATGTGCTGCTGAGGAATCGAACCCAAGGCCTCAGGCATGCAAGGCAAGCGCTCTACCACTGAGCCACCTTCCCAGCCCTCACTATTAATTTTTTATGATACAATGTCTAGGTTATATTTTGAAAATATTTTTAATTTTATTAAATAACTGGAATACATTAGGTTTTAATTTGTTCTTTGTCTATACATGGTTATGACAATTTGGTTTGGAAAGTTTTGTTGTATGTTGACGAGAACACAGAACTCACGTTTATATAAATTTGTACTGGTACTTGTAGAAACCCAAACAATATCTTCTGTTTAACAACTACTGTAAATACATACTTATTTATATCTATTTATATAGCTGTTAATGTCTCTTTGTATTGCTATTATCATCTGTGTGTCTTAACATAATCCTCAGCGTCCTCAGAAAAACAAACTTATTCTTTTCTCTGTCATGGAATTTGTCCTCCTGCAGGCTACAGGCCCCATATTTTCTGGGCTTAGAGATACACTAAAGTGCTTATTGTTCTTCTTACCTCTACCTCCACATCTTTCATGCCTACAATTCTTTTCCACACACTACCTCAGCCTGAATCTATATGCCTTCAGCTTCTTTTTCAAGACACATAATGTGACATTTCTTCTATTGACTGATTCTTTCTAATGCCTAAAATGTTAATGGAAACATTCTGAGTATGAAAATGTCTTGACTTTAGGAATTAGAAAAACAATAGTCCACCCGTGAATGCAATATTTGGGATTTTTCTTTCTGATTTACAAATTTTCAGATTATTTGGATTTGCGACACTTTAATTCTAAAACAATGTGTCCTATAGATGCTTCTAGTTTATGGACAAAGACTCCTGAAGAAATTGAAGAAAAAAGAGCAATAAAGGAGATGTGTTATAAATCTGGTAAGAAATCAAACATTTGTGGATTTTCCATTACTTGATGTGGTACACATACTAACCTTTGTTTTCTTATGGGAGATTAGGTGAATACTATAGATTTCATACTCCTCCAGATATTTCATCGTCCAAAAGCATAGCTCCCACAACGGAGAAAGATTTAGAAAAGCCTTTGGAAAGTGGCAGTGAATTGCAAGAAGGTAAGAAATGAAAAGGCAACATTCAAAGTGATGTGTAACAGACTGTTGGCATGATTGTGAATTATTTAGTACACTGTACTCAAGCAGGATTAAATAATAAATAATACATCAGACTTTAGAGTGAGAAGAAAATGTTTTTATTGAATGACCCAAGTTTCCTGTGAAAAGTCGCTATTACCATAATCATGTTTTCCTAGAGGAGCTACAGAATGAATAAACCTCATAAACACAGGTGACACTTCATACCTTATGTAATAGTCCTGTAAATATTCAATGTTACCATTTTATTTGTGTATGAAATAAGTGTTACTGTAAACTATCTAGATTTTTTTTGAACAGAAAAGATAATTTTGTCCAAAAAGGACAAAAGGAAGATAGCAAAACAGAAGTGTATTTTTTCATTAAATGAATGTACCAGGCAATTTCAGGGCAATACTGAAGAAAAATCCCATACTCTTCTTTTCTGTCATAGACCTTTTTCTTTGGTAATTCTTATTTTGCTGTTGGCAAACACTTTGTGTTAAAGGAAGAGAAGAAAATATTGTATTCTAGGTATAAATCCAGAAACTCAGGGGGAAAATAAATCCATGAGTGCTATGATTTTAGATAGTTTTCTTATCCTTAGGGTGAATTTAAGACACATTTTGCAACAATAGAGAATTAGAGAATTTAATCTCTGTTCCTGTCTACATCTGTATGAGAGAGAGAAAGAGAGAGAGAGGTGGGGAGAGACAGAGAGACAGACAGAGAAAAGAGAGATGTGTCTAGGCAAGTTTGAAGATCAAGGTGAGGAGCAGGCATAGTGCAGGACAGAGCATCTAAAGTACCTGTCCTGCTTATCTGTATATAGCAAACTAAACTTATGGCAGTAGGTGGCAGCAACAGCCCATAAATTGGTAGAATTAAAAAAATGAAAGCCTCATAGGGAATCACTTAAAGATAGATGACAGACCTGAACTAATCAGATAACAAAAATTAAAACACAGACAAAATTTGCTACCAATATTTAAAATATAGGCGCAGAAAGCCAATTACATAGTATTTATAATATAGTTTAATTTATTATATAATGATAATATGTACAATATTAAATACATACATATATTTAGTTTTGCTTGGTTATGTTTTTAAAACTTTTGTTTTTGTTTTGGTTAATTCCTGTAAATGTTAGTATTTAACTACATTTGAATTTTTACTCACTACTCTCTCAAACACACCACTAGAATTACTTTATGAAGTCTTTGAAAGTAAGCTGCAGATGTTATGCCCATTTGCTCTAATTAGAGCCTGAGGATCAAAATTCAGAAATTACAATTGCTACAATATTATTATTGACAACTATTCTCATAAATTTCGCCAATTATGCCATTAATGTCCTTTACATCAAAATTAGTGCTTTTCAACCTAGTCTGGGATCCAGCTTAGAAACATACATTGCATTTTACAACTTATTTTAAAAGCATATTATCCAGAGGTATGTAAGGAAAACAAAATATTATTTCAGGATTAGAATTTTGCTGCTAGCAGTGATTCTAATACTTTTTTTAACTTAATAGATCATGGTGAATAGATAAGCAAAGAAAATGTTAAAACATGAAATACATCAAATAAACTAAGTACATTATGCATACACAGTAGTATTAGATTGCTTAAATTTTCCAAAGTGCCACTTGGTTAGTAATCTAAATAGAATAAACTTGCCTGCTGCTTTAATGACAATGGCAAATTTTGCCTAAATTCTTACTTTCACACATTGTTTATCAGGTCACTGGGAAACAATATATTTGTATTAACTTATAAGCTACTTACTTTCATCATGAATACTGTCATAGTCTTATTCCAGCGTTTAATGGTTTATGGAATGACTTTTGACTTGCTTTTTTTTCTTCTTTCTAGGGGATGGTCTTACAGTGCCAACAAAATTTAGCCTATTTGAAAGGCATGGTGAGATGAAAACATCACTGGATAGGAAACCAAGGACTGACATTTCTGCTTTTGAGAATGGAGGTGAGTGAATGTATTCCCAGGTGATTCTGATTATCACCATAACAAGTTAGGAGTCATTCACCCTTGTCTGTTTCATGTTTAGCCTGCCCTTTGGACTGTTTTCTTTCTTTTACAATGTGGTTAGTTGGTGACTTCTGCTTAAGATGTATATCCTTGGATAAACTAGAAATGCTTTCATGAAAAAGGAAAGCATGAAAGGGAAGCCAGTGGCTCACGCCTATAATCCTCGCTACTCAGAAGGCTGAGATCTGAGGATCGAAGTTCAAAGCCAGCCGAGGCAGGAAAGAATGTGAGACTCTTATCTCCAGTAAACCACTCAGAAAACCGGAAGTGGTGTTGTGGCTCAAGTGGTAGAGCACTCACCTTGAGCTGAATTGCTCAGGGACTGCGCCCAGGCCCCACAACAAAAGAAAGCATGGAGCTTGGCTCATGGACAAAAGTTGGGAAGAACATGAATGTGGAATTGATTTGTGTCTTTTCATTGTTCTTCACTGCTATGTTGTTTTCCAATTACTATGTCATAGGTATTTATTATAGAATTTTATTATTAGGGAGGAATGTTATTGTACTGTATGCCAGTTGCTCATGGCAGAAATTTTGTAGGGTTTTTTTTTTTATCATGAGTTTTGTATAAGCATCATGAAGTTAAGGACTTAATATAGCCAGTCATCATAAATAACTACAGCAGAATGACACATAATATGTACTCTGTAAATACTTGTAGAGTAAATGAATGTTGAAATGTATTTAATAACTGGATGAATGGAGGTATGTCTACACAATTTACAGATGCTGGAACAATGAGCCAAATCTAACAAGATACACAAACAGATGACTTTTTTACATCTAGATTAAAGGCATTAATAGTGACTTTTTTTTCAAGTGGGGAAAATCCTGACACCCATGCAGTTTGTGAGGGGAGGAAAAATGCTTTTTGTCTAAAATGATTCCATACTGTGTCTTTACTAACAAGTCTCTAAACTCACATTGAAATTAAAAGTAGTATAAAAAGATAATTAAATAAGTCATTTAAAATACTGTCAAGAGACTGAAGCATAGGAAAGTTCTCTGAAAGTGTCAACTATTATTATAATAGTTCAAATTTTCTTCACAGGTCAGTTCAGGATTTAAGTGGATTTTACTTTTTATTTTTGTGGTGCTGAGGATCAAGGGCCTTGTTAAGTGCTCTACCACTAAGTTGCATTCCCAAGTGTAGAAAGTTATTCAGAAACAATATTTTATGTTAATAAAGAGTAATGTGTAGTGAAGGGCCTGGGCGCTGTCTCTCAGCTCTTCAGCTCAAGGCGAGCGCTCTACCGCTTGAGCCACAGCACCACTTCTGGTTTTCTAGTGGTTTATTGGAGGTAAGAGTCTCACGGACTTTCCTGCCCCGGCTGGCTTTGAACCGTGATCCTCAGATCTCAGCCTCCTGAGTAGCTAGGATTACAGGGGTGAGCCATCTGGGCCCGGCTGGTCTAAACATTTTTAATGAAATATTTAAAGCAACTATAAGTGTTTCCTTGGAAATAAAATGTCAAGAAACATGAAATATTTTTAAAGGGAAGAGAAATTCCCTTTCTTAGGAATACCTCTGAAAGGTAGAAATAATTATTATTAAACATTTGTAATCTTTTTCCTTTGAAAAATTAGCAAAGAGAGAGAAAAACAATTCCTGCTCATCATTTAGAAAATGGGAGTTAAAGACTTCGGAGTCTTTCCTTTAATTTATTATTGTAAGTTAAATGAAAATCAATTTTGTGGAATATGTGAATTTTCTTGTAATTATATTTTTTACATGTTGGTCTTCAATTATACATGTAAAATGCAAATCTATTATCTAATCATTTTGCTATGTACAGCTGTATCATTAGGGATAGCATCATTAGGAAGGCATTATACGAAAGTGACATAAAGAGAGTCTATACAGGGCATTGCTGTCTTGAAAGGAAGTTTTCATGCCTTTCCTAACATTGCTGCTACTGACAGTAAGGTTTTGTTTTAGGAGGTGACTGCTATGTTCCACAGAGGATCATATTTCTTGGAGTAGATGAAAGTGAAGCTTTAACTGAAGAGAAAGACATCACCGTGTCAAAATGTCCAAATACTAAAGGTAATGATTAATGGTCCAGCAATCACTCATTCACAATTTGGGTGGATAAATTGAACATAAGGCTTGGCTGGGGTAGGAACCAAAATAAAACAGAAGGTAATAAATCAAACTATATACTGCATTAGGAGTCAAGAGTCCTGTGGTCTGCTCTGACCTTAATTTTTTTTTGGTCAGTTGTGGGGCTTGAACTGTGGGCCTGAGCACTGTCCCTCAGCTCTTCAGCTCAAGGCCAGTGTTCTACCACTTGAGCTACAGCACCACTTCCTGACCTTAATTATTTAACCATGGGACTTTAATGCTTTAGAGTGTTGTTCTACTCTGAAAAATTAGTCTGTTGGACTATATATTTTCTGAGAGTCTTACTAGCTTAAAAATTAGTCACTTCCTTTTAAAAAAACTTTGATTTGTTCATTTAACATATCAGAATAAGTGAATTTTGTTAGCAAACACTGTGAAGAATATTCCTATGATAATTTCCCCACTTTCTAATCATTGCTTTAGTCAATAGATTAACAAGAAATACAATAAAATATATCCTCTCTAGTTTCATGCTGTCCTACTGAGCTTAGAATTTCCAGCTTCTACTTTTCTACAGGAAGTCTTTCCTAGTCACAGTCTGAAAATAGAGGGTATCTTCTATATAGAAGTTCAAAATTCTCTCAGAGCTGTCCCTCAGCTCTTCAGCTCAAGGCTAGCGCTCTACCACTTGATCCAAAGCACCACTTCCAGCTTTTTTCTTTTTGCTTATGTGGTGCTGAGGAATGGAACCCAGGGCCTCAGGCATGCAAGTCAAGGGCTCTACCACTGAGCCACCTTCCCAGCCCAAAGTTAGATTCTTTTTGACAGTTATAAATGGACCATGTTTAGGACTATCAACTGCATTTATTTTTATTCCTCTTGCTTAATGTGCAAGTTACAGATAAGTAATTATCACCTACAGTAATTTTCAGCTAATAGCATTTCTTTAACACTAAATATTTGCATCTTTTCTAAGTGAATGATGTCCAGCCAGTGAGAAAGCCTCATTTTAAAGGTGTGAAGAAAAGAAAATGGATTTATGATGAACCCAGGAACTTTCCTAACTCAGGAGTGAGGAGAGGTAAAGGGCATCCTATCTGTGTGATTGATATTTCTAATTTGTAATATAAAGAGAGATTCAATATCAGACATTTCCGCTGAAAACAAGCCACTGTCATGCAACGTAAATGTTTTTTGTAAATATTAGCCTGACTCTTCTAAACTGAAATCTTTTAAGTTCCCTTGGGCTTCCATTATCCCTAGCAAATACTTCAAGTGCACTGTGTTTATGCATGTGAAGCAAGCTTGTCCTATCGTGTACTTTCTCCTCCATTATTTTGTTTTTACAGCAGGGCAGGCCACACATTCCAAGCATAAAATGAGTTACCATCATCACAACAAAAACCGAAATGCTGAGAATGCACCCTATATCCATGTTCAAAGACATGCGGTCAGGCCTGTGCAGCTAAATGCTCCTCCCCGCAGCAGACCCACCAATGGGTCCTACAATAAAGTTAATGTTAACAAGGAACCCAAACTCAACCTCTGTCCAGGTGAGGATCTCCCTGATGGGTTTACTCTTGTGTGTGTGTGGGGGGGGGGGGAGGGGAGGGAGGGAGCGTGGTAAGAGGGGAGGGGTGCCTTCCTTGGGATTTCTAATTGTGGGACCACGGATCTGCTACCCTTCTGCTCTTCTTTTCCCAGACAATCACTCAACCCTTTGCCCCATAATGTCTTAGAAACTAGTGAAAGGGTTTCTTCTGTGTGCAGTCATGTACATAATTTAAAGGATATGGAAGAGAACCAACACTGGGTGTAGTTGACTTGAAGTTGTACCTCCCTAGAGCATTGCCTCAAAGCATTGAACTTTGTTCCCCCTGGATAGCTTTATTTCCCCAGGGAGGATTGTTTTTCAATGGTTGACATTTTCTTGTTCCACTAAGTGCAGTTGTTCAATTATCACTGTCAGGCTTACTACCCTGGCTTTTCTTTAGGCCTTCATGATTACTTTTTGAAAGGGTTAGTTTAGGGGTTAACTGCAATAGTTTTGACAACCTTTCATCTCTCCCGCCATGCACAGATTGCTTCTAAATCATTTCATCATATAATAGGCAAAGTCAAAGTATATGTCAGGAAGTACAAGGCCACAGGGGAGAAAAGAACTAAATCTCTTCTGCTTCTTGCTTTAGATGAATTCTGCTCTCTTGAAATTGGGTTTCAGTTCTCTAAACTTAAAAATGTCATTCAATCCTCTGTAATTTCACATTTGTATGTAATGGGGTGCCAAATATTGTGAACTTTTGGAAACATAATTTAAGACTCCTTTTGTTAGGTTATTTCTTCAACAAGGTAAAGAGAAGTGAGCTTTAGTCACTTATTTATTTTTTGTTTTAGAATGAGGTACATGGATGTACATATGTAAATCAGCATGTTCTGAAGTGAAGCATTCCTTAGTTTTATTTAATACTACTGTATTGATTATCACTATTTTACTATTAGTGGATGGTTATGAATACTGCAGAATAGAACAGTCCGTTGAAAAGATCTACATTCATGTGAAGTTACCAACAATTCTATGTTCCTCTTGCATCCTTGCTGCAAAGATCAACACAGGAAAAATAAAAGCAAATTTTTATGAACATTTTTATGAACCACCCTTTGAGAATCTCAGATGCATAGTAATTCTTGAAAACACAAATACAACATAGTTGGATCCTGGTTGGAATGTAGATATGCCAGAGAAAAGTGTATCTTTACACACACACACACACACACACACACACACACACACACACACACCAAATAGATATAAAGAGCTTTAGTGAGATTCCTATTGGAGACCGACCTTTTTGGTCATTGGAAGGAAAATGGATTTGCATCATCCACATACATGTTGTTGTTGGTTATGGTGATGGTAGTTTAAAGTGAATGCCTATAAACATTAGTAAAATTCTGCTATAATCATGGTGAAACAAGGCAGTGGGTTGCTTCTAGATATTGTCATAATCTCTAGGATGGCCTTATGGGAGAGAACCTTATTTGAAGAATTGAACAGCCACTGATAACTTGAGTGGTCACAAAAAATTCCTTCACATTCTTGCTGCTTTAGCATTGAAGAGGTAATATGAAATTCTGAGAGAATAGCCTCACTCTTGAGATGTTTATAACTTTGAAACACTGTTGGAATATGATTTTGAAGTTTAGAAATGCTTACTAGTATAATTTTTCCTTTTTTCTCAGATAAACATGCACCAGCATCATATAATGGGTCAACCTGGCAAAAAAGAATTCCTTTTTCCAAAATGTATTCAAAAAATGAAAAGATATATCCAGGTAAATATTTAAATATATATGAATTAATGTATCATAGAGTTCTTCTGAAAACGACTAACAAGTTTTTGAGTTCAAAGTACATACTTTAGAAAAGTTTACATATGTATATATATGCATACTTTATTGCTTGGATTTTATCTTTTCTATTACCAATTTAATTTTTGTGTGGCTTTATTGTATTCCTTTTTACTATTTTGTGTGATATCTAAAAGCTTTTTGATAAGTTCTTTTCTTCATAATAGGCATGGTAATTGCAGCAATTTCATAATGTTATAGTGCTTTTTTTTGCTATGTTACCAAGCAAATGCATAAAACCATATATTGGCACAAGTAAAATAGTAAAGCTTTACTATGTGTATTGTAGACAAATGTAGGCTGGCAAGGCTATGAGAGCAGAAGTTGAATTTTCTTGGTTAGGAGATTCAAAGTTCTGATTTCTCCTATGCACTGTACTTTGTGCTCTGGGAAGGTATTTGGATCCTGCCAACACAGGTTCAGAATTCTGTAGGCATACTAATTTGCGACATAAGTTGATGTCTTCTCTCAGAGTAAGGTGGGCTCAGTAGGTTTTGGAAATCACCCAGAATATTTTATTTACTTCTCAGACAACTGAATGTTTCAGAAAAAAAATCCAGATAGGGAAATTTTATCTAGATGAGTGTCAGAATTTTCACACAGATAATATTGTTCCTCAGAAGAATACATCCACACTAGACACAATCCTTATTTTCCAAAATAAATAACTGAAATGACACTTTTTTGTTTGTTGTTGTTAGTCATGGAGCTTGAACTCTGGGCCTGCGCACTCGCCCTGAGCTCTTCAGCTCAAGGCTAGTGCTCTACCACTTGCGCCACAGCACCACTTCTGGTTTTCTAGTGGTTTATTGGAGATGAGAGTCTTACAGACTTTCCTGCATGGGCTGGCTTTGAACCATGACCCTCAGAGGTCAGCCTTCTGAGTAGCTAGGATTACAAGTGTGAGCCACCAGCACCCAGACTAAGAAATGACACTTCTAAACACTTCTTTTGGACAGTAGTGTGACGAAGAACCAAGATCTTTATATATACTAGAGATAACAATTTCTCTTCCCCCCCCCCCCATCTTTTCTCAAGTGGTATTGTACCCTAAGAAAACTTTGGTGCAGTATTACTAAATTGAGTGCATTTTCTCTTAATTTTGCACGAGGTTTTAAATGTGCATGCATCTAATTTAGGTCAATGGGAAGAGGTAAAGAGTTGGTGCAGATCTAGGATGACGCAAGAAATTGCTAAACTACAGCTTGTTCTCCTACAATCCCCATACTGGGACTTTAAAAGGATGGGGTCCTTCCCCCATCACTGGTCCATTGATTGATCTGATCTTCTATCCCACTAGCCTTCTTCTCTCATCCTGGATAGTTAGATTGGAATCAGAAGGATTGGAAGAAGGAAGGATCTCATCAGAACAGGAAATATACCACTTAGGAGCAGTAGAATCTGTGTTGCTGCTCAACCACATGCTCCACATGACACTTGAGGAGAAAGCTTTGTAGAAAATTTCTCAATCTCATGTGGGTTAGCATAGAGGGAAGCTTGGAGAGGGCTGATGACAGCATCTTGAGAACTCCAAGTGTCAAGGTGTCCAGGGCAGACTTTTCACATTCGTGTGAGCCTCAATTAGAAGGCAGTTCCTAGGAGAGAGACTCAGTGAATTTATACAGTCTCTTGGTTCCTCTTGAAGCAATTAACATCAAGATGCTGCTCTTGTTGAACCTCTTAGCTGTAATCTTAAAAGAGACAGGCAGAAGAAACTAAGCCAGCAACCATGGATTGAATCCTTGTTAATTCAATTATATTCTGAGGATAAGCTATAATGACATAAGCTGGGCCCTTGTTAGAAATACAGAATCTCCATATCAGACCTGTTGTATAACAATATGTATTTTAGCAACATCTTCAATTAATTAAGATGTATGTTGAAGTCTAAAAAAGCTTAGGCCGTATTATCTGGCTTAATAGGCAAGATGCAGACAGATCAATTCTGCTGAGATTATATTCTCTTCCTATCTTTCTTTTTTTTTTTTTTTAAATTTTATTTTATTTTATTTGAGAACATACTGTACAGAGGGGTTACAATTACATGGGCAGGATAATGCATACATTTCTTACCAAGCATTGCAGCCTCCTCCTTTGTTTACCCTTCACCTCGCTTCCCAGCCTCCCCCCTACCCCCCGCCCAATCATACCCCCCCCCCCCACCGACATTGTAAAGCTGGTTTTGACATGACATTTTGTACTTCTCATTGTTGCAACAGGTCCACCTGAATCCTTAAACGACTTGTTTGTCCCCGTCTCCTCCACATGTTATACTGACATCAAATATAGTGAAAGCGGGGGTTACACTGTGGGGGAGGGACATACAAAGCCACAAAGAAATAATCTTATAAATGAGTTAGAAACACATGCATGAAAGAAACAAAAACATTAAAATACATATTTGAGGGTTCGTTTTCCTAACATCACATTATCTGACTTTTTCCGCTTGACTCATACCTATACTAGATATTGCAAATAAGGGAAACCATGGGACCTATGTTTCTTTGGGCCTGGCTTACTTCACTTAATATAATTTTTTCCAAGCCTTTCCATTTCCTAACAAATGGGGAAATGTCATTCTTTCTGATGGAGGCATAGAATTCCATTGTGTATATATACCACATCTTCTTGATCCATTCATCTACTGAGGGGCATCTGGGTTGGTTCCATATCTTAGCTATGGTAAATAATGCTGCAATAAACATAGTTGTGCTGGTAGCTTTAGTGTGGCCTTGTTTGTGATCATTTGGGTAAAAGCCCAAAAGTGGGATTGCTGGGTCATTGGGGAGCTCTATGTGGAGTCTTTTGAGGAACCTCCATACTGCTTTCCAAAGTGGTTGAACAAGTTTACATTCCCACCAACAATGAAGTAAGGTTCCTTTCTGTCCACATCCCCTCCAGCATCTGTTGTTGTTAGAGTTCTTGATTTTTGCTGTTCTAACTGGAGTGAGGTGATATCTCAATGTTGTTTTGATTTGCATTTCTTTTATGGCTAGGGATGTTGAACATTTCTTCATGTGTCTATTGGCCATCCTTCTTTCTTCTTCAGAGAAGTTTCTCTTTAAGTCTTTCGCCCACTTACTTATTGGGCAGTTGTTTCTTTGAGGATTTGTTGTTGGGTGGTTTAATTTTTTGAGTTCCAAGTATATTTTAGATATGAGACCCTTGTCCGTTGTATGGCTAGTAAAAATCTTCTCCCAGTCCGTGGGCTTTCTATTGATCTTGCTAGCTATGTCATTTGCCCTGTGCGGGGAGCTGGGGCGAACGCCATTACAAGATGGCGCCCACTTCCTTGCAGCTTTGAGGTAAACAACTCCATATTAGGCAGTGCTTGGCGGGACTGTGGGTCCCGGGCTTTGCACATGCGCGAGCCACGTAGAGTCCCCAGCCAATCCCGTGGCACCTGGTGACGGTGAAAGGCAGACGACCAATGATAGAACGACCCGTGTTCCTATTCCATATATAAGCGGCCACGTTTCTGTATACGGGGTCTCTCGCTCAAGCTCTCCCATCAAAGCAAAGGCTCTCCAATAAAGTGTGATCTGAGAAGACTCCTGGTGTGGTGGTCATTCTTCCTCGCTGGCCGAGAAGGCGTTCGCCGCAGCCCTGCAGAAGCTCTGCAACCTTATACAATCCCATTTGTCCAACCTTTCTTTGATTTGTTGTGTTTCCGGGTCTCTATTCAGAAAATTTTGGCCTGAGCCAAGGAGACCCAGGGTTTCTCCTATTCCATCCTGTAATGTTTTCAGAGTGTCTACTTTGAGTTCAAGGTCTTTGATCCATTTGGAGTTGATTCTGGTGCAGGGTGATATATAAGGATCTAGCTTTAGTTTTCTACATGTAGTTAACCAGTTTTGCCAGCACCATTTACTGAAGAGGCTGTCTGTCTTCCATTCTATTGTTTTAGCTCCCTTATCGAAGATTAGATGGCTATAGGTCTGTAGGTTCGTTTCTGGGTTTTCAATTCTATTCCATTGGTCCTGAGGTCTGTTCTTATGCCAATACCAAGCTGTTTTGATTACTATGGCTTTATAGTAGAGTTTGAAATTTGGTACTGATATTCCTCCAGCAGTGTTCTTTCCGTTGAGGAGCGTTTTTGCTATTCGGGGTCTTTTATTGTTCCATATGAATTTTTGGATTGCCTCTTCTATTTCCTTGAAGAATGAGGGTGGAATTTTGATAGGTATTGCGTTGAATTTGTAGATAGCCTTGGGAAGTATTGCCATTTTCACGATGTTAATCTTTCCAATCCAGGAGCATGGGAGGTTTTGCCATTTTTTAAGTTCTGTGTTGATTTCCTTTTTCAAGGTTTTAAAGTTTTCATCATAGAGGTCCTTCACTTCTTTAGTTAAGTTAATTCCGAGGTATTTTATTTTTTGTGGGGCTATTACAAATGGAGTTGCTTTCCTAATTTCAGCCACACTTTTCTCATTGTTGGCATACAGAAAAGCCATTGATTTTTGGGGGTTAATTTTATAACCTGCTACTTTGCCAAAGTTTTGAATCAGCTTGAGTAATTTGGGAGTGGAGTCTATGGGATTCTTTAAATACAAGATCATGTCATCTGCAAAGAGGGAGAGTTTTATTTCTTCTTTCCCTATTTGGATCCCCTTTATGTCTGCATCTTGTCTTATTGCTGTAGCTAGGCATTCTAATACTAGATTGAAGAGAAGTGGAGAGAGTGGGCATCCTTGTCTTGTTCCTGAGTTAAGAGGAAATGGCTTTAGTTTTTCACCATTGAGTATAATGCTGGCTGTAGGTTTGTCATATACAGCCTTTATTGTATTGAGGAATGTTCCATGGATTCCTAATTTTTCCAAAACCTTCATCAGGAAGGGGTGTTGGATCTTGTCGAATGCTTTTTCTGCATCTATTGAGATAACCATGTGGTTCTTATTCTTGCTCCTGTTGATGTGATGAATAATATTAATTGATTTGTGTATATTGAACCAGCTTTGCATCCCTGAAATGAATCCTGTTTGATCGTGGTGTATGATTTTTTGGATGAATTGTTGAAGTCGGTTGGCCAAAATTTTATTGAGAAGTTTTGCATCAATGTTCATCAAAGAAATGTCTCTTCCTATCTTTCTATAGCCATAACCATTCTCCCCTGTCACAACCCCAGAAATTAGGATCTGCAGCATGGAGGTGGGGTGTGGAGCAAACTATGAGGATAAAACTGAGGTGTAAATGTGACTGGAATGTGGAAGTGAATTGACTAAGAAATCTCTGAATTGGACTGGATTTTTGTGCAAAAAGGTCTTTCTACATTAGGAAGAATGAGGGTTTCAGGTTCATGAAATTGAGATGTGGTCGAATGTTTTGTAAAATAATCAATATTTTATAAAATAAAGCAGGTCTTCTTGTTTGCTTTTGCTTGGAAAATAGGTAACACCCAAACACATCTTTTTCAGTTGTTATTATTATCACAATACAGAGTTTCTCTCAGATATTCTTGAAAAGGCCCACAATAGCAACTTCAACATTTCCCAGTGGACAGGTAGACTGCTGGCTAGTGGAAAAAGTTAGAAAACACAAGCTGCCACTAGTCTCCCTCAGATTTTTAGCAACTAGGCCTTAGAAGAAGAAATGGGTGGGAAAATGTTGGATGTTCTGAGCAAAATGCAAAAAGAGAAGAAAATATTGAGTTTCTGGCCAGGCACTAGTGGCTCATGCCTATAATCCTAGCTGCTTAGGAGATAGTGGCTCATGCCTATAATCCTAGCTGCTTAGGAGACTGAGATCTGAGAATCACAGTTCAAAGCCAGCCCAGGCAAGAAAAGCCTTGTAACTCTTATCTCCAATAAACCACCAGAAAACCGGAAGTGGTGCTGTGGCTTAAGTGGTAGAGTGCTAGTCTTGAGCTGAAGAGCTGAGGGACAGCACCCAGGCCCAGAGTTCAAGCCCCAGGATTGACAAAAAAAAAAAAAAAAATTGAGTTTCTGTGTGGAGTCAGGCCAGTCAGGCAAGTGAGGAAGGTGCCTAATGATGTTGTCATTGCCAGAATTCTCTGGAGACAACATGTCCTTTTGGATAAAGTTATAGCTGGTGCAAATATGGAGGTGCCTGTCTCCCTATGATGGATTGTTCATGCTGTTCATAATGCAGGCTTATATGTAGTATTATTTCCATACTTGACCATTTCCTCCTCTAAGTGCAATATTCTGTAAACATTGAAAAAGAACTCTGAATGGCATTTTGAAAACTTATTAATTAAAAACAATGAGTTACTTTTTGTTTTGGACTCAGATTTCATGGTAAGTAGTTTATAAATTATATACTAATGATTCTCCAAAGAGGTCTGTAAAATAAACGAGAACTCTTTTATGTATTTTATTATTAGAGCCAAGAAGAAATGGGAGCAAGTAAACATGGAGGCTGAGAAAAGAGAAAAATGAGAAAAGAGAAAAGTGCCAGCAATCATCTGATTTACAATCAAAAATGAAAATTCAAAGAATGAGATATTCAAGTACTCCATACTATATCCTGGATAGCCAAAAGATGATACGATGCAAATTCTGAAAATAAGATGCAGGAAAGTGCATTGTGTTCTTTCAAAACTGATAAAAATACAAATTACAAACAACTGCCTTTGTATTTATGTATGTCTGGAATTGATTCAATTCATTCCCACAAATATTTAATAAAATTCAAAAGTTTGACAATTAAAGTCCTTTTTTAATTCTAAACCAAGTTAGTGCATAGATTGAGGAGTAAAAATTATACTTTTATCATTGTTTCTCCATATTCCTTAGGGAAAGAGCTCTACTACTTTCTTTCCTTACATTTGAAGCTAGGTCTTCAGTTGTTATGACACATAAAGTGCACACAAATTTAGGTAAGTCTCAGGGTGGCTGTTTGGTGATGAGTACTTTAGAGGAATTTTAATAGAATTACCCTTTGAGGAAGGAAGAAAGAGACAAAGTTGGTTTATTATGCAAGGCAGTTGCTGAAAAATGTCTTTTAATTGGCAACTACAAAAATCTATGCTGAGATGTGGGATATTCAGGACTAAAAGATAAACATTTCCTTGCAATGAACATAAAACTTATGTGATCGTAATGGGAAAAAGGACATCTTAAAATGAATAGCGTGGATTCCCATGGTCCTAATGAAACTTGAAAGCTTTAGTTGTTCTAGAAGTATAAATACTTAGAAATACAAGAGGCTTTATTTGAAAGCTTATTTCTATTTCTTTTGCATTGTGCATTTTAAATATTAAAAAATTTTTTAAAATTTCACTCAAGCTTAGCCATCTATGGTGACTGTAGCATTCATACTTTGTTGAGTTTATTAAACTCAGAACGTCACTAAGTCTTTGGGATACCTTACATTTATAGTTGCATGTATAATGTGGTTGGTTGTATCCTCTTGGAGATATTTCTTAAAAATATTTCACTTAATAAAACATTTTATAAGATATAATTGCAATTATGTAGGAATGAATCCTAGTTTCTGCCTTCTATTGGTGGTCATTACCTTCCATTTAGCTTTTTTAAGCAGAGCAATTAGAAATGAAAATTGGCCAGCAAACGCGATGGTGAGAGAGAGATGAGAGGGATGTAAGCAAATACATTGACAAGTTACCTAAGAAGCTAATAAACAATCCATATCCTCTTAACCTTCTATAGTTATTCTCCTTTAGGGAAACAGAATCAGCTATGGATGGAGTGGTGTGTGTGTGTGTGTGTGTGTGTGTGTGTGTGTGTGTCTGTGTCTGTGTGTCCATTTCTGTGTATTCATTTTTTTTTTTTTTTGGGTCCGGCTGTGGGGCCTGAACTCTGGGCCTGGGCGCTGTCCCTCAGCTCTTCAGCTCAAAGCTAGTGCGCTACCACTTGAGCCACAGCACCACTTCCGGCTTTTTTCTTTTTGCTTACGTGGTGTCGAGGAATCGAACCTAGGGCCTCACGCATGCAAAGCAAGCACTCTACCACTGAGCCACCTTCCCAGCCCTGTGTGTTCATTTTAATGGATTGGCTCAGATCTGAAGGTTTGGTGAGGCCAAGGTTGTGGAAAAGACAGACTGGAAGATGAGAAAATTTGCAATTCAAGTCAGGCGGTTTGGTACGGGTAACTAACAAGGGATGGCTCTCACTGTAGATGAAGTTGGAGGGGAGTCTGCTGAAAAATTCCCTCTTGCTGTGAAGATCACCTTTTTATTCAGGCTTTCAACTCATCAGAAGAGGCCCACATATATTATGGAGAATAATCTGTTTTATTCATCATTCACAATTTTAATGGAACACATTTCCATAAGAACATACAGAATAATGTGTAATCAAATATCTGGTCATCATGACCCAGCCAAGGTAAAACATAACTCTCACATTTTGTCTCACTGGGTGATATAGGATATTCTCACCATCTTGAGATCATCCTTAATTTCTCTTGCCATGTAACTAAAGAGATAAAAATATGAATATTTCTTGTGAGTCATTTTTTACTTACCATAACTATTGTCCATGCCTATTATTATTATTTTTCCATATAAAATATTGTTACCATATATTACTGTATATTACTATATAATATAATATATATACCACAGAAAATAACATTTAAAAATCAACTCTTTCCTCTCAAAACCACAGACTATATGCTAGGAACTATTACTATCCCTGATAAAGAAAAACTCAATTTCTCCGAGAAATTAAATAAGGCATAAATGTCAGTGGTTCCAAATCTATCCACTTCACTAACCTGGATGAAAATCTGTTAATACTTCATTTATTTATATCCTTACCATGGGTCACAATGGACAATGATGGTGGCCAGAAATGTTAACTTCAGAACCATGATAGCAAAATTCTGTTTGGAGGAGGAGGGATAGGGAAGGGATAGTAGGAGAAAAACAAAGGAGGGGGTAACAATGCTCATCAAGGAATGTACTCATTATCTTACTAGTGTAACTGTAACCCCTCTGTACAGCAACTTTACAATAAAATAAAATTAAAAAATCTGTATTACATTTTTCTTGGCATTTCTTATTAATTCCACTGTGCTTCAAACAAATAAAAATATACAATTTAAAATATGCACATTAAACTTAATTTTGAGTTTCTGACAACCAAACCAAGAAAAGAAACAAAGTTTTAAAAGTATACTTCAGTTCAAAGCAACATATTTTTCATAGTACTATATTCAAAATAGAGACCAAATAGTTTAAAATCTAAGTAAAATTCATCAGCAAATGTTAGCAGATAATCCTTTGAAGTTAAATCCTCTGCTAGATATTAGAGACAAAGATGAATCAAGTATATCCCTCTAAATTCCTTTTTATACAATTATTGAAACAAATGAATCACTTAGCTAATTATGTGATACAATGTGTGTCATAGAGATACAGAATAGACCATACGATACTAAAGGGAAGTCCAGTCTCAAAGATATTACAAATGTCAAGGAGTAGTCACAGGACCTCTTAATTTCTTTTTCTTGTTTCTTTTTCTTTCTTTAATCTTGTGTGTGTGTGTGTGTGTGTGTGTGTGCCAGTCATGGGGCTTGAACTCAGCCTGGATGTTGCTCCTGAGCCTTTTGCTCACGGCTTACACTCTAGCACTTGAGCTACAGCTTCATTTTTTCCCCCCCAGTGGTTAATTGGAGATAAGATTCTCAGGAAATTATCAGCCTGGGATGGCTCTGAACCATACTCCTCAAATCTCAGGCTCCTCAGTAGCTAGGATTACAAACATGAGCCACCAAAGCCTGATTAACATTTCTTTACTGTTAGAATTCCTTGCTGAGCGGAAGTTCTGATTTGCAATGCTGTATGAAATAATGGTCTGCCCAGACACTTCCATGAGATGAAAGATGGATTGCCAAATTGTGAGATTTTTTTCTTCTGTTTCTCAACAGAGAAATTGTGTTCATGGGTTTCCCTAGAAAGGTGTTTCTGAGACAATTTTTAAAGTAACTGTTACGTACTTATACATCTACCTTCATTTTAATATTCAATTACATTGCATAGTGTTTAGCTTATTTCTTTGCCCACCAGGCTGTGAATGTTTCCAAGGAAAGATCAAGGTTTATTTTTCTTCTTTATGCCCCTTGCACCTGGCATAGAATAAGCACTTATGGTTGTATGAGCTAATGTTTATCTCTGAGATTTCTTTCTTTCACTTGGCCAATACAGCTTCTAAATCTGGGATGTGAACCTTGTAGCTTGAGAGACTTGCACTGAGTGAGCACTCCCAGTGGATTAGGGACGTGTTCTTCTTCCAGGGTTCTAGTACCAAGTAGGCTGGATTTTACTGTTAAAGTGGTCTTCTATATCATTAGGTAGTATACTCATTAGCTTGATTCATATTGTTTAGAAGTACGGCTATGTCTACCATATTCTTAACTTCTGAAACTACTCATGACAATGCTGGCCCACTTAGCATAAAGAAGGAAAAAGAGTAATTCCTACCTAGTTTTCATTTTTTTCCTATTGTCTCGGAAACCTGGGCGTTTGTTGTTGTTGTTGTGGTTGTTGGGTGTGGTGAGAACTTCACATCAGCCTAGGCCACACAACAAGACCTCATCTCAAGAAAGAGACAAAAACAAGGGAGTCCACGTGGAGATGATAAATAATGCCACAGGAAAGTGTTCACAATAGAAAACATATGCTGGGCTGTGATGTAGGTGGTATAGCATCTTCCTAGCTAGTTTGAGGCTCTGAGTATAAGTCAGACTACTATTTAAAAAATCAAGAATTTAGATTAGGGACTGGGAATGTGGCTTAGAGTACTTGCCTAGCATGAATAAAGCTCTGGGTTCGATTCCTCAGTACCACATAAACAGAAAAGGCTGGAAGTTGTGCTGTGGCTCAAGTGGTAGAGTGCTAGTCTTCAGCACAGACAGGCTCAGAGACAGTGCTCAGGCCCTGAGCTCAAACCCCAAGACTGGCAAAAAAAAAAAAGTTAGATTACAAGTGGGCACCAGTGGCTCACACCTATAATCCCAACTACTCAAGTTCAAAGCCAACCCAAGCCAAAACATCTGTGAGACTCTTACCTCCAAAAGGTAGAGGTGGAGCTGTGGATCAAGTGGTAGAGTGCTAGCCTTGAGCAAAAACAAACAACCCCTCCCAAACAAAAACAAACAAACCCAGAAACATCTCAGGGACATTGACCAGGCCCTGAGTTCAAGCCTCAGGACAGGAAGAAAGAAAGAAAGGAAAGAAAGGAAGGAAGGAAGGAAAGAAAGTAAGAAAGAAAGAGAAGGAAAAACGAAAGAAAGAAAGAAGGAAGGAAAGAAGGAAAGAAAATAAAAACAGGTTACAAAACAGATGTTTCAAGTGATTCTAACTGCATTTAAAAACAAATAGTGAGGGGAGAGAGCATCTGGCAGAACTCTTTTTGTACTACGTATGGTGGCTCAAGCCTAAA